GGCGCCGCAAAGAGCTTGACCGAGTTCTTTGGTCTCGAGGAGCCCAAGCTCGAGAAGTGGTCGTTTGGGTGGTACGAGGATCTCTTTGCCGAGGACGCGAAACAGAAGAGCGTCGTCAACGTGGCGTCCAAGATTTGGCGCCGCCTCGCGCTGTACGAGCCGGGCAACTACGTCGTCACCCTCACGTACTACGACGGCAAGAAGACCACCGCCAACTGGGTCGTGCGACCCCTGGCAACGGAGAAGAAGGCCAAGAATTTCATCTTCTTCATTGGTATGTCCCTGTGGTGGTTGTATTTGTGCTCATGCTAACTTGGACTCAGGCGACGGAATGACCACCAACATGGTATGTACGCAGAGTTATTTCCCCTGAACACGCGCTGACACCCACAGGTCACTGCCGCCCGTCTTCTCGGCCACAAGAGCATCAATGGAAAGTACCAGACCAGCCTGGCTCTCGACAAGTTCCCGGTCATTGGTCACCAGATGACCCATTCCATTGACAGCTACATCACCGACTCTGCCAACTCGGCGTCGGCGCTGTACTCTGGCCACAAGAGCACCGTGAACGCCATGGGGTAAGTGGACGCGATGAACTGCTAGGGTGCTCGCTGACATGTGCCAGTGTCTACGTCGACTCTTCCCCCGACGCCTTCGACGACCCCAAGGTCGAGACCATTGTCGAGCTGATCCACCGCATCTGGGTATGTCCAGTCCGTCTCTGCCCCCCTGAACCAGTCTAACAAACGCAGGGCTCCGCCTGGGGCGCCGTCTCTACGGCCTTCATCGCCGACGCGACCCCCATCGCCCTGACGGCGCACACCCGCGCCCGATCCCTGTACGGGCCCCTGATCGACCAGGCCCTCAACGGCATCACAAACTACACCTGGACAAAGATGACCGGCCCGGACGTCTACCTCGGCGGCGGTGCCGAGCAGTTCTACCCGGGCAAGGGCTCCTACCAGGGCAAGGACTACTACGCCGCCTTCGCCGACAAGGGCTACAGCGTCGCCCTCAACAAGACGTCGCTCGAGGCCGCCGACCCCAACGAGCGCATTCTCGGCATCTTTACCCAGGGCAACCTCCCCGTCTGGCTCGACCGTAATGTCCTCACCGAGAACCTCGCCAAGCTGAGCAACGATCCCACGGGCAACAAGAGCGCCGCCGCCGACGTTCCGGGGCTCAAGGAGATGACGCTCAAGGCCGTCGAGACGCTACACAACCGCGGCGGCGAGAGGGGCTTCTTCCTCATGTCCGAGGCCGCGTCCATCGATAAGCAGATGCACGCCCTCGACTACGACCGCGCGCTGGGCGACCTGCTCGAGCTCGACGACACCGTCAAGGCTACGCTGGAGAAGCTCGAGGAACTCGGCATTCTCGAAGAGACCCTCGTCGTTGTGTCCTCCGACCACGGCCACGGCTTTGAGTGAGTACTCGTCAACATTTACTTACGTTTGCATACTGACTTGAGCAGCGTCTTTGGCAACGCCGACACAAAGTACCTCGCCGAGCAAAAAGACGACCGCACAAAGCGCAAGGCCGTCGGCGTCTACGCAAACTCGGGTCTCTCCCAGTACACCGTCGAGCAGCCCGGCGTCTCGTACAACACGGGGCCCAACTTCCCCCTCAACTGGTCCCCGCGCTACGCCATCGCCGCGGGCTTCGGCGCCAACCCGGACCGCCGCGAGGACTACAAGGTCCACGCCGACGGCGCGCGCACGCCCGCTGTTGCGGCGACGAATACCACGGACTACTACGCCAATCCCAAGGACGCCGTCGATGGCTTCGTGGTGAATGGTACGCTGCCTACGAACGAGGCGCAGGGCGTGCACTCGTTGACGGACGTTGCTGTGTGGGCGAGGGGACCTTGCCAGGAGACGTTTGGCGGGACGTACAGCAACATTGATGTTTTCTACAAGATGGCGAATTGTCTTGGTCTCGCGCAGCCTAGGAATGCGACGGCGCCTGGGGCTGGGTGTGCGAGAAAGGCTCGGGCTCTTCATGCTTGAGTTGAAAAGGGGTTGAATGGGTTTTGAGACTTTGATATAGCATGGCGAGCGGGTGTTGGGGCGGTTGATGTTTGGGTGTGGGATGGCATATCTGGAGATGATTCCTCGTAATGAAACTCGGTGATGAAGTATAGATTTAATACTACGTTGGTCAAGAACACTCTGTGCCTATCACCACTTCAGAGACATCCAACTACTGATTGATTTGCTCTGATGTTTGTAGATATGAACAGCCAGTTGGACGGCCGTGAACACTTCTCGCCCCCCTTCGAAACGCCCGTGACTGTGTAAGTCTCCCATGAATTCTTTAGAAGGTCCCCTCCAAGGCTTTCTTCATATACAAAGTCGCAGATTGTCCTCTTGCATCGCACTCGAGCTGTGTCAAAGTCCATGCTTGTGAGCTGATCTACGCATCATTGCCACGAAATCATCAAGTCGACGAGGTTATGCAGGATGGCTCTCGAGCACCAGCACTACCACGGATGCAAAAGAGCTGCTCCCACAATTTCATTGATCTTGCACACGACAGACTTCAAAGTTATCCAAGTCAACATTGCGAGTCTAGGCCGCATTGCCACTCGGTGATGTTGCAACGGACCCCCCGGGCCCCATCCGCTCGGGCCCATCATCGGCCGATGAACTGACCATGATCCACTTTCCGTCGTCCGTTTTGTCTCCCACCGTCAGCCCACGATGGACGGTATCAATTTACCCTTTCTGGCGTATTGTCCACGGGCAGAGGATCTCTTCGCTTTCCTCGGGGGAAGTAGATGGGCTAGGACGAGGGTACCGGGAAAAAGGAACAAACAGATGGCCTCTGCCTTTGCCCAACCTAGGTGAGCCGCAAGCATGGTTACATCCCGGAGGACAGGCAGGCAAGCGAGGCAGAAAGATCAGACGCGCAGGTGTCAACTGATGTAGCTATGTCGTGCATTGTTCGTTTCTTGTTTAGATTGCTGCTGCCCCCTCCCGTTCGGATCTCTTGCGAGGGGGGTATGGTTCGTGTGCTAAGCAGGGTCGATCTCCCGCGCGGTCCGACTCTGTGGGGGGCTGACTCGCAACCCGAGTGGATGCAAAACATCAAGATTCACCAAGATAGCAGTCAGCCAAAACCCGTGAGAACTTCATTGCTCCTCGATTTTATGCTCGCACCATGATATCAAATTGCCCGTCCGCGCTATCTCATCTATCCCTTTAACCACACGTCCAGTTGACTGAGAGAAGGAAAAGAAAATTACCTCTCAGCAAGCCTCTCCAAGATCCCCATCGCCTCCTCATCATCAACCTCTCCCTCGGCACACTTGCCCGTAAAACAACTCGAGTGCGCCCAGACACGAGCCCCCTCAAACCCATCAACCAGCCTCTCAACATTCTCCTTCCTCACCCCGCCGCCGACAATAACCTCCAGTCCCTTTCCCGTTTCCTTGCCGGCGCCGTTGGTCATCATCTTCACCACGCCCTCCAACGACGCCTCCCGCACAACAACCTCCAGCGCCGCCCGGTTCTCCGCCGCGTTCCCCGGCCCGCCGGACGTGAGCACCCCCTCAAACCCACAGCACACCAAATCCCTCACCCCCCTCGTAATAGTCTTCATTTCCCCATCGCGAATCACCTCGTCAAAAGCCCGGTGGAAAGAACACGCCAGCCCGCCAGCGGCCTCCACCAGCCTCCGATTCCTCTCGACATCAACCACAACCCCGCCATCACCACTCCTCCTCTCCAACACCCCAAACACGAACCCATCCCCCCTCTCCCCCCTCAAAACACCCCGAAACCTCTCCACATCCCTCACCATGACCTCGAACTCGTCATCATCATACACAAAATCCACCTCATCTTCAGGGCGCTTCCCCCGCGGCCGGATCATGATCCGCACAGGTACCATGAGCCAGTTATTCACGCCCTCGAGGTCCGCGAGCGCGGGCGTCGTGCCGCCGACGGCGTAGCTCCCGCGCGCGTTCAGCTCGATGCGCTGCGCGCCGATGGCTTGGGCGTGCAGCGCCGAGGAAGGGGAGAAGACTGGTATCTCGAGGTGGATTGGCATTGCGGGCGGCGCTTGCTTTGTGACTGTCATTTGGGTGGTGTTGGTGGGTGATGTTGATTGACAAAGTGCTCGGGGTGAGATAGATTGGATAGTCGATTGGATAATGCGTTGATGTGATAGGTTCACTCGAATTAAGGTAGCGGGAAAAAGTAACGACAACCCTGCCAGTTTCGCTCAAACGTTGGTTTGACTTCAAAGAATCGAGGATAAAAGACACAATCAAAGGATGAAAACACCTAGAAGTCAATTGCAAGACGCCCACGTTTTAAAGACTCGAGAGTTCCTACGATAATTCTTGTTTATTCGCCTCTTGTCGCCCAGTCTGTCCTTATCAGCCTTGCTTTTGCCCCTTCGCTCGGACGGCACTTTTAATATCAGATCATGCCACCCTTCCTTGCTTGCTGTTCATGTCAGTTACCCCACCGGCGAACATGGAGTCTTGGAGACCTGGATTCAAGAAAGTCGTTCGAGTTTCCCCCCTCGGTTGGCTTAGTCATTGTGCATATCTTATTTAACCTGAGACGTGGGATAAAGGGGGGCACAATCGAAGGATGGGGAAGCTATGAATGATTGATGCTCAATTCCTATGAAGGGGCTATGGGGAACTATTCGTGGGGGCCTGGACGACTAAGGTCTATCCTTCTCTCACTGTCTGCATCCCGAAAGCCATGATGGGTATCTCTGCCATTAAACCTCATCCCAACGCCTAAACCAAGGCCCGAATCCAGCCAGAATGCTCAATACCAATGTCGACGTTTGACTGCTTCCTGTCGAATGCAGCTCCCAATGCCAACGTAAGCTTCCAATTCCGTAATGGAGTAGTGATGTCTCCGTAATCACTGCGTCTGTGCTAGTCGCGGGCGAATCCAGCAACTGAATGCAGGTGCTGCCCTGATGGAAGTCGCAATGTCCTGACCTGGAGAGCAAAAATGTACAACGCAAGGGGCTTACTGCTTGTGCTGAGCGGACGCAGCCTCAAAGGCTTGGAACATCTCTGGCTCGTACTGAGGCACGTGGGCCTTCTTCGAGCCGCCGCCCTGATCGTTGCTGTGCTCGGAGAGGTGCTGGCGAGGAGAGTAGGGAGAGACGTAAGGACGAGGGAATTGCTCGTCCTCGGTCTGTCCACGGTCGTGCATGTAGCCACTCTGGGGTGCGTACTCGGTAGGATTCTGAGGGAGAGACGCAGAAGAAGCAGAAGGACGCTGGATCTGCTCGTTCTTGGGCTCATCGTGACGATCCATATAGGCTCCCTGGCGGCTGTAGTCCCCGGTGGCATGCTGACGAGCGGTCGAAGAGAAAGATGGAGCTTGGAACAGCTCCTTCTCCTGGTAGCCTCCCAGACGGTACTGATCCTCGTTGGGAGGCTGGAGAACAGGGACAGAGGAAGAGGGGCGCTGCAACTGCTCATTCTGGGGCTCCTCGCCACTGTTGAGTTGAGCTCCCCGGCGATGATGATCCTCGCTGACCTGCTGATGAGTAGAAGGACGGCGAGAGGGCTGCTGGTGACCAGAGCCAGCGGTCGAGGGGCGCTGGATGTAGTCCGGAATGGTTGAGGGATAGCCAACGTAGCCGGGAGACGGCGCGGCACTGTGCTGCGCGGGGCTGTCGTAGTTGGGCGTCATGGCAGCTGAGCTGCGGCCAAAGGACATCGAGGCCTGACGATCTGGGTAGCGAGGCATGGCATGAGGGTCAACGCGCGCCGAGGTGCTGGACCGGTTTCCGACAGGGTAGTCGGGGTAGCCCATGCTCGACTGCTGCGACTGGGGGTACTGAGGATCCGGGCCGTACTGGTTAGATCCCATGGCAGGCTGGTGACCGCTGTAGCCCGTAGAGGGGGCAGGCTGGTGCTGGCCAGTGTTGTACGCGGCGATCGCGTGGTTTCCCTGGTCGCCGAGGGCATGCTGGTTACGCTTCTGATCGTAGCCCTGGTTGGCGTAGTTCTGGAAGGAGCCCTGAACGTTGCGGTCTTGGTCGTAGTAGCCCTGGTTGGCGTAATTCTGGTCAGAGCTCTGGATGCTGCGGTTCTGGTCGTGATAGCCCTGAGTGCCCTGGTTCTGGTCATAGCCTCGGTACTCGTGATTCTGGGAGGAGCCTGCGACGCTGCGGTTCTGGTCGTAACCACGGCTGCTAGAGCTCTGACCGTTATAGCCCTGCCTGTCGTCACTTCGACCATGGCACTGATTGATGTACTGCTGACTTTGGGCGGCGTACTCCCGTTCGTAGTACTCACGGTTCTTGGAGCTCTGATCCCAGGTCTCAGAGTTGGGGCCATTGTCAAACCCCTGGGGGTTGGTAGTCTGGCCGTAGTAGTCGCGCGCCTGGTCGTAGTTGCCCTGGGTTCCAAAGTTCTGAACGTAAGAAGTCTGGGCTCTGGGGCCCTGATCGTAGTAGCCAGAATCCTGTCCGTAGCCACTCTGCATTCTGGGACCCTGGTCGTAGAAAGGCTGACGACTGGACTGCTGTCCGTAGAAAGGCTGGGTTCTGAGACCCTGGTCATAGTAGCTATTGGTCTCGAGAGGCGTAGCCATTCGAGCGCGTTCCTGGGGCGGCTGCCGACCACGCTGAGAGAGTCTGGGGCTGTCGTACGGGTGAGCACGGAAGTCACGGTTCCGCGTGACAGCCTTGGGAGGGCGAGGGGGCAGCGTCGAGCGCTCCTTGGACATGTTGCGCTGGGGCACCAAGCCGGGGTCACGAGGGCTCATGTCGGCCACGGGGGCCGAGAAAATAGGTCGTTGGCCTGCAGCACGCTTAACAGCGCGAGCAGCAGTCTCAATCTGCTGGTCCCGAGCAAAGGTGCGAAGATCGTTGTCAACATCGACAACATCATCATCGTCTCCCTCGGCGTCTTCGTCACCTCCATCATCAACGTAGTCTCCGTCGTTGTGGTCGGTTCCCTCAGAGAGGATGGTTTCGTTCTCCTCATCAGTGGTCTCGCCGGTATGCTTGTCGAAGCTGTCCTGAGCCTGGGCATCCTGGGAAGGAACAGACGCCTCATCCTGCAACTGACTCTTCTTGATCATGGCCATGGCCCTCTTCATCTCGTGTACGTACGGAGCCGCAAAGGGTGAGAAATGCTCCTTGTCGTGATTCTGGAAATAATGCTCCACTGTCTGGTTGTTAGCATGGCAAGTATGTTGGCGGAATGTGCTGAACGTACCAAGACTGAGCTGAGTGTATTGGCGCTTGGCATTGGGGCCCATCTCCCGCTGCATAATGACGGCCAACTCTTCCCAAGATCTGGACGAGCCACTGCCAACCCCTTTCGCCGAAAGAGGGACGATGGAACGCCAGAAGACGCGCTCTTCCTCTTTGCTCCACGCTTTACCGGGCATGTTGGCGTGGTGCAGGGTTGTCGCGATAGTCGGGTGTTGTAGTGGTAGAAAGCTCTCGGGGCAATTTTCGCGAGATGGCAATCCTTGCGAGATGAAGGCTTCTCTTCGTCTGGTGTGTTTTTCAGGAAGGAACTGCCGCCAAGTCGCAGATATTGGCAGTCGAGAGGAAAATAATGCTGTGGATTCGGGAGTTCAAAATTATTTCTCGGAAGAATTTTGTGCGGCAAGAAGTGGAAGCGATTTGAGTACGCGCTCGCGTCGAATGTTGGAAAGAATAAGTATGCCCTGAGGAAGTAGGAGTGGCCGGACTCCTGTAGGTGGGTGGTAGGTTGATATTTATATTGTGGGCAGTTGAGGCGGCCGTGATGAGGTGACCCCATGGTGGTGAATAGGTGATGTGGTGGAATCATGATGCGGTCGAAGGGTGATGGGACGGAGTGGTGATGGGACGGAAGCTGATGCAACGGAAAGCCACCTCTTCCGCCCAAAGCAACTCTTCTGGTTGTGATGCGATGGAATCGCAAGAGCTTGCGGTGAATTGGCGATGCGGTAGAAACATAATGTGGTGATTATGCGACGGAAGGGCCGTGCGGTAGAAAGGTGATGCGATAAAAGGGCTATGCGACGGAAGACTGATGCGGCGGAGTGGTAATGCGGTCAAGAGTTGATGTGGTGAATAGGTTGTGCAATGGATTGGTGATGTGACGAAAGGTGGATGCGATGAAAGATTGGACGAGTGAATGGCCTCCCGGGAAGGAGCAACGGAGGCGAGGTCGGTGTCATGGCCGTATTCGAGCAAGGTTACTGGTTCATGGGTGACAGATGGACGACACAACCATGGACAAGTCTGCGGGAGACGGCAGCAAGCATCCATGTGGGTGTCCAGGATCGATGCCTTGGGTGTGGATGGGTGTTGACGAGGGTCGATGTGGCCAAAAGCTGAACTTTGAAAATGTGCAGCTGGATCAAGTGGGTGTGCTTCAAGTCACCCTGAGCAAGCAGAAGCTTGGGACTCCCAACCAGTTCTGGGTGATGCCAAAGACAGCCCAACAAACGACTTGCCCCTGAGTTAACCAACACTCCATCTGCTGCTGAACCATCTGCTGGATCGTCTTCGACATGTCGCTATTCGACCATTATCAGCAGATCGTAACAACGAGGCTGTCTTGCTGCTCGCAGGCCCTTTCCCACACCAGAGTCGTCTGCAAAGAGCTTGTGGAGAGTTGAGTTGACTCTCTTTGACCATGGAGAACTTCAACCAAGACGAGCAGCACAACGCCACACCGAGCTCTTTGAAGCTCCAAAGGCCCAGCTGGAAGACAGCCTACTCAAAAGGACTCTGGGGGTCGGCTGGTTTGTACCCCCTGGCAGTCAACGCTGCTGCCAGCCGCCATTCAAGTCTCGAGAGCTATCACAAGTTAGAATCCATTACCTGACTATAGGGGATGAATACCAACAATGCTCTTCTTCTCGGGAGCAACAACACCCTCTCTGATCCAGAACCCCCAGCCGCCCATCATGTTGGCCAGCATCATGTCGGTGGTCAAGCGATCACCGACGACGGCGACCTGAGAGGGATGGGAGACGCCCGTTTCGGGGTGCTTGCGAAAGTACTCCATGATCTCGGAACCACAGCCGGGCTTCTTCGTCTTGTGAGGCAGGACGGTGATGCCGGTGGCTTCCTCCAACTCCTTGGCCAGCTTGAGCGAGCTGTCGTAGGACGTGGCTCCAGCCGTGTTGGAGACGATGACCAGCCTCCGGCCGGGATACGCGGCCTTGAGCTGCTCGAAGCGCTCCTTGATGATTGTTCAGCGGCCTGGAAAGCTTTGGGGGAAGCATAGCAGTGACATACCTTGTAAGGCTTGTGGACCTCATTCGTGTGGGGAACCGCGAAGCAGTCGTCCTTGTCGAGCACCACAGCCCTGATGTCGCATTTCCGATTCTGGCCCTCAAAGGCTTTTTCAAACGGGATGGGTAGGTCGTTGAACGTCGCGACCGTGTGCTGCGGCAGACACAGCGTGGGCTTGAACAACAGCTTGAACACGTTCACCGTGCCGGAGAGGTTGAGATTCATCTTGGTGATGGGCCCTTGGGGTGAGGATGGGATTTGGGGGGGAAGGAGATGAAGTTCTTGGTTAGACGGAGGCAGGGCCGGAGAGATTTGGACCATGCGGGGAGCTTGGGCCACCTGCAGAATGCGCAACAGCTACCCCTGTTCGTCTGATAAGATAAGCACCCGGGCGCTGCGCCTGTGACATCGGGGCGGACAACTCAATTAGACACGGGGGACCCACTCGGCCGCCTCCCTGTCCGACTGCACATTTTCGCGTCTCCCAGCGCGTCGTCTCCGGTTGCCGTGCCGTCGAAAGCCGCAAAATATTGACCACCACCCACGCCATTGAACCAGGACGTCAGGAAAGTCAACGACAACGACAACAGACCGCCATCGCAACGCAAAATGTCCAGGAAGAGACCACAAGAGTCGGATGTGGGCGACTCCCCAAGCAGCAGACTGAGCCAGAAGCGCTCCCGCCAGCAGCTGCACGACGGAGCCGGCGACGAGCCCATCAACGGGACCCCCTCGAAGCGGAGGCGCCAGGCAGAGGACCCTTACGAAGTGCCCTCTGACAGCGATGCCGCCGATGGCGATGATGGAGAGGCAGCAGCAGTAGCAGCAGCAGCAGACCCCAAATCCGAACCCGAAGAACACACCCCGAGAAAGAAACGAGGCCGCCCGCCAAAATCAGCAACGCCCCAAGCCAGCGGCGCCGTCACGCCCTCGAAGCTGCGCCAGGTGAATATGCTGGTGACGCCGGTAAAGGCCGCCATCACACCGCGGAGGCGCCAGGCCGCGGACCGTTCCGCGCGGAGGAAGAGCGCCAGGGCTCTGATTCAGAGCATCGTCGCCGACGGGGACAGCGACGAGGACGAGGGTCTCGCGCGGGAGATTTACGAGTCGAGCGAGGAGGAAGAGGATGAGGAAGAGGCCGAAGAACAGAGGACACCGCGGGCAAAGACGACAACATCGGCGACGAAACCATTCACAGCATCAGCATCAGCATCAGCATCACAACCCCCCGACCCAGAAACACCATCAGCAACGACCCCCCGCCGCCGCGGCCGCCCACGCAAGATCCCTCCGCCCAAATCACCAACCCCGCCCCGCGACCTGCCCCCCCACGAAATCTACTTTGAGCAGAACAAACCCGGCCGCGCAAAGACGTCCCACAACACCCTCGCCTCCCTGGACCTCCTCACGCACGAAGAGTACTTTGACCTCCGCCGCGAGGACGCCTCCCAAAATAAAGACCCCCACGAAGACGACCTCGCCTACCTCGAGTCTCTCCACGAATCCTCCTTTCCGCAGTGGCGCTTCGAGCTCGCCCAGGGCTTCAGCCTCTGCCTCTACGGCCAGGGCTCCAAACGCAACCTCGTCGCCAAACTTGCGGCGCACCTCTACGCCGCGGACCCGGAGGCGCCCATCGTTGTGGTCAACGGCCACGTGCGCTCGTTAACAGCCCGGGAGGTGTTTTCTACCGTCGCCGCAGCGCTCGATCCGGCGCTGAAATTGCCTGCTCAGACGACGGCCATGGTCCAGGCCCTCTCCTCGGCCCTCACATCTCGGTCTACATCATCACACAGTCGACCGATAACAATCCTCCTCCACTCCATAGACGCTCACCCCCTCCGCAAACAAACAACCCAACAACTCCTCTCCCAACTCGCCTCCCTGCCCCTAATCCGCCTCGTCGCAACAGCAGACACGCCCTCCTTCCCCCTCCTCTGGGACGCCGCCCAGCGCACATCCTTCAATTTTTTGTTTCATGACGCCACCACCCTCCAACCGCTACAGGACGTAGAACTCGACCCCGTAGACGAGGTCCACGAGCTCCTCGGCCGCAAAGCCCGCCGCGTCAACGGCAAAGAGGGCGTCGTCTTCGTGCTGCGCTCGTTGCCCGAGAACGCAAAGAAGCTGTTCGAGTTGCTCGTCATCGAGGTCCTGTCCGCCATGGACGACGACGCCGGACAACAGTATGGGGCGGAGAATCCGGGTGTCGAGTACCGGATGGTGTATAACAAGGCTGTGGAGGATTTCATCTGCAGTTCCGAGATGGCGTTCCGGACGCTGCTGAAGGAGTAGGTTCCCTCATCCCACACACCTTGCTGACTGGACCCCCTGTGCGAAGAGAAGCTGACGAGAACAGGTTCCACGACCATCAAATCATCGAGAGCAGGAAAGACGCCCTCGGCACGGAGCTCTTGAGTATCCCCTTTAGGCGGGAGGAGCTCGAGGCCATTCTCGAAGACTTGATGTCATGAGTCGGCCGCTACATACCCATGAATCATTGCACATTCAAAACATTCAGGAGGCAAAAGCATATTGGCGTTACCTAGCATCTGTAGCTTTACCAAACAGATTCTCGCAAACCACATGGCACATAGACTCAAGGCATTGCATTCATAATCATGATCCCCCATGTTCTAGGAGTATTTTGTAAAAGAAAACCATCTCGTGAAACCCTGACACCCCCTAAAAACGCCAGTCCCATGTCGCGCACACCCCTACACCCCGATACTTTTGACACACGTCCAGAGGACCACCGGCACAATAACGTTATCGTTTCCGCCGGTCAAGACCGCCTCCGTCAAGCTCGCCATGCTGGCGCAGAAGCCGGCGTTCCGCGCCGACGTGGGCCACGCCACATGCTGCTCCGCCGCAACGGGCCACCCACCAACCCGAAGCCAGGTCGTTGCCGCCATCAGCCCAAGGAACACGGCCCCCGCGAACGCGACGCTGCCCTCGAGACTCTTGCCGCCGCCCCAGACCCATTTCCTGTGCCCGTACCGCCGGCCAATAAGCGATGCCGCCGCGTCGCCGAGGCCGACGCAAATGACGCCCGCTACCATGCTGACTTCGCGCGTCGGCACCTCCCACCCGGTCAAGTAGCCGCTGCCGGAGCGCGGAAGGGTGGCGAGGGACAGCCAGAGAGGGATGGCGCAGCCGATGAGCAGGAACAGGTGCGAAATAACGACGGGCCCCTTGTGGTCTCTGCCATCCACGTACGGCGTGAGGAACGAGGCGATAGGCCGGGACAGCGGCGGGAGTTGACTCGCCCGCAGGAGATCGAGAATGAGGAAGATGGCGAGGACGAGCGACAGTGCCAAAGCCGCAAAGACGGGGTCGACAAAGGTCGCAGGGAGGAACATGCCGACCATCATAAAGTGGAACACCTTTCGCCTCGTGTCCACCTCGTACTTGGGGTCCAGGCGGATGACCACGGTCAAGCCGACAATGACAATGGCAAGCCAGTATGCTGCCATGAGGAGCCGCGCGTTGGCTTCGCCAAAGTCGGAGAGCCGAATGTGCTGCACCCAGCCCTGGTGACAGGACGCCTTTGCAGCATCGTCGCTCAGGCGTGTAGGTAAGCAGATCCATCTCTCGAGGTTCGCTTCGACAACTTTGAACCTAAACCACGGCAGCTCGCCAAAGAGATACCCCAGGGCCCAGCCGACGGGCTCGTTACCCAGCAGAGCATGGCGACCAATGTACTCTCGTACAGGCACCAAGATAATGAGCACAATGCAAGTGTAGACGTACGTCGCGTACGACCACTTCCTCATGGTGGCTTGCGCCTCTGTCAGCTTGAAGAATGAGCGGACGGTAGTCGAGGCGGTGCGTTTCCTCCGGCCCGCTGATGTGTGTGTCAAGGACCGCCTCGGCCGCTGCAGAGCATACGGAAACGTGTTGCGTCGCCCAGCGGCGAACCCGTCTGGTGATGCTGGGGCTTTGCCATCTGGAGAGGCGCTCATCTTGCGCTCTCCCCTAGAGGGCATATCAGCCATGCCAAACGTCCGGACTCTCATCGGCTTCGCAAACGGTCCATTGATAATCTCCTCTTCAGAATCGCCCAGTTCAGATGCCGACTCCTCCAGTGATGAGCCCAACAGCTCGTGCTTGAATCGCCGCATAGAGAGCCCCTCGGAGAGAAACCCAAAGACGGATGACTTCTTTGACGGGGTCACGACGCGCCTGAAACGCAGCCTTGGAACCCTAGCCAAGGCGATCCCCCATCGAATCACCGGTCCGCAGACGACGAGCACGCCCACGCCGCCTCCCCAGAGCAGCGCCTGGAGAATGGTGGCCTGTGGCGAGTGGGCGAGGAGGAGCACATTGATCAAGGCGATGGAGAGCAGCTGCAGCTCAGCCGTGAGCAGGCTCGTCGTAGTAAGATAGTGCAGCACCTCGAGCAGTGTCTGATGCAGCGGATACAGGAGAACAGCCGTCTCTGGGCTGATGCTCGGTCTGGATAGTGTCGCTTCCGGGTGTTGCTGCGAAAGCCACATGGGAACGCAAGATAGAACCCATTGCAGGGGGTTGATGGCTTCGTGAGCGCGAGCCGTCGGGATTAAGTATTTGGGTATCGAAGAAATGCTCAGAATAATGTTGGTAAGAATGACCGCCTGGTTGTCGGGGGATATTAATAACGACACGAGGAGCGTCACTGACGGCGGATACAGAATGGGCGCAGGGTCAAAGACGGTGGGCACGGCAATGGCTGGCTTTTTGGAGGAGGCCCTATGGCGGGTTGACCATGCGAAGAGTCGGATCGGATAGAGTATCATGAGAGAGGTGATGAGCGTGGCTGGGAAGCGTAGTTCTGTACAGGTGAGCTTGCATTCCGAGACCTGGGATCTGATAGCATACCTCTGCTCCACGCGGTGAACAGTGGCTTCACCAACGGATTCGAGCGAACCACTGCGAAGAGCGAACCGACAATGATGAACTCTGACACCCGCCGGATGAGCTCCTTTGTGCGGCGGTAATTGCGCTCGTTGAGGAACCTGCGGGCCTCTTTCCGATCCTCCTTTTCCTTTTGCTTCCGCAGAGCATCTTCTTCCTGGTCTGGAGAGAAGAGGGGCGTCGACGAGCCCGAGAGTACCTCGTTCCGTCCCCTTAGTCCCTTGTGCAGGCGGACCTTGGGCGCCGGCAACCCCTTGAGAAAGTGCTCATCGTCGGCTTCGGTACCGCTGTCGCTACCCTGGGAAGAGTCCTTGGCGAACGATGGGAAGGGAGACGGGGTCCGGCTTGAGTCTGTTGACGATGTTCTCGGCGGTGTCGGTGCGGAATTGGGCGGCTTATAGACTAGACGGTGGGCGGGATGAGGGAGCTCGGTATTGAGGTGGTGATAGGGATGCGGGGAGCGGCTGAGAGATCGGATTTCATCGTTTGCTTCTGTATCGTGGCCGAAGAGAGCGTTCGGTTCGAGATGCGCGGGCATGGCGGAGCTATCGCATTGGAGACTGCTGCCGCGCCAGCATTCGTTGACTATCGGGAATCACTTTGTTGGCGATGCTGGGTAACATGGAATTGGGTGAGACGGGTGCCGTGGGCTGTCGCAGGGTGATTGGGGCGTCGCTACGATGATGGTGTTTCTTTCACGTCAGGCCACGGGTGTCAGAGGCTGGGGAACAAGTTGACGGCGAGGCGGCGGTTGTGGGGAGCTCCATCACATGAAAGATGCGAATTGGCAGCTGTGTTGTCATCTGGGAGACCGGGCTAGCTGGGTTAGTGGGCTGTCTGCCAGCGTCAGTCTCTGTTGGGAAAGCGGTTCATCAGCCGCGCGGCGCCAGGGAGGAATGCGCCAACGCGAGTGGACAGCGGGTGACAGCAGCGACAGTCAGCACTCAGTGGGTGGCAGTGACAGATCCCACCGGATTTCATGAGGCGCACGAGCCACAGGGCCAAACAACACAGCCTGTCACCTCCTGTGGCTGAGCCTGATGCCGCAGAGGTTCTCTTGCGATGCTTCTCTTGGCGGGGCACTCGGGCGTGTCTTCCGGGTACCGAACACCAGCTTACCTAAGGTACTTGCGACCATGTACTCAGCCTCTCAGGCGAGGAGGTACCTGAGGATTCTCCCGCCCCGGGACCGAAGACGAGAATCAGAAGCCGTCAACCGTCTTTCTTCTACAAGTCTGGAGAGGCTGACGAGAGACACCGCGATCAAGCTCAGCATCATCAAACGCGCCCACCTCAGGGACGTTCCAGACGTGATCCCAGACGCCGGTGACCTCATTTCCCGACACTCAACCATGGTAGCCTCCATTCGGAAGCCTCTATGTGGCGGACATTGCCAGATTCCTGCAGGCATGGCCTGGCCTGACGCCTCGAGAAAAGAGCAATGTTGACGTCGCAGTGTCATTCTTAAGTAATCTCAACCACAAACAAGACACACGCGCGAAACGGCACAGGCCAAGCCAGAGCGGAATCAGCCTTCAGCCCTTCAAGAGATGAAAAAAAAGTCAATTGAACCCGTCAGGCCAGCCGTGCCAGCCTGGTGCCCGTCGCCCCTTGGCGGCATCTGTCACTTGTTGTTGCGGTGACGCCAGCCTCTATCAATCTGCTGCGCGCGACCTCACGATGATGCACATGCAGTCCACCTGCGGAGAGAAGGCAGGTTGCGACGTTGCGATATGGTGGACTTCTGACATAATCGATGTCTCCAGTCTCCAGGCCAAAATTGGAGCATCCCAAGTGGGTGCTGTTCGCAGCTCAACGTCGGTCTGCAGCATCGCCAGATCGTTGACACCCATCTGATGCTGGATGCTCCTCACACTTGTTGGGCGTCGCAAGCCTACTGCTGCTAAAAACTGCCAAAAATAACAATCAATCGGAGAATCAACAGGCAAGCCACAAACCACCAGATCGTGGGGCATCGCTGACCGTTTCCCAATCCGGACGCCACCATCTTTATTTTGTCCCGTCAGTGCCCGTCAAACGTACGAATAGCGAGTTGGCACATCTGCCTCAGCCTCCTCGCCTCCCGCTAGCATCCGGATGCTCTAGCGGGCCACGAAGCCTGCATCGGCATCGACGAGTGCGAAAAAAGGGTCGAGGCCCCGGCACTCGGCTGCCCGACCGCCCCAGCACCCGTCATTCGAGAGTCTCGAGGATGAGGGCCGCATCTCGTATTACCTGGTCACTGCAGCGGGTCGAGGATTGGCTGGCAGGGACTGGGGACATGCCAGAGAGACAGCTGCACTGGGCCGCTCCCCCAAACCGGACGCTGGGCAGAAAAAAAAGTCAAAATACGAGTCGCAGGTGTTTTGTCCACTCACTCGATTGTGGACACTGGACAGTGACTATTCACCGCGAGCAGGGACGAGAGGTCTGATAGGTGACGGCTCGTTTCAAACGCACGCAAACAGAACGTCAAACGGGTCAGACGGGCTAAGAAACCATACGGGCGGCTTCAGGTGCGCAACGCTCCAAACGGCGACCATCACAGCCACCTCCCGTACCAGATAGGACAAAAGACCACCAGCTCAGACGGATGCGTGAGCCCACACGTTGTACAGTTGCACCTCGCCGTTTGACGTGTTCCACACCAGATTCAGGTGCGACGAAGCTCAGGGGAGATGGCTCTCTTATGCAAAGAGTTTCTAGCGACAGATGGACGGCGAACACAAACACAGAGGGAGTGATATTGAGGCTCTATCGACGGGAGAGGCAGGCCAAAAGCAAAAATGGTCTTATCAGCTCCCTTGGGATACCATGCTTGCAAAGCTGACCGGACCGGCAGTGGGTTCGTAATCGACCTGCATGCAGTGCCAGCGCGGTGGATGTCGCAAAGATGCTGCAGCACACCGCACCGAGACTCCAAGACCCCCCGGGCACTCGCTGGGGCGGCTGGGTGCAGGCCCCGACAGTCAGCTCCCCCCTCCCCTCCCAGGAGCCAACGATGCGAGGATGGAAGCAATTGGACGAGAAACCCCCATGGTCTGACTGATCACCAAGAGTCTTGCATATGTGGATGGCGCGAAAGTCACCGAGTGCGGCACCATCGCGGGGCATCTGAAGTTGGCAAACACCAGACGGCTCGTATCGCGGCGTAGCGTAGCCCACGTACGTCTGTCTGCACTTCTGTATACAGCATGTGCAAAGTGTGGGACAATGAATCAGACTGACGATGGGCTCGGAGACGATACGAGACGCCGCTGGTCTCCTGCTATTGGTGATGTCACAATCCACTCGACGGCAGCACCGGGCTGACTCCTGAGGAAAAAAAAACATGAGCCAAGTGGCTTTTGGGCCAGTGGGTATCAGGGAACGGAAAGACATTGCCTAGCGCAGAGGCCACGCCCGGAGGAATTAATGGGCTTTTGACATTCCCGGCCAAAATTGGGACAAAATCAGCAAAATATTATTCAATATCGACTGGAGCCGAGGATGGACGCTGCGCCTGACGATCCCTGTGCGAGCTGCTGCAGACTCCAGTCTCCAGAGGCTGTCCCGGCACGCCGCAGACGCGATGGACACCAGTGACGAGCGATAGCGATGCACGATGGGGATGGACTGATGAAATGGGAAGCTCGGTTTTGGTTCACGGCGGAGAGGGTTACACTGGGCCTGTCGACCGGGGCTCAGTTCGTCACTCTATCCATACTGACAGAGCTACGCAGCTAGAACGGACCCATGGAAGCAATGGGACGGATAGCTCGAGTTGGGCCGACAGGACAGGGGTACGTCGTCGGGGCGGCGAAACAGGGAATCTTTATATGCACAAAGATGTGTTGCCCCCAGCCGACTGGGCGACGCCAATGTGCATTCTGCCTGGGACGATCTTCAACAGGTTTAAACGCCAATCCCCTTTGCTCGCTCGCTCTGCCACTTCTCATCTGATCATCCTTCGGTCGCTGTTCTGCTACGACGCTCGCTCGCCTTTGCTGTTTGTCCATCGCCACCTACAACACGGTAGATTCTCTCGTCACCCCGACTGTTCAGAGTTGTTCACATTCCAAGCCAAGTCTCAGGCCCGTGAAATTGGCGGGACTGCGCAACAATCTACACACATACCTACCGCCCAGTGTCAGCTTCCACCCATTGGACGGGTACGCAGTAGTTTCCCGCTTCCGTCCATTCTCAAACGATAAACATTCAGCAGCAAGGTTTTTTTTTTGCTTTTGATACCGAACCCCGGGGACCGCAAAAGAAGCGCGCGGCGTGCCTCAAGCCGACCCTCACATCCCAAAAGCTGTTAGCTCGACGGGTCTCACTACGCTGAAAACTCCATCCTTGGCCTCACCCCCAACCACCCACCAGACAAAAGGGTTTCGGCCGGCCAGGTACCACCGATCAACCAACCTTTTAGATCGCCTCTCGCCCCTCTTCCTCACATCAGAAACGGAGGCCGCTTGCGACATATACAATACCTGCAAGCCTTCTCTTTGAACCTGTCGGGTCATTGGATCTTTTCCCCCCTCTCTTACATCTTTCGCCGCCTTTTGCTGCAGCCGGGACGCTAGACAGACCCTCACTCGCTGTGTGTAACTTCACACTTGGTCCACTGCACACCTACTTCCGCGTCCATCCATTGGACATTCACAGCTGTCGTTTCCGTCCTGCCGTCTTGGGTGTTTGTAACCTTCCTGACCTCTTGGTCCTGTCTATAAACAACCCCGGAGCACCTCACACATCTCGCCACCATGACTTTCGACACAAAGTACGACCATCACCTAGAAGAGGGATTGCTGCCTGTTGTCAACGAGAAGGGGACCACGACGACATCACCATCATCCAGGACGCCAAACAAAATGACTGCTGCACGCCGTCTTCTGCTCACCGTCTTGGTGTGCGGCTTGATGACCCTCAGTCTCGCCTCAGCTATTGGTCACCAGGCAAGGCCTTGCACGAGAGATCATCAGGAACAGGTCCTGGTGGCAGAGGGCGAGGTCAAGGACGCTGCCAAAGTGGATCTCATTCACAGGCTCCTCCACGCCTACTTCCCCGACCGCTACCAGGATGGCGTCTATGCCTCGGACAAGGAAGCCATTGCTGCTTTCCAGGCGGACGACGCCGAGCTGGCTTCTGCTCTCGGTCAGCTAGAGAAGCGTCAGGACAATGGCACCTCGAGCGCTGCTCCGGCTGCCACTCCTACGCCGTCCGCCTCCGAAGCTTCCACGCCGTCTGCCTCATCCGCGCCGCCGGCCAGTGACACCCCGACCCCGACTCCGACCCCGACGCCGTCTACTCCGGCCACCACCTCGGCTGCTCCCCCGGCGTCCTCCTCCGCAGAGGTCCAGCAGTCCTCCAGCACGCCGCAACAGACTTCGGCGGCGCAGACCACGCCCCAACAGTCATCGCAGCAACCCGCCGCCTCGAGCACCCCCACGACGCAACAGACCTCAGCAGCAGCCCCTACTTCTGGTACGTCTCAATCGGAGTCGCAGCAAGCATCTCCCTCTTCTACTCCTGTTGGGCCGTCCACCGTCTCTACTGAGTCTCCTCCGACGACCAGTGGGTCTCCTTCCTCTTCTTCTCCCCCTCCCCCTTCTTCTGCCCCCTCGTCCGCTCCCACCACGGCCTCCCCGGGGTCTTCGAGTGCGTCCGCGCCGGGTACGTCTGCTTCCCCTTCTTCTGAGACTACTACGGTCGTGACCTCGTCCCCCACGGTGTCCTCCGAGCCCGCTTCGTCGACTGTGTCTGTATCTGGTATGTTGGTTTTGTAGCGCTCGATTCATGTTAGCCTGGGGTTGGCATTTTGGTTGATGATCTTTTTGGCCTCGTGACTCGTCATTTCCTTAATCTCCATCCTTTCGTACTCTTATACTAACAAAACATCAGGCACCACCCGCCAAGGCACCACCACCACGCGCAGCACGCCCCGGACCACCTCGTTCAGCGAGGTCAAGTCTACCTTTACGTCGACCGCCTCCAACGGCGACGTTGTCCTTGTGACCGCCACGTCCTTTGTCGCCGTCGATCCCGAACCCGCCGCCACCTCGGCCGGTTCCAGCGGCAGCGGCGGCAGCGGCGGTCTGCAAAACGTCGCCGTTCCCATCGGCAGCGTCTCCGTCCTGCCCATTGGCCTCGCTGCGTTTGTAGCCGGCGCCATGCTGTTGCTGTAGACATTCAGCACTAGGACAGCATTCAGCACCACTCGAACCTCTACAGCGTTCAGCATCGTCCACGTTGACGACTTTCTGTTTAAATATTTAATCCATTCCTTTATTTTGGGCAGCGGGTTTGGTTGGTTGGGCGGCACACACACATACACATCAGCATCACAACTTACTTACGACATTTTAACGGTCTATTCACTCCTTGCATACAAAACTGGTGGGCACAGCACAACAATCGACTCAACGACACATAGACTACGCGCAGCCAATGGCGCCGAACTTTGATTTTGGAGGGGATAATAGAATGGGAGGCACACTGAGAAACATCGTGGCCTCGGGGTAGTATTAGCGGAGGACGTAAAGGAGGAGGAGAAGGCGTAAGCGTAAGCGGAAGAAAACAGGCCACCATCACGATGGGGTAAACCTGAAATGTTAGTACAGTTCCTTGGCAGCTCCAAAGGGACTCGAGAAACAAACAACACTGAAGAATTTCGTGCCAAAAAGAATGAAAACAAATCATTTGACACACATTTGTTTTGAGACATGGTCCCCGCATTCCTTGACACGTTCGAGAGTTGTTTTCGCCTGCAGTGTTTGATTGCGGGACAGCCCGCATTCCAATGTAGTCTTGGGACTCTTGGCTAGGTAGGTGTTTGGCGTCAGGTGTCCAGATGGATCATCTGTTTTGCTGGTGTCTTGCTCGTTTTCGCGGTGTCATCTCTCTGCATCAAGGGAGGGGGAGCTCCGTGGCAGCATGGCAGCTTGGTAGTATGGAAAGTACCAGCAGCACCAGCGACAGCAACGCGAAGTGATGAATCTGTCTCTATCTTGCAGAGTTTGGAAAGGGTATACAATTACGCCAAAATCAGAGTTCCATTTTCCCAATCTCCCGAATCCATCCAACAAACAAAAGATCCCAATTGATAACCAACCCCCTCCCCTCCCCCCCGCCTTGCTCCAGAGCGTCCTCGACGGGACCTCTCGACGGGACCTCCCCATGCAAAGTCCTCAACCGGGTCCAATCTTGGGCATATCGTGATGCTCGCTCAGCTTCGACAAGTAGGTATTCAGCTCCTCGACGCGTTCCTTGTGCGTCTTGAGGAGCTCGGGGCGGGAGCTTGATGATTCTGCGAGTTCGAGGAGCTGTGTTTGGGCACGAAATGTCAGCATAGTGATCGAATGATGGCAACGAGGCAATCCTGCCCTGGAAGAAACGGGGAGGGGAAAAGAACATACCCTCTTGCGCTTCCTCTCCTCGTACCGCCTCTCCGCGTCCGTCTTTTGCACGACCCGACCGCCGGTCTCTTCCTCGTCGTCATCGTCATCTCGGTTCTCCTCGGGATCTTCGCTCCCTCTCCCGCTCTTCTTCTTCGATTTTGATTTCGAGTCGCCGGCTGATTCTTCGCGATGCTTCACCAGCGCAGTACTGCCGCCATCGTCGCGGCCCGTCTCGAGGTTCTTTTCGAGATCGGTCTTGTCGCGTCTCTTCTTCTTTTTCGGTTTGATCACTTTGGCGCCCTTGAGCTTGAGGCCGCCGCCGACGGCGGAGGCGTAGTCGTCGAGCGGCATCGTGGGGTTGTTGCCGTCGGATGTGATTGTGGTGATGGACTCCCGCGTATTGCAGGTGGGACGGCGACGCGGATCCGAGCTTCCCTTTTCCTTGTGCCCCGTCTGTCGGAGGCTTTCAGCTCTTCAAGGCCTATTTGCCCCACTAAGGTACCTTAGGTGCTTACACGGTAAGTATACCTTCGGCTTCTTCCCCCTGGCACTGCAGTCAGTGGCTTCGGTGGCTTTTTGTTCGTCATGGAGCGGCTCAGAGAATTTCGGCTGCTTGCTAAGGGGGCCCCCTGTCGCAAAGTCTCTGCGCCCCACACTCTTAAACCGGTGGCAGGCGCCAAGATGTGATTCGCTCTGCCCGTGCCGCGGATCTCGATGGGGGGCCAATCAAGGGTTGATCCGCGTACTTTTTGCTCGTGGGCCCGTGCGGGTGCGAAACAGCTGCTGCTGTGGTGCTGTGGTGCTGTGGTGCTGCTCTGCTGGCGGTGGAAGTCAACAATCTGGAAGCCCAGCCAAATTGCAGCAAAACTGCCCCCTTTGAATCAAAAGATACTTCCCAGGCTGTAAGGTAGAGCAGAGTGGGAAAGTGACTTGGCTGATGCTTGACTTGACTCGATGGTTCGTCACTGGAACCCTTGATTCTGCCGTCCACAACCCAGACTCCCAGGGGCTATTGTTGCATCTGGATGCCACCTTGTTCTCGACGCAACTCAATCTTTCTTTCTTCCCTCCTTTGTTCATCCGCCTCAACCTTAATCCGCACAACTCCCGTCGCCAGTGACCACACCTACCGATACCTGACGTCCACACGACCCCGGGCACCACATCTACTCACCCAGCCCCCATTTGTTCCGTTGGCCAATCTTATTCGGACATCAACAACAGTCAAGCATACGGATACCAGCTGCATGTTTACTTTCCTCTCCGCTTCTTTCCCCCTGGATCATTAGTCTGTTTCGGTTTCCGCGCGTAGGGAAGTGGGTATAGAGAGCCCTGGAGAGAGAGCGCAGAGACGGGCCCGGCGCAACTTTGTCACGACTCCTTTAAACGAAACGTATATGCCAACGACGTCACGAAGTTCGAAAAAGACACCGCTACTCTAATACCCACAATCGAGGGCACTCGACCGCCTACACTCCATTGGACTTCCACCTTGGCCGCTGCAACATGCGATAGCCCCAGGGCCAAACCTCCCGAACGCTCGAACAAAACCCAGGTCGAGAGTGCTCCCTCGCCTTCTCGATACCCCGTCCCCCGAATCAAACACCACCATGCCGCCCTACGCTAATGTCCAATCCCACCGCGACTCCCTCGAGCTCGCCTCCCTCGCCTCCTCCTCCCGCGCCGACTCTGTCGTCTCAGACCTCCCCTCCTCACGGCCCTCCATCTCCTCCTCCCGCAAGCTCTCCTTTGACGCCGAAGACCCCCTAGACGCCGCGAACCCGGCCGCCGCCGCCTCCTCAGGGAGACCGAACCGCCATGACCGCTCCTACTCCGTCTCCTCGGGCTTCGACTTCGCCGCGAACCTCTTCCCCCTGAGCTCCACAGCCGGCGCCGGCGGCGCCGGCGGCTACGCACCCATCGGCGCGCCCACCTCGACTGCGATACAAAACGGCGGCCTCGGCGGCGGCAGCTTGGAGAAGCACAAGACGCTCACGTACCTCAACGGCCTGAGTCTGATTGTGGGCCTCATCATAGGGAGTGGTATCTTTTCGAGCCCGAGCCAGGTGAGCTCAAAAGTCGGTTCGCCCGGCGCCGCGCTCGTCGTCTGGGTCATTGCCGGCGTGCTGGCCTGGACGGGCGCGGCGAGCTACGCGGAGCTCGGCGGTGCGATACCTCTGAATGGCGGCGCGCAGGTCTATCTCGCCAAGATCATGGGCGAGATGGCCGGCTTCCTCTTCACCTGGGTGGCCGTGCTGGTGCTGAAGCCGGGCAGCGCCGCCATCATCGCCATCATCATGGGCGAGTACCTCGTGCGCGCGGCCATTGGTGCCGAGGCTGAGAGCCTCAGCCCCTGGGTCAACAAGGCCGTCGCCATGGTCGCCCTCGTCTCCGTCACCCTGCTCAACTGCGTCTCGACAAAGCTCGGCACAAAAGTCAACGACTGGCTCATGTTTCTCAAGTTCATTGCGTTACTGGGCGTCACCGTTACTGGCATCGTCGTCGCCATCACGGGCAAGACCGTCACGGGCAAGGCCAACATGGAGTGGAAGTCGCACGAGTGGTTCGAGGGCACCTCCACCGACCTCTCCGCCTGGGCTGTCGCCCTGTACGCGGGACTCTGGGCCTACGACGGCTGGGACAATGTAAGTTTTTTCGTCTCGAGATTCTGAGCGCCGCTGACCATCCAGACAAACTACGTCGTCGGCGAGTTCCGCAACCCGAGCCGCGACCTCCCCCGCGTCATCCACACCGCCATGCCCCTCGTCATCCTCTCCTACGTCCTCGCCAACATTGCCTACTTTCTCGTCCTCCCCCTCGCGGCCGTAAACGCCTCCAACACGATCGCCGTCCAGTTCGGCGCAAAAGTCTTTGGCCCCGTCGGCTCCCTCGTCCTCGCTCTCGTCGTCTCGGCTTCCTGCTTCGGCGCCCTCAACTCGTCGACCTTTACCTCGTCGCGGCTGGTCTATGTTGCCGGCAAAGAGGGCTACATCCCGTCTGTCTTTGGCAGCATCGGCTTGTCGCGCAGCGGCAACAGCAGCGGCGGCCACTCCGTCACCACATCCCGCACCTCCCGCGGCCGTCTCGCAAACCTCCTAATCCGCGCCCTCGGCGACGACGACATGGGCCTCTTCTACACCCCCGTCTGGGCCCTCGTGCTCAACGGCCTGCTGACGGCGGCCTACATCATTGTCGGCGAATTCGGCACCCTGCTGACGTTTTACGGCGTCGCGGGGTACACCTTCTACTTTATCACGGTGCTGGGCCTCATTATTCTGCGCGTGCGCGAGCCGCAGCTCGACAGGCCGTACCGGACGTGGATCACGACACCCATTATTTTCTGCTGCGTTTCGCTGTTTCTGTTGAGCCGCGCCGTGTTTGCGCAGCCGCTGCAGACGGTGACGGTGGTGCTGTTCGTGGTGGCGGGCGTGCCGGTGTACTTTTGGCGGATCCGCGGGCGGGATCAGCAGGTTGTCAAGAGGGAGGTGAGGCATCGTAGTTATGAAGAGGGGGAGGAGAGGGCGTGGTGGCAGTTTTGGAAGAGGTCATGATGCGCCCGAACATGGAGGGTGAGGGTTTGCGAGGTTGAGAAAGAGAGAGAGAGGAGTCGTGGCTTGGGAGATTCGCGCCCCTGCTGCTTCTGGATACCTGTCTGAGAGGTCATTTTTATCAATTTTGCATATCGCCGCCGTACGGTGAATGGCGGCGCGCTGGGGATTGGTCAGGATTCCCGACCCGAGGAGTTTTTGGATTCTGAAAAAGAAAGAGACGTTTTGGCGTCGGATTGCGCTGCTAGAGTCACGGCGGCCAAGGCTTCTGGCATCAAAAAAAGAGTATTTCTAGAGCGTGGAGGATTGGTAGCGTTCAATCGAGCAGACAAGCAGCGTAATGGAGCAAATCATGCTCGCGCCTTATGAATAGAAACAAATGTACAAGCAACCCTGACGAGAATCAAGTTTGCGTGTGACTTAACGACAGCTTACGAATGTGCCAAAGTGTCAAAGTGGTCTTGGGCACCTCTTCGCCCTCTCCCGAGTCGCCGCGAGAAGAAGACGTGCTGCCCAGCTGATGGATTAGGTGAAGAGTGATTGGTACCGAACAAGCATGGCACTAGGAAACAAAGGGCAGAGTTGAGCTACGAACTTTGGCAGAGTTAGCATGCTGAGGGCTGTAGGGAAACACACCGCGAACCACCCTCTCTCCTCTCTTCGCCTGACGACCACTCCGAACGGGTCTTGGATTGCAACCCAGGGCATGGCCAGACTCTGCTACAGACAGTCCCCGAGCGCCTGAAGCCTTCCAGGCAAATCACTCAACTCAATCAATGCCATTGGAGACAATGTATGCATCGCATCAGGTTATATTCCTATGTACGGCTAACCTAGACTTCAAAAAAAAACTACATGAAGCCCAAAATGTAAATGCTGATGCCAAAAAACTACTAAAAACAAACGCTAAATTTCCTCACACACAACCGTTTCATTGGGGTATGATTTCCACTCCAATCGACATCCGAGAACTCGCTCACTTCTTCTCGCGCTGGCCGTACGCCTTGGTAGCGTAGTCGCCCTTGTGCACAATAAGATCCTCGGGCTTGTAGTCCTCGCGACCGCTCAGGTAGCTGTCGATGATGGCCTTTGTGCCGTCGGCGTAGCGCTTCTGAGCATCGAGCGAGGTGCCGGACATGTGGGGCACCATGGCGTTGCCGCCGCCGAAGGGGTTCTTGGCCGTGCGGAGGGGGTGGTCGCCGGGGGCGGGCTGGGGGAACCAGACGTCGCCGCCGTAGCCGGCGAGGTGACCGGACTTGAGGGCGTCGGCGACGTCCTCCTTGACGACGATGGCGCCGCGGGCGGTGTTGATGAGGTAGGAGCCCTTCTTCATCTTGGAGATGAGGTCCTTGTTGAAGAGGCCGCGGGTCTTCTCGTGCAGGGGCGCGTTGATGGTGACGACGTCGCACTGGGCGAGCATCTCCTCGAGGTTCTCGACGCGGCGGCAGCCGATCTCGGCCTCCTTCTCGGCGGACAGGGGCTGGTAGTCGTAGTAGAGGAGCTCCTTGCAGTCAAAGGCCTTGAGGCGGCGGAGGACGCGCTCGCCGATGCGGCCGATGGCGACGGTGCCGACGGTCTTGCCCTCGAGGTCGTACTCCTGCTTGGCGACGGCGGCGACGTCCCAGTCGCCGCGCTCGATCTGCTCGTGGGCGGGGACGAAGTTGCGGATGAGGACGAGGATGGTCATGACGACGTGCTCGGCGACGGAGACGACGTTGGAGCCGGTGACCTCGGCGACGGTGACGCCGCCGTTGGTCTTGTTGGCGGCGTTGAGGTCGACGTGGTCGGAGCCGATGCCGGCGGTGACGGCGAGCTTGAGGTTCTTTGCCTTTGCGAGGCGCTCGGCGGTGAGGTAGCCGGGGTGGAAGCTGCCGTTGTTAGTTTGGGACCCGGGGTGCGTGACTCGATGCACTTACGGAGTGGTGATGATGATCTCGGCGTCGACGAGCTCCTGGTCAAACTTTGAGTTCTCGCCCTCCTTGTCCGAGGTGGTGACCAGAGTGTGGCCCTGATCCTCGAGCCATTTGCGGATGCCGAGCTCGTTCTCGGTGGTTCCCAAGAGGCCGGGGACCTGTGAAGGTTCGTCAAGTCAGCGATCGTTGTCTTGCAGGGACGGATGCCATGTCTTCAGGGATTGATGCCATGCACCCCGCATTGGGAGTTTCGGAGCTGCACATCGCCAAGAAGTTGGGGGAGGGGGTGAGGATGGAGGGTGGATGACGGGAGGGGTCGAGAGGATGCCGATGTATCTGCGATCGACCTCCGAGCCCCGCACCTTCCCGTCATCCCCGCACTAAGCTCAGCCAAACGGCGGGGCAAAGCTCCGCCGGGAAGCTATCATGGTGACGTTCCTGGCGGGTGGGTGCCCGGAGGAGGCGGCAATAACACAGGCAGTGGGGAGTAGACAGTAGACAGAAAGAACTCACGTCTTTGGCGTGCTGACCGCCGTCGTAGAGAACTGCAAGGACCTTGACCTGGTTTTGGCGAGTAGTTGTTAGTGTGCGGATCGAATTGAGTTGGCCAGGCAATTTGCGAGGGATAGTCGAGGAGGCTGGGGAGGCCCGGCTGAATGCGGGTCGAGCAGCGAGGAAAGATGCCTTTGAGGACGTGGAAAGTCCCCGAGAGGCCAGAGGGGCAGCGGAGCGGATGTGACGAGAGAGCAATACCATTGTGACTGATTTAAGGGTTTGATTTGGAGGTGTTGTTATTTGAGAGACCGAAGCTCGGAGGGAGGGAGGTCGTTATATAGAAGTGAATCTAGATGGGAAATCCGGAAGTTCGGAGATCTGTAGAAGAGGTAGATGAAGATGTTTGTTGTGTGTGATGGAGTGGAAAGGCAGGTCGACGGAAAACCGGCCAGGGGAGGTTGTATTTATGTCTTGTAAGAGCGTCGATGCATCGATACAATACATTGATACATGGCCGGCTGACCGGGACTTCAGACTCGCAGCTAGGGTCAGGGCGGGGAAACAAAACCACAGCGAATGGAGTACATGGACGTCAGAAAGAGGCAAGAGAATCCGGCTCCCGCGAGTCTGCCGTTGTCTGGCTGTGCTGGGTCCTGGGTCTGGGCTGGTTCGATTGAATCGATACATCGAATGTGATGGCTGCCTCCATCTCCTCTTTTCGTGCCTCTTTCCCGCGGCCATTTGCCTCACATCTCCCACTTCCTCCACCTTCCCGAGATACCATGCCCCTCCTTTCCAGAGTATCTCCTTGGAGCCAGTCAGATATCGGACAGGTATCGGCAAGGTTCGAGACGGCAGCGAGGCTGGGCGACAAAGGTGCGCAGAAGGTAGACTCGGGGAGCTCTGAAAGCTACCTCTGGCTCGGCATCTCCAAATTAGTCTCAATGTCAATGTCAGGAAATGTATCCGTAGCACCTGCTCTATAGCGGATGGGGAAAGCTCCAGACGTCCCATCATTGGCCGCGTGGTTCGTCTGCCCTCCACCCGAACGAGAGCTTCCCTCGCCCGCTTCAGTTGGCAGCACCGCCCATGGCACGATGAAACGCCGCGTCCAACCCGACCCCGGCAAATCTTCAACCCCAAGGCCGCAGACAGCACTCTTACTGTGCAGCTAGACCAGGAGCTACCATCCATCTCGTCTTTGGCGGCCAGCCAATTCCCGTTGATCAAGAACCCCATGCAATGCGGAGCGTGCAGTCGCGACAATCAGCAACAGCGCGCATCCTATCAAGCATCACGGTCCTGAATGAGGGGTAACAAACCACCTTCCAAGACCGCCATCATACGTGCGCCGTTCCATCATCCAAAGCGAATGCGGCTTGGGTTGTGTGTACTATGTGTTCTCATCACCTAATCATTTCTACGACGCTCTCCAATCGTCATCCGCGCTGGACAGTCGATCATCTGTTTCGGTTACACACGACCGGGCCTGGTATCAGACGGACCGCAGCAGATTCGTGGACGTAGACAGTAGACGCTGCGGAGAAACAATGGCATGGGCGCTTCTGGGCTGGCGGGCACAAACTGGCTAGCCATCTACAGCATGCACGAACCAATCCCTTATGCGCCGCTGGGTTGGAACGGAGATTTGTCGTCAAGCTTTCGAGAGACCCCTCCGGAGGTGGTTCGGCGTTCTGTCGGGGTTCCTTGCGTGCGCACTGCGTGAGGGGTGGTTGAACTTCGGCGTCAAAACCATCGCACGACATTCCCGCCTGCTTGCTTTGCTTGGTTCCGCAACCTTGAGGGGCCTAGCTGACCCAGCAACGTAAGCAGTGCAAGGCATGGAAGGCAAAGCAAGCGCATCGGCATCCGTCCCGGCGCCCAGCTGATTGTCGCCCATTGATGAGTGCACCTCTCGGTATCGATTGCGGCATTGGGAGGCGGATACGGTACACTACGGCGAGCCGCTCGTCTTTGAGCTTACCTCCGAGCTGGCCTTGCCCAGCCTGGCGACCATTTCTCGGCGTTTCGCTGTGCACACGAAACAAACATCGTGAGCCCCATCGTGGAGTCTTCTATCGTCAGCTGTGGGAATCCGAGAATCGTCCACAGAGACGACGGCACACGTCGACAAGTTGGACACAATCGTGACGGAATACCGGATCGCAGCGTGCCGCGGTTTCCGGCCAGGGATTCCGTCATCGATGCCGCATCGTGGCCCCGCGCGACCCTCTTCTTCCCTTGCCTTGTTGTCCGGCCCCGTCAGGGAGCTCACTCCGGTCCACTATCGGGAAGCGGCTGGTTGACGCAGTCGGCGGGGCACTGAGTTAGCCTTGATAAGTCCAATTCTGATACAAAGATTTCATCAACGGGCGCTTGGTCTAGGGGTATGATTTTCGCTTCGCACATCCGTCAGGAACGCGCCTTTGTGAAAGGTCGTGGGTTCAATTCCCACAGTGTCCATTTTTGCACTGTGAGGGCTTCCACGCATTGCCTTTTACTGTTTTGCATCATCAGTCGCCGTTTCGTTGGAAAACAAGACCAGAAGAAGAGTTTTGTGTTGAAGATGCCAGCCAGGGCGCAGGAAAGTCAACCCCAAACCTGGGCCATCTGAAGTTCGGCACGACTAACTTTATGCCAAAAGCTCTGCCTCCTCTCCCATCAGCACTTAAAGCCAAACTCAATTGAATCAGACTTGGAAACCGCCTTGAACATCCCCCATTATGATCGAGTCCAAGGCCGATCCTTGCCTGTCGCCGCTCGTGCACAGCCAAGTCTAACTCTATTGACATTGACTGACCGACTAGCCTCTTTGTTGACGCTGCGTGCCGCCGTCTCTGCACGCTGAGGGTTTGCGCTTCTGATGTTAAAACTGGCGTAGTCGGGATAGTCATTTTCTGCGAGTCATCCCCATCCAAGGTTTATGGGGTTGTCTGGTCATATTGTATTTCTCGTTTGGACTGGTCCCAGCAGGTGTTGCAAGATTCAAGGATGGCCGACTAAACCAGCGAAGATGCTTGGCGTCTTTGGACAGGAGATGGAAGTTCGAGGTCCACCTACTTCTTTTTCGCTCTAGAGTTCCAGTTCTGAAAGGAGATCTCGCCGGTCTCTGTCTTGCAGCTCGGGCTATGTGTGGACGCGCCAGTCAAGGGTGACTTATTCTTTCTGGGCCAGTCTTTGTGGATAGATCGTGGTCAAGCGGCCATTGAGCCCTTTGCGCAAACGATAGGCAGCCGAACAGTTGACTGGCAAAGTGGTGGGCGTATTTACGGGACCAACGCCGGCTTGAGACGCTTTATTCTCGGACCGATTCTGGGCGATGGACGGGGCATGGGTCGGCACCTATCCAGCTGAACTGGGAGACTTGACGGAGAGCAATCGTGAATCAGCACTTAATCCTTCGGCACTGAGTTTAGGTATCGGTTTCAACTCGACGAGGCGCTTGATCTGGGCAGATTATCCTCCAGGGCGAGCCGCGAGGACTTCTGACTTAGTATCTCGGTCGATTTGGTAGGTGGTGATGCCCTAGAGTTCTCTCTCGTCTGACACGTTGAACGTCCTTGCCGTACCCATAACAAGCCTTAGCGCGTCCGTTTCCTCTGTCTGCTTCGGTGGATGTTGTTTCCCATCTGGGGCTTCTTAGTGGCGTAGATCTTGCGTGAAAGTAATAGGGGACGTGATTCTGTAGCGTGAAACCACGTCGTCTTCCTGTATCAGTGTTTCAATTCCGCCGTGCTGTTAGAATCGATGGTCTCGTGGGGCTGACTCCGAGTGTGCTCCTAGAGAGGAGAGGGTGCACGGCTGTGATCGCTTCGGAAACTGTTCAGATGTAAAGCAATGTTTGCGAAAGAATGTCAGTATCTAGACGTCTGAAAGTTACCGTAGTTCCTGTGGATGCTTGTCTCCCTCGGAGGGAACAAGGGGCCTGCTGTGCTCTTGAACGTCGTGCAAGAATGAGGAGGAGCCCACGCTATTTCGATGTTGCGATGATCCAGGGGACGGTCTTTTGTTTCTGTTAGCTACCCATCTTATTGGGATGCTTCGATCTGTCTCGAATGCGTCTCGTTTGGCTTTCCAGAAGTCATTCTCTGCTTGGCAATTGTGGTAAATAGGGGTAGCTAGTCTACAGCCATTTTGGGGGACGAAATGATGTACAGGCCGCAAAGTTCTCCTGGGTCGACAGATCCACTGAAGAGGAGAAACCTCGTGAGCGCCAGACGTATACAGGGGGCTACTATCATCGTCTCTGCCACAATGACAAGACGACCTCGGCAGATGGTCCCAAGATGCGGCCGATAACCAGAAGGACTTCAGAATCCCATAGTTGTACGGCTACCAGCAGAAAAGACGCCAGTTCAGCTTTAGGGATTCCTCATTCATCACACGTGACCAAAAACAAAAGAGTTCGCCCCCCCGGTAGCGAATGGGGGCTACATCTCTGGTGCTCAAGCTGGGATTCGAACCTGTGACCCTAGTGTAGGCTAAGCCAGTTGAACAAGCTCGCCCGTAACCATCCCGCCAAACGGCAGTTTGACCTGACCTCACAAGCCTGTGAGGCGCCTGCTGCCGTTGGTGACGGAATTGGGTTTGAGGGGGGTTATATAGGCTTCTGTCGTGTGTACCGGGTGAATATGCACACGGTGATTCACTAACACCGGGAGCTGAGGTGGGCCCTCTTCCTGGTTCGGATGAACTGATGTCGCCATTGCCTGGAGCAGCTTAAGACGTGATGCTCAAGTTCATCGCGATCATCTCCGGTCCTTATGTGCCGTGCCTGTCAACCGTAGGGAGGTCTACCTCCGACTTCCAGACCCAGCTCCCTTGCCTGATTTCAGGATGCGGCGCCAGCTGAGCCAGAGATAAGTGATCTGCTCGATGACGTCCATGATGCTTTGCAGAGCCATATGCCGTCACCTTCTGCTCGAAGCCGCATCTGAAAGCAGAGTCATAGCTTCCATCAGGGTCCTGTCTCGAGGTGCCGCAACTCAGTCTGCGCCACCCGAGACGCCCACGCGTGCATCCGGCAGCCCTCGTGAACTCTGAAAGCCTGGCATGATGACCGATGCCTTGCATTCTGCGACTTCTGCACCAAGAGCCAGATGACGGAGGCACGATCGATGTGCCCGATGAGCTGCAGACGGCTTCTTCAGCCAGTCGTGGCGTCTTGATGCTGTCATGCACTTTGAGGGCGGCATCAAGGTACTCTAGTCAGGACCCGCTCAGTCAACTACATCTATAAGTGCATCATTCTCGCAAGATGACAAGACGAAGAAGCAAACAACATCCATCACCCGCTCGCTCCATCAACACTCACACTTACACTAATCCCACCATGGTGTCCAGCAAGGCTCCCATCGCCGCAGCCGTAGCTCTGCTGGCACAGCTCTGCCGAGCCAGAGACCACCTGGTCTTCCGCAACGTCTCGGACAGCCCGCCTCGGACGGTCACCGGCGAGCATGGGTGCTACACGGACTTTGACCGGGACTACCGGGGCAGCGTCCCGACTTTCTCCCGGCTGTACTCGTACACGTTCCCCGTCACCGCGTACAGCTACTTTATCCCTTCCACCAGCACCATCACCGTGACGCCAACCGTCTCCGGAGGCGGCGGCGGTGGCGGTGGCGGAGGGTCAGTGACGGGTCCCATCACTTCAACATCGACCGTCACCACGACCACGCACGTCACCTCCTTCGGCACCGCGACAACCATCACAGCCGGGCCTCGCTTCACGCCCCTCGCTTCCGCCCTGAACCACAGGCGACCAGCGAGCGGCAGACCCCAAGTCCAAGACTCGGGCTACAGAGCCAACGACGACAGCCTCGTCCTGGGCGTCGACAAGGCCGGCCTCGCCAAAGCCGACCCGCCCCTCTTCCCACAAGCCGTCGTCTGCGAGATGGTCATCCGCGTCTTCACGACCAGCACGTCAACCATCACGGCATCCTACGCAGCAACCACAACAATCACCCTCCCGGCGCCCAACGCCACCACCACCACAATAGCACCAGTACAAAACGCAACGACGGCAACGACAACGACGACGGTCACGTCCACCATCACCGACGAGATGGCAAACCCCACGCAGACCGTCTACCAGGCCTGCCAGGCGAACAATCTGGTCTCGGGCCACGGCGCGCCGCAGACGTACTTTGTCGAGGCGATCCACAGCTGGCACGTCGTGCGGGAGCAGCGCATCGCCGAGACGGCGGAGAACTGCTGTATTGCGTGCCAGGGGGAGGCGGATTGCGGCGGGAGCCTGTATCACATGTTTTCGGGCATCTGCTACACGTTCAGGACCGGGGGCGAAGGTCACGGGCACGGAGGTAACCCCGGGGGCCATGGGGGACAGTGTAGAGCGCCGGGCGAGCTGCGGTCTACCGCCAATGTTGCTGATGGGGCGGTTTTCGTCGCGAGTAATGGGCAGTGTGGTGGGTGGTGGGTTTCGGACGAGGCGCCGATCTAAGCTGTTGCAGATGTATTCGTATGAAGTAATCAATCCAAAGAACGTTGTGCTCTGCATCTGTTGATCCATAGCAGCTGGAAGGTGGAAATGTTGAATGACCCCACTGTCGCCGGATCCATCCGAACAATGTCTCTCGGAGGAAGTTGAATTGTCCCGGGCCGGGCCGTCGTGGGTCTCTGGCGGAAGGTCGGGTGGAGTGTGGAGGACGTGAGGAAGGAGCGATCGGATGACGCTTGCTGCACGCACTGTCCAGAGGCAAACAGTCCCAACAGCATCTCGGGCTTTCTTCACGCATCATCAACGTCACCCAACATCACTTTGACATCGCAGGTCCCGCGGAAGCCATTCCGAACATCTTCTCAGGACCTCTCGACGCAGCCTGGAACTCCCATGGTGATGCTGCCATCCCCGTGTCAGCCGCGATATCCTGACGAGGATGAACTTGCGATCCTCAACCACGCAGAGACCTGTCAAGAACACATCCATCTTCGGCACCGCCGATTGACGACTCTCCAACGGCTATCTCATTGTCAATCACAACCACTCGAGAGGTGCTGGCCCGCGGACAAGGCTCCAAGGAAGCCAGCAGCTTCAGCCAATGTGTCAACTCAATCTCGGCGAGACGTCGGGCGAGGACCTCGCGATGTGTCGCAGCGTGGTCTATCAAGACGACATTCGATGCCAAAGCATGCCGCCTTGCCGCCTTGTCGCGATACCTGTTCACGGACCGCAGATCGCCGTCTGCGGCAGACCCTCCGAATCCTGCGACTGTCAGCTGACCGGCTCCCGTTCCACCACATCAGAACACCTCAATCAGATGCGCTGCGCAGCATTGTGTGTCCGACGCAGAGCACTGCCATGCTACTCGCCACCAACAATTCCCGGTCTCATGGCAAACCCATTGACTTAAGTAGAAGACATGAGCCCCTCGACAGTCGATGCCAGGGGTCGACCAACAGGCAGCCGGTTAGGAGATTTTGTGCGGCTAAAATGACAGGAGGATGAATTTCGCCTTACCCGCCACCCCGTTCAACCTAATTTTTGGGACAAGAGACCGGTTTGCCGGGGCGCAATCGTGCAATCGTGCGGGTAGCTCGACGCTTGACATGGCGTCTTCCCTCTCCCGCTCTCCACTGCCAGGGCGATCAACCAGCCTGCGCTTCCTTCGAGGTGTCCAGCCCCTGCGCCTACATCGTCCCATCGCCAACCCGTTGCGAGACTTGTTCCAGAATGCCGCCACCTGAGTGGACGGGTGCCATGGGTGCGTCCCGCCAAGTGGCTTGCGGCTGGAGTCTTGGGTCTACTTTCCCAAGAGCACTTCGCGCTGGTGCCCGAAATAAGCGCCAAAAGTCAGCCCTGCTGCACCGCGCCAAACGACGGACGAATAACCATCACTCCCAACAGCAACGTCTTCAATCGCGAGCGAGTCTGCGTCTCTGCAATCGATAGCGAGCAGTTGTCAGACCTTAGCAATGTCTTGCGTCGCCAAATGGGCAGCGAGAGATGGAACAGCCTCCCCCCAAAGCCCCTGGATTTGTGCAGTCATCCTTGTTCTTTGGCGGCTTTCTATAATTGCACTTTCAGCTTAGCCCATCGCCACGCGCTGGACTGCGGGTCCAGACGTTGCATCGCCCGGTACATAGATTGCTCTTGGCGATCCTTCTGAGCAGTTATTGTCCTTTTCCGCGCAGAACGTCCCCACGGTGTGCGGCATCCAGGCCCGCTGCGACCACTCGCACCCCTGCGATGTCATTTCTCCCAGGCCCAGGGCAACCATGCGCTCGCAGACTGTCGATTGAACAAAAACATTCCCCGTCCTCTTTTGCTGCTTGCAGCGGTACCCGGCGTCATCTGCCCGCCGTGCTCACCCACACCCCCCTTCTTTCGGCCTTGTTTCGACGACGACGACGACGATTATCCTCTGGCGACGAGAGGAACAACCTTCGTCGCGCGATCGCTTCCACTATGGCGGAACTGGACTCCAATGCGTGGTATCGCCTATCGGAAACGCGCGTCGACAACAGCACCGGACCATTCGCTCTCAATCTCCAGCTTCGAGATGTCGGCCTCCGAGTGCATCCCGTGACCGACGGCACCGCGGCATGGCAATTCCAACCGTTTGGCGACGTCAAAGGCCGCTACCTCATGCGCCTCGACCAGGCGGGAGTCAAGCAGCAGCTGGGAGTCTGCTACGATGCGAAGGAACCGGCGACCGGAAACACCGTGGCCTGTCTGCAGGAGTCGTCAGTGGACGAGTCTCAGATTTGGGAGGTTTCGGTATGGGACGGAAAGACGGGGGAATACAAGTTTATCAACGTGGCCAACGGAACCGCCTACGTGCTCGACGTGCATCCGAAATCGAATCTATTCATGAACAGCAACGTCGAGGGCTCGGCGAGCGCGACAGACACACAGCCGGCGCAACACTGGGTCATGACGAGTGTCAGTGCCGTCAACGACGGAGCATACTCGACAATCTATTCAGGGAACGTGGCGGTCAGCACGAACTCGGCCACGCTCTCCTCAACGACGACTTCGACGACTACTAAATCCACAACAACCACATCAGGGGCCACAGCCACGGCCGCATCACAGACGGCTGCCTCGACAGCAACCAGCACAGCTGCGACGATACCAACAACGACGGGGATATCACCAGGGGCCGGAGCAGGAATCGGCGTCGGCGTCGCCATCGGTGTTGTCGGCTTGATCGGGGCCATTGCGTTCTTCTGGTGGCGGCGCAAGCAACCGAAAACTGCGCAATATAGCGAAGTCGAGCCAAAGCACGGTGGGAGTCTCGAGAGAGGGTCATCATCAATCGCGGGGTCTCCGGCCGTCGGAGGGTACGCGGCGCCGTACGGGGCGCATCCGGGAACAGGGAGCTACCCGTCATACAATCAAGGGTCACCGGCGACGATGAGCTATCCCGTGCCCCTCGATAGGGGGTCTCCCAATACCATGACCTACCCGATCCCCATGCACACGTCGTCGCCGTCGTCTGAGCCTAACCTATCCTCCTGGCACTACCCACAAACCGTGTCAGCAAGCGCACTGGCCGTGCCTGCTGCCGTGCCCCGTCACCAGTTCGACCATCCCGCTATTCACAACGAGTTCGCGCCGGCTGCGTCGAACCCTTCCTTTGAATCAACATCACGCTTTGGCTTTGCATCAACTGCGGCATCTTCACAAGCCAACTCTACAACAAATCTAAACGACCCGGACCCGGTCCCTAGCGCACACGAGCTCGAAGTTGCCGTGCGAGACGTGCCCCGGCGACAGCACGAACTCGGTGAATTCCACCACGGGCCCAATTTCGACCTGTCACAGCCGACGGCGACGACGACAGCGACGATAACGGCACCCTCGGCAGAGCTGAGCGCGTTCCAGCACGGCCCGGATACCTTTACGCAGAGCCACGAGGCCAAGATGCTTGGGGTGCCCACCGCGGAGCTCGGCTCGCACCAGCACGGCCCCGATACCTTTGGCGAAGGCCACGAAGACAAGATGCTCGGCGGCTTTCCGCCAGGGGCCGAGAAGTATCAGCCGGAGCGGGAGGACAAAGTGCTGGGTAACCTGCATGACCTGATGAGGCCGGTTGCGGGGCAGAGCGGTAGAGGTCGTCGGCCAGATGCCACAGAGGCCTCGGGGTGGCAGTCGTACGAGATGCAGTCATTTCCGCCAAGGTGACGGCTGACAGTAGGAGGCGGCGATGAAGCATTGTCCGCAGCCACCCAACCAAACCAACACCGAGAGGGCCTCTAGGGGGAGCGGCCGACGTGGACGAACACAATGATACCCGAGTAACGAAAGGCCCGCCCTGCCTTTGCCTCACCCCGCAGTTATCCTATGGAGAATCGCCAAACACATCTGCCGGCGCTATTCATCTACACCTGGCCATTACACCTGGCCGAAAAGTCATCGAGCTCGAGAGAGAGTTCCATGTGCAACGTCACCGACGGAAAAGCATAGATCCTGAATTTGGACCTCGGATGAAGCTCACGAAGCCTGGAGGACGTCGGAAAGGACCGCCCGATCCTCAGCCGCACTATGGAGCGCGGGAAGGACGCGAAGGGTCCACCGAGACGATGCACAAAATCCAAAGAGGGCCCAAAGGCACAAATCAGGAGCCGGAACCCTGGAGATGGTTCGTCCGGGAGATCTCAGACCCCTGCGCCTAAACATTCCCCCCCATCGGAAAGTGAATGTGAACCTGGGGAGAAGCACTCTGCCACCCTGGTGATGCCGGGACAGAGAGGCATTGTTGAACGCCGAATTCAATTGTATATAAAAAAGAATCAACAGACTTAGAGTAGACTTCTAATCCATGAATAACGACGGCCAGAGTGCCTCATCATGTACAGATTTGTTTTCTGGCGTCGTGGGATTGCCGATCACGGATGCCTCTTTCTTCTCCAGACGATGTGGATGCTTCGAGAAAACCCAGTGCCCTTGAGTCTTCCTAGTCTGTCAGCGCGTTGTGTGGAATGACTGACTGCTCCCATCACTTTGTTCAAGTCGATAATGATGGAGAAGCCCTACGCCGCAAGCCCCTTTGTCGAGGTGACGTATGTAAATCTCTCGGGCACTTCCCCTTCTCCCCCAATCCATCTCAGAAAAGAAGGCAACGCAGTTTTGTTAACTAATGGTGTTTGGATCCTCCAGAGTTTACAGACCTTGAGCCAAGGTAGCTATCACAGCTGGGCTTCAACCCCATCGAGGGTAAAAAATAAAATAAGACAATGCTCTTCAGGCCAGAGAATACCAACGGAAAGGGCAAGAATGGTTTCCATTGAACCCGGGTCCATGGCCTCTCCTTGTGACGGACCAGACTTACACACCAGCACACGAAGAGTCGTACTAGATCACATTGGCACGTCAAACGTTGGACGCTTCGACGATGAAGTTACAGATCATCAACGGGGGGTTAACCCATCGACACGAACCTCTCGAGTGTCGTCTTCCAACGCAGCGCGAGGTCTACCAACTTCAGGGGAAACCAACATGACATTTGGCGTCCTGACTGAGCAGCTGAACACCGAATCCAACGGCTACATGGGAATGCGCTTTCAGAGAGTACGATCTCAACCCGTCCACGGGACCAAGTCATCCGCTGCCGTGTGAACTGATCTGTCATTGCCGCTGAAGGGGGTATAGACGAGGTGATGTCCGTCTAATCGCTGGGGACACTCCAAGAGGGTCGGGGCCACGGTCATCGTCTTCCCAAAGGGGTAGACGACAATCCTTTTCAACTACTCGCCTCTGGCAAAGTTTATTGCCCGCCGCGTTGTTGTCTCAAGAAGGCTTGGACGACTCCTCCGTCAACTTATATAGAGGCTGCGCGTGGGCGGATCGGACAGAGGCGCAGTCCATCCCGTTGACTCCTGTCTCCTCCAGCTCTCCCATACGAAGACAGAAGAGTTTGGATGGCACCTGGCTCGCGGTCTCATCTAGCGACTGAGCAGGCCATCCCCGAGAAGCCGCTGAAAACCTCACAAAGTTCACAAGAATCTTTTGAATCAGCCATGGAACCATTCATCTCGACCGAGACGCGGCAACACAGGACAAACGGCAATGTCACCGCACTCGGCATCGAGAACGGACCCGGATCCGGACCTCCAGACCCCGACGGCGGATGCGAGCCCACATAAGTGGAGGTCTCCCGGCACCGACTCTTATTCCCGTTCGAGCGTCGATAATCCCCGGATTTCGGCGAGGATGCAACGACACGCTGCTCAACGGCGTTCTGTCGCCACGGCCCGGGGATGAGAATCACGGCCTGGCGTCGTGTAGCACGCAGAAAAATCGCCATGCAAGACGACGGTACCTCGGCTTCACAATGATCAGCTAGGGAGCCTCCGTCGGCTGATGGCCATGAAGCACAACCTACCGCAACGTCGGGGAATTGAACCCATCCGAGGCATCGAGGCTTGGAACGGCATAGTGATGATGCCCTCGAAATGGACAGTCACATGCCTCAAGCCGACGCCATCTTCATGGTGTCGACTGGTCGACTGCGAGGGCCTATCGCGCGTTCAACGAAAGGTTGACATGCGGTAGCATTGGAAGATGCAATCCATCGACCGCGATCAAGTCATTGTCAAGCTCCCAAGGCCATCCACGAACCAGCAGCCGGCGGCCGCGAAGGCGTTGGTCTATCACAAGAGAGCTCTCCGGGACGTGATGTTGCATTGCAGATTCTTGACAAAACACCATCGCTCTCACGTGTCATCCAAAGCGATGGCGGTGCATTTTGCATGTGGTTGACGTTGCCCACGGCTCACAGCAACAGACGGCCAGCAACATCCCTCGCAACGTGGACCATATACTCCAACGCCCAGGAGACATCTTGTCGCCCGCATGCCCATGTGACGGCCGTCGAATTGGAGAAATTAGGCGAGCATGGAAAGAAACTGGGTGAAGCAGGAACTGTGTAAGTCCATTGGTCTGTTCCATGGCCGATGTCGCTTCGCCAGCATGACTCCCGCGCCGGAAAATTTGCACGATCGTCGATTCGAGCTACTTACCATTATGAGTTGACCGGTGTGAATTTCCCAATTACGGGTTTGTGGGTTTTGCTGCCCTCATAGGCCACGATGTACGACGCGAAGCATGAATTCCTCCTTGCGTCCCTTGGGTGCTGGAAGCTATACGGACTAGCTTCTGCCCCTCGGGAGGAGTCGGAGACCCCGACACGCGCCCTCCGAGTCTTTCCTCCGCCGTGGGGCGTGATTGTCGTGGTGAGGGTTGGTGTGGGGGATCTGGATGAGGCTATGGACGCACAAAACTCTAAGCGTCAGTATGACAATCCCATGGCGGACTCGGGCAATGTCCGAAAGCCTTTCCCCAGAGAGAGCTTGCTGCAGAAGGAGGCCCAATCAGGGGCGGCAATCTCTAGATGATCTTGCATCTGGCGGCACCTCGTTGGTGCCCGAGAGATGGAGGCCGGGGTAGCATATCCGTCATCCATGGGCTCCATGGCCATGGAGACGTCGACCGTCGACGAGTATCCAGCGCAAAAAAAAAAAACTGGTTGGCGCGTCAGAGGAACCGGTTCCGAAATACGGAGACCTACGGAGCTTGTCGGAAGCGTGACAGCCCCAAAGTTGCATCGTGCGGGGTGCGACGCCCCCGTCTTTAGCTCCATGCGGGGCCGGGGAGGTTTGAAAGCTCTAGCCTCTAGCTCGAAAGAGCCGCCAGTGGAGCGGGCTAGCGACGCTGGGCCAGGTTCTGGAGGTGCGGGATGGCTGACATTCGCGCAAGACGGCAATCGTCCGCTGGCGGCTGGCCGGCGTTTACCCGCATCGACTCCGCAAGTCCAACTCCACGAAAGACATGCATCGAAAAAGAGAGGATGAAACATGTCGATTTTGTCAGCAGCGTGTTGACGGTTCAACCGTGACGGTTAGGCTCTCGAGATATGCAGAGCAAGATTGCCATTAGGTAATGTTAGGTAAGATATATTGCAGACGACGTCAGGTGCCTGGTCAGGTGCCCGGTGAACGGCCATGGTCCAAGCGGTGAGCCAGAGCCAAAGTGTTGGGTTAAGGTTGACGCGTCTGATCGTTGTTGACAAGAAGCTTGGCGGCGTTTGTCCAGACGCCAAGGTTGCCAAGGCGAGAGCAGGATCGCGGGTGAAGAAGGTTGTCTCAGCACGTGTGGGAAGTCCGGGGAATCAAGGTAAGCTGTTGCAACTCCGTACACTACTACGGTGTCTCGGGGGATCGAGAGATGCTGCTGCTGACGATGAACGGCGGTCCAAATTCGGTGTTGTGTAGAGTTCACGAAGTCGCCAAAGTCAAAGTGCGTGGAGGACGAAAAAGTCCCGACTTCAAACTTTGAAATCACCAACCTCAACGACATCATCGGACGGACCCCAGGACGCCCCGGCCATCGCCTAGCTCGCGATGCAGAAACCGAAGCTGACATGGCGCCGAGACGAACGCCATGCGCAATCGCAAGTACCGTGAACTTGGTCGGCCAGCGGCAGGCATTGCAACCTGACGTCCATTTAACGTGGTTTCGTCTGAAGTTTCGATCTCAAGTACCATCAACAACAGACCCTGCCTGGCCCAGTGGACGGTGGGAGCAACCCTCGGGCATGACTTGTTGTGCGTGCTTCAAAACGGCCGAAACTGTGATTTGCAAGCAGAGTCGTGTTTGAGACGGGTGGGGGACGAGCGTCGAGAGGAGAGACTAGACTGGACGCGTGGAAGTCCTTGTTTCAATCCGCAGGAGATCCTCATCGAGTGTGATGAACGGCCAGGAGAGGGGGGGGGGACTCAGTCGAACTCTCAGTCTCGAGTCTCAGCGAGGAGCGGGAAACTGGTGAAGTCGGGAGGGAGCCACGCCCACGACCAGGGGGTGAAAAGTTTTGGAGCCAGGCCTGGCATTCGGTACCGGTGGGGTCTGCCGTCAGCGTGCGGTGTGGGTTCGCCTTGTTGTGGCTTGCCGCTAAGCGGAACCCCTGTGGAGGGATCGGGCAAAGTCGGGAGCTCGTCGTGTCTGAGGCTTGTAAGGACTCAGGGAGAGTCATGCCCGGTATGCAGTCGACGGTATCGTTGTCATTGTGTTGTTCGCTTTGCTTATCTTGATGAGTTGGAGATTTGGGGGCTCCGGTCCACCTCGCTCACGGGATGGTGGGAAGATGATGGGCAGCAAACGGCGCCGTATCGGGCGTTGAACACGAGTTCAGACCGCGGGATATCGCAGGACCTCCCGCGGGAGGCTTGATTCTGACGTGCTCGAGCATTTGATAGGGCGGGATATCGCCTGATGAATCTTTAACCCGATATCCCGCCGACTGCCCTCCGTCATTTCGTATCCATTGGGAAACGGAATTCGCGAGCGTCGTCTATTCAGGCCTGGGTCTTCAGTCATATTCCAGAAGGGGACCCGGAATTTGCCAAGGGGCGAAAAGTACCTGCAGGCACCACAGCGTCGCATTAAAGACTGCATGGGTTTGGATTCCGACGGCCGACCCGGCCAAGTCCCTAGTGTAGAGCTTGTGGAAGCCTGGAAGGCCCGGAGACACCAGTGAGTGCAACACACACTCCCTATGCTCACAGACTGGAGGACAACGGTTCGGGACGCTGTGACAGAGACTAGCCGGAAGAGGAGGCTGGCCAACAAATGTGACGGCCGCCATTGGCTGACGATTGGAGATATCCCCCGTCGCTTTTGGTTCCCTCGTTTCAATAGTAGTTGTTGATTTGTTAGACTTTGGACATTGCGTTGGCCGGTCGAGCCCCTGGGTTTTGCTTTTCACCAAGCAATAGTGCGACGGACAAGATGGAAACATGGAACGAAGAAATTGTTGGCGTTCACGGGTCGGGGGGCGTCTTTCTGCAAAGCTTCGTTTGTCCCTTACCTGGTGAGCACGTCAGCCAGACGGATGGGGAATGCGACGTGCGAGGCATTGGTCAGGCTGGACTGTCGCGTGCGCACGGAGAGCAGTGTATTCGTACTTTGTACGCAGTACGGACAGAGGCCGTGGCGGTCCCGGGGACCATCGGAGGGCGGATTCGAGATTGTAGGTTAGAGGAGGCCCGGACGGTTGCTTGCTAGGTACAGCTAGCGTCGGCGAGATGTCCGGCCGGTGATGGAGAAGGAGGACGTTCCATGGGATCCAACTTGGACGGTTCCACCTCGCGAGAGAAGCCCAAGTGGATGTTCTCCTGTTCTTCCGGTGGAGTTGGCTCAAGGGTCGACGTCTTTGGGTGTGAGGGGGCAGGCCGCAGGCGGGAATGGGATGCAGGTGCAAGTGCAGCAAGGCTTGACAGGGTCGAGGGCTCGAGTGCGACGATAACGTACATTGGGCTGCATGGCTGACGACTTTTTGGGGGTTGAAAGTGCCGACGGTTGACACATTGTGCCGTATTTGTCGGGGATTTCTGTTGTTTGTGCCGACGTCGCACCTCTCTCTTCTCACCGGTTGGAGGATTCTGGAGAGGCGGGAGGGATCAGACATCCCAACAAAAAGAGGTCCTTTGGGGTACAGCAGGCGGTACAGCTTAGCCGCAGCTAGGTGAAGCTTGGGTGCGTCTAGGTGCCGTGGATGATGACTGTACGTAAGACGTCTGCACAAGAGGCCGTGGGCGTTTGCTACGGGCGTCTGAGGCTTTGGATCCTTTGGGTGTTGTGTTGACTCTCTCTCGAGAGTTGTGCTGCCGTGTCTCACTGGGGCGGAAGAGTCAATGGCGACCAGGGCGCAAGGGGAGGGACGATGGCCGCTAGGTCAGGGGAAGAACAGAAAATAAAATAAAAAACCGTGGTAAACCAAACAGAGGCAAGAATGTGGAGTGACCCAAGCACGAGAAAGCCGTAAACAATCATGGTCGGGGGGCAGGGCCGATTGGCAGCGACGATGACTCCGCGAAATGTCCTTTTTTCTGCGCATGTTCCATTCTTTGATTTGGTGAGATTCAGCGCGCCATTTTCAAAAGCTGCCTGGGTGGTTGTCCTATGACTCTGCATCGTCAATTAACATGGCAGGACCGATCCCGTAGTCGGAGCTGCCTTCCGTGAATCAAGTGTAGAAATAGTAGGAAGGACCTGAAGCCACGCACTTGCCCTGTTTTACCTTTGGTAGCCTTCCAATTGCTTCTTTCTTCTGAAGCTTCGTTCATCGACGGCCATCAAGGGGAAACATCACCCCAAGTGATCTTTACGAGACCGAACTGAATCAATCTGCATCGCTCGGAAAGAAACACCACTCCACGCACATCAACACGGATAGCCCGACTCCACTCGCCGCCGGACAGACTGCCGCTGCGCCGCTGGCAACTTGCTTGGGCTGACATCCCACGCCTCCCACGCTCACGCCCACGAACACCCTCCCACGTCGACGAAGCGAAGCTAAATCTTCCGCATTCCGTCAGCTCACCTTATCCGCCGTGTGCACTATTTCGAGTGACGGACAGCAGACCATCTCCACTGCAGCTCGTTTCCCAGGTAGGCAGGCCCCCTTTCCCAGTCCTTCGTCAGCTTCCATGCCTGCTCCATCTGGCATCGCGGCATCCAAATGCAAAGCCCAAGATAGCATCACCACCGTCTACGCCATTGTGAGCTGACGGAAACGGGCCGTCCACAAGCACCATTGTGTTGTTCTCTAGACTAATTACCCGTTTGCTACGCAGTAGTGGGATTCGCGAACCACCTCCTGAGTCTTGGACCTCGTACTTCGTCTCCGGATACACCGTCCCGGCGTCACCACGTCTTCACCTTGCCGCCCTCCCGTCGCCTCACCGACGCCCCTCTCGGCCCCCGACCACTGGCCTTTCTACACGCCCCCGTCCTTGTGTCGCCTAGAGCTTCCTGTATACTCCGTACGGAGAACCTGACGAGGTACCCAGTTACCCCAACTTGAAAATTTTCATCGGCCTTCTCCAACTCTGCGAATTCAGCCAGAATTGGGCACAAAGTCGGAAAAAAACGACCATCAACAAGAAAGGAAGAAAAAAAGAAATTGCCAATTCCTAGGATCGGGTCTGGCTTCCGTCTTCTCCCACCCTCCACACACCAACACCCCCGTCTCAACCCTTAACCACCCCGGTCGTCGACGGACCCTCGTCGCCCCCGTTATTCAACCACCCTGGTCTCCCGGCTCCACGCCGCACACCCTGCCACGACCTGCAGCGAACCCTCTGCACAATCGACCCCGATTCGGGTGCCAGTCTCCCTACTCTGTCGTCTCTGTACGGATACGCCTGGGCGGAAACCTTGGAAGCACATCATACAGTTGGATTCGAATCAAAGCTTGGAGCTCCAGCCCACGCTCGACTTGCTACGCAGTCCGCACGCCACAACGCACAGTCACAGAGCACACTCCCTTGTCCCGCCATCCCATCTTCTGCGCCGTCCCATCCCTCCATCGCTTTCCCAATTCTCGTTCCTCGTCCGCCCGTCTCCCGTCCCCCGTCTCCAGGCTTCGCTCGCCCGTCGTCCAGGCAAGTACCCGGTACCTCGACGCCTCTGCCGGCGCCTGGCCTTGCTGCCATCCCTCCTTTGTGAAACTGCCTTGAAACCCCCTTCTCCCTATCATTCTCAGATCCTCCGTGGCCATGGGTCTAAGTCGCTGTACCTGGCCGGGCAAGCCTCCATCGAGGACCGGACCAGTTCACAAGGTTTTAAACCGACTTTTCCTCGTCCGCGATCCAGTTGCAGGGAACACAACGCCCTTCCCCTCTGTTGGTCCATCCAATGCGACTCTTGCGACTCCACGCTCTCACCATACTCTAAATTGCCTTCCTGCGCCTTCTCCGAAAGCTGGTCTCTTGCTGCATCCTCCTCATCAACGACTAATATCACGTTCCGGCCGGTCCCATTACACCACACGCACCACACGCACCACTACCCATCACGCTCGTCTGCTTCGCCTCGGAGCTCCAACAACTACTAATTGCCTCGTTCCGTCGCCCACTCCTGCCTCCTCTTTCTTCTCCGCATCTCTCCCACCGACACATGCGCCGGTAATGTCAATGGCGTCGTATCCCTTCAGTTCAGCCAGCTCCTCAGACATCTCTACGCCCCGGTCCTCCTCGCCTTCGCCATCGTCCGTCGCCTCTGCCCGCTCCTCTCGCTCCTCTATATCTAACAAGCGCATGTCCATGTCCAGTCGCAGAATGACAGACTTCAACCCCATGTCTTCCGTCGACATCTCCGTCATTGAAGACAAGATGAGAATGGCCTCCCTCGACCAGCACCGTGGCTACTCCCAGAACACCTTTGGCGAGGTTCAGCAATACCGCAACACGGAATACGTGCCCAAGACCCAGGCCACCGCTTTCCAGATCCTGCGCGAGCCCCTCTGGAACAAAGGTGAGTTGATGGCAGCTACCGTCTCCCCCCACTTACACCGTCCTTCGTGCGTCCGCACTGAACCTTACTGCACCTGCACGCACCGGCTTCCCCCAACATGGCGTATCCCTTCAGTTTGCACCCTTCTATATAGCCTCCCTCTTTTTTCCTCCCACAACATCCCCCAATTCCTCGCTCCATCCCCTCCCATGGCTTCTTCACTCACTGGGCGCGCTTGTCGTCTTCCCTCACCACTGCCTCGCCTGCTCAGTCCTCTGCCTCGTGCTCCCATCCACTCGTCCTCCAAACTAACCGCCATGGTCGAATCAGGTCTCTCCTTCACGCCCGAAGAGCGCGTCACCAGAAACCTCACCGGCCTCATCCCTCACACCATGGAGAGCCTCCAGACGCAATGCCAGCGGGCCATGAAGATGATCAACACCCGTCAGACCGACGTCGACAAGTACCTCTACCTGTCCTCGCTCAAGGCCCAAAACTTTGACCTCTTCTACCGCCTGCTCATCGACAACGTCCGCGAGCTCATGCCCTTGGTCTACACCCCCACCATTGGCGATGTCTGCCTGCAATACTCTACCCTCTACACCCGCCCCGAGGCTCTGTACATTTCGATCAAGCAGCGAAAGTCCATCCGCACCATGCTCCGCAACTGGCCCTACCCCAACCCCCAGATCTGCGTCGTTACCGACGGTTCCCGCATTCTGGGTCTTGGTGACCTCGGTGTCAACGGTGTTGGTATCTCTGTAGGTCTCCCGTCCAACTATGTCTGACAACACTAACAACCCCAGATTGGCAAGCTCGCTCTGTACACTGGTGCCGCCGGTATCCACCCCGAAAACACCCTGCCCATTGTCCTCGACACCGGCACCAACAACGAGACCAACCTCAAGGACCCCTTCTATCTGGGCATCCGCTCCAAGCGTGTGTCCGTCGCCGAGCAGCAGGCGTTCATGGACGAGTTCATGGAGGCCGTCACCGAGGTCTACCCCGAGATGACTGTCCAGTTCGAAGACTTTGAGTCCGAAAAGGCCTTCAACTACCTCGACCGCTACCGCGAGAAGTACCGCTGCTTCAACGACGATATCCAGGGAACTGGTGCCGTCGTTCTCGCTGGCTACATCAACGCCGTCGAGCTCTCTGGCGTCCCTCTCGAGGAGCAGCGCCTGGTCTTCATGGGCGCCGGTTCCGCCGGTGTCGGTGTCGCCAAGCAGCTCGTCGAGTACTACACCAAGCGTGGTCTCAGCGAGCAGGTCGCCAGGGACAAGTTCTGGCTGGTCGACACTAAGGGTCTCGTCACCAAGGACCGCGGTGACAAGCTCGCCGAGCACAAGAAGTACTTTGCCCGCACCGACAACAACGGCCACCAGTTCCGCACCCTCGAGGAGGTGATTGAGTACGTTAAGCCTACCGCTCTGGTCGGTCTCACCGCCACCTTTGGTGTCTTCACCGAGTCCGTCGTCCGCGCCCTCAAGGCCTCTGTCGACTCTGGCGGTCTTGGCCGCCGCCCCGTCCTCTTCCCCCTCAGCAACCCCCTCACCAAGGCCGAGTGCACTTTCGAGCAGGCCGTCCAGTGGACCGACGGCACCGTCATCTTCGCCTCCGGCTCCCCCTTCTCCCCCTTCACCATGAAGAGCCCCGACGGCCAGGCTATCACCTACCACCCCAACCAGGGCAACAACGTCTACGTCTTCCCCGGTCTCGGTCTCGGTGCCATCCTCGCCAAGGCCTCCAAGGTCACCGACGACATGGTCTACACCTCGGCTGCCGCTCTCGCCGCGTCCCTCAACGTTGACGAGATCCACAAGGGTCTCATCTACCCCCGCATCGAGCGTGTACGTGACGCCAGCGTCATTGTCGCCCGCGAGGTCATGAAGTCTGCCCGCAGAGCCGGCGTCTCCAAGCTTCCTGAGTCCCAGTGGGTCGAGTGGGAGGAGTGGGGTGACGTTGCCCTGGACGCCTGGATCAAGGAGCGCGTCTACGACCCCGTCAGCTTCTCCGAGAAGAGCCGAATCTAAACCCCCCAAAAATTGTGACGCCGCGAGCGATGGATTGACTTGCATTTACGGATCAAAAGGGCTTGGACAGGGAATACCTGAGACGTTCTCAGAGCGAAATTGGTTTTTTTCGGCGTTGGGGTAGGCATCAAGGGCCTTGGCTTTCCAATCTTGCCGAGATTTGAGCGAAGGGAAACACAGACACATTTTCATCGTCACTAAAAGGACGACGACGCTTTTTTTACTACGAGTACGCCCTATGTGGCCATCGTCTCCGTGACGCCTGTTCGCGTCGGAGTTTTTGAATTTAGAGTAGAGGATGTTGTGGGGGAGACAGGTTTCGCGGTAATACTTCCTGATGGAGCTATGCTACATGGAACGCGATTTAGAAATAGACTTGGATGCCTGTACTACCGTGCTACTGTGTGTACGTGACTGTTCTCCTGTGACTCTGGAGTGGATTTGTTCTTTGAACTCTAGAGAGCTTGCCGAGCTACCGTGGCCAAAAGAGCGGAGGTGCCTCGGCTTGGAAGCTTGAGCTTGAACCCAAAAAACCTGGACGACGTTGAACCAACCGTCCCCAACTTTTGCTAGGGGGGTAAGGGGGTAGCGTAGATCCCCCCGAATTTTCTCTCTCCGCATAGGGACGAACCCCACCCGCCACTCCAAAATAGCTCTGCCCAAAAAAAAAAAGAGCACGTTCTCCAACTGGTGAACTCCGTCTGAAGTGTGTTGGGGGGAGATAGCTCGGAAGGTGTTGGGAGGGGAGGGGGGGGAAGGGGGGTTCACAAGGCCGAACTAGACCGGACTAGGTAGGACAGCGCATGCTTGTTTGCTCGGGTGTTTTTTAGTGTTTGGGGGCTTTTTTGTATAGCTCGGGAACTTTGTGTGAGACGGCTGATGGAGAGTAGGTGAGTAGATACGATTCGTGCGCGTCTAGGACATCTGGGAACCTACGTCTGCGCCTACGATTTTAGAGTCTCAGAACGAGACAATTGACGAAGTAAACCCGGGTTCGTAAAGGAGGACGCTAGGGATTTTGGGCAATGAGACAACGCACGCGTGGCTTAGGGGGTGTTGCGTTGGTCTCTGGGTTTCCGTCATCGTTGTGCCGTGCTGGGGGGGTTGTAAATCCAATCAATGTCATACGCGGACGCGTTCGACGGAAGCCAGATGGAGAGAAAGGGCAGCTAGCCATCGTCGGTCGGTTTCGCGTTGACATGTCGCCTCCACGCCCTCCCCATTCCAAAAACCCATCCTCCTCCTCATCACCCCCCCCCCCCCCGGAGCTGGACAGGATGGTGAGGAGCCCGCTGAATAAGGTTACGCCTCGGCGAACGAACGGAGGTTCAACGGCGTCGTCCACCTTCCCTCCTTTCCCCCCGTTCCTCGCGGCTGCAGCTTCAGACTGTCCAAGGTGTTTGGGTGAAGAAAGTAGAGTGTACACCCAGCAGAATCACGCACAACAACAAACCAACTTTCCGCTGTCAAAGAGAAAACATCGGATGGTCAAGCAGCGAACGGCCATCGAAGCTCTATACCACCCACATACAGCTCCATTCGGTCCCGCCTCGGGATTTACTCCACGGACACCCCCCCCCCCCTAGCTCTCCTCCCACCTCCCCGCGGCACCGTTTTCTTACCTCAGATCAGGACCCTCGGCCGGTTCAACCCACCGCGCCGGTGCCTCGGCGTGGATGTTGAGGAGAGCTGCGAAGTAGGGGTAATGGGGTTGAGGAGGTAACTCACTGCGTAAGATAGTAAGAAACCGAGAACCCCAGTTCGTTTCCTCCCCACACCCACACCACTCCATCGGCGAAGCTTGATTACGCCGCCCGGCTCCGGTCTTTGTCTACGTCTCTATCTGGGGATGGAGCGGGCGGGCGTGAAGTATGGTCCATGCAAGGTAAAGTTGTGGATGGCGTGGGTGGGTGTGGTAAGGCAGACAGGGGTGGGTGAGGTGGATGGATGGATGATGGAGGATCTGCCGTCATGCCCGTGATCCTCCGCACTTGCGTTAGTCCGGGGGATATCTTGTTTGGGCCGGGGGTGGAACGACGTTGCTGCTCCCATGTGCGTGGTACTACCTCATGTCAGGCCCCGGCCCCACGCAGGACTATACCCGGAGCCTCCCGACCCCCTCCGACCACCGACGGAACTTCGAATCCGATGCGACACCAACCTGCATCACTGCCATCTTCAACTTCACGCAACACCTCGGTAATGTAAAATGGTTTTCTGGTATTGCAACTATCTGACTCTCTATGCCTAGCACGTACTGGAGCACATGCCTCAAGGCAAAGTAAAAAAAAGGGGGTATTCGTACGAAGAATGACGGGACCGCAAAAGGAAATCCTGTGCTCGAGGGGATGATGAAGACAACCGGGAAGAAAATGTGGAAAAAACCAGGCCATGCTATGCCGTTGTGATGAAGCGTTCCCCCTGCCTCGATACGATGTAATGAAATGTTTCCGTCATGGTATGCTTTCGACTCGTGGCGCAAAAGACATAGCTCCCAACTCCATGCTCTATGCGATGCAAGTTCGCTTGGCCTCCGTCCCACCGTGTCGATATCTCTTAGCACCCCAAGTCGCTGTAAACGCCAATCCAGACCCCCAGCCTAGCCCTTCCGAAATACACGCTTCGTGCCGCCGACCTTGCCCATGTCGCCAAATTCCGAAATCTTGCGCGTCTCGCCGCTAGCGGCACGCACCTTTTCCTTGACGCTCTCCACCCACGCCCGATTCTCCTCGCTCATCTCGACCTTGCGGCCAGTCGGTCCTGCCAGACCGAGGAACGAGCTCTCGTCCTCTTCCCAGCTGATGTGGGAGCTCGACCGGGACCGGTTGGAGTCTTCCGACGACGGCGTGGGCGTGAACTTGTCCGGGATCGGCGGGACAGCAGGCGTATTGGGAAGGAGCCGGGGCACCGATGAGTCGCCGGCGCCAAAAGACTTTCTAGACTTTCGGACGTTGAGCGGCGTCATGGGTGACATTTCCAGCGCGGAGGCTGGCCGACTCGGCGGGCTCGAGTTCGCGGCACGGCTGTTCGCCCGCGGCAAGTCCTGAACCTTGATCTCGGCCGTCTCGACCGGTCCGGCAGAGCGCCGGCCGTGATGCGAGGCGTACTCCTTGAGGTACTCGCCGAGATCGGCCCACCCACCTCCGACACGCACCATGACGCGCTCGCCGTGCTCGCCGACGCAGCGGATGAGGAGCTTGATGGGTGCTTCGCCGGTGGACCGTGAGAGGTGATAGACTCTGACATCTTGTCCGCTCTGAGGGCGTCTGGGCCTGGGGTTCTTGGCGTATGCGGGAGCAAGCGTCAGCCACGGCGTCGTTGCCCGTGATGATGTCCGCGATGTCGTCGACATAGCAGAGACGCTCCTCCGCATGGTCTCCCGGGATGGCTTCTTAAGCCTCTTGGCGGGCATCGTGGGCAGATCGGGCGGCGGCGGGTTCAAGTCCACCTTGGGCGTCGCTCTCGCCAGCTTGATGTTGGCGGGGATAGACTCTAGAATGTCGCTGATTTGCTTTCGCAGGTGGTCATCTTCCTTGTTGCCGGTCTCCCGAGGCGTTCCCATGCTGATGAAGGAGTGGTCGAAGTCTTCCTCGTTGAAGGACGATTCCAGGGGAAGGGCCGGCAGAAGACCCTCATCTTGGGGTCTCATCATGGGGCTCACGCTCTCTTCTCTGTAGCTCGGCCGGGACGGGGGAGAGCTAGGAGGGCTCATGCTCATGAAGCGGTCAGCAGCCGACTTGCGGCTTAGGGTCTCGGCACGCTTCTGGCGTGGCAGAGGAGGCGATGCTGAGACTTCGGGCATGTCGCTCGAGGCATCTGCGAGCAGGCTCGTGTGGCCGTGGATGATTGTGGACGAATCTGAAGCGTCACTTCCGCGTCTGTCGGGTCGGATCAGCGGTGGCAGCTGCATCTCTTCATCGTCGGGCATAATCTCGTCCGCGTCGTCAGAGCTGGACCGGGCGTTGCTTTCAAAGACTGCCCTCAGTTTCGACACGACGGATTCCTTGCCCGACACCTTTCTCTTGGTGTTTTCTTCGTTTTGCACCTCGCCTAGTGGCGTCCGCTTGGGTTTTGTAGCCTCGTTGGAGCCGTCAAGGCCGGCGACTGGCTGCGTCTTCTTCTGCGCTTGCAGTTGCGAGGGAGACAGCTCGATTGTATCGTCCTCGGAACCGTCAGACTGCTCCGGAGTGGCTTCAACATCAGGGGCAGGCTGGCTATCCTCTTCCGGTGGATTTATGGTGATGGGCACTGGCAAAGTGACGGTCCTCACATCTTCGTCCACAACAGGCAGGCCACTGGATTTCGTGGGCTCGGCCTCGATTTCTTCTCTGATCACCGGTGGAAGCGCTTTCTGCTGACGAACACTAGCCCAGTCACCTTGCCGGATCCTCTGCTCGCCTGAAGTCACCCAGTCGGCGTAGTTGCGCTCGACGGCCTCCATACGGTCGAGCCAGGCGTCGGGCAGTGTATCCTGCAACCCCTCGAGACTGTCGAGCATGAAATCGAGGCTGCGTCCGGATTTCGTGATTTGCGTCTCCAATACCGACTTGACAACAGTGACGGCGTGTTTGAGTTGAGAGAGGCCGTCCTGGGCTCCCTCTTCGGCGGATGGCGTCCCCGCCGGAGATGACAGCACGTTCCATGCAGACTCGAGGGCGTACTCGGCCTCTGCAATGCCAGACAGCAGGTCGGGTATGCGACGGAGAACGGAGAGGCGGATGTGCCAGACTTTGAGCAGTCGGCAGAGCTTGGACAGATTCGGCAGTGCTTGAACGATGATTGCCGTGAGGAGAGCCGTCAAGTCGTCCATTCGGTTGTAGGAAAGTGCGCCGCCTCCCATGGGCCGCGTCGGGGACAGCGGCGTTCCAGGTCTCGAAAGCGGAATGATGTGGGTATGCATGACGTGAGTCTTGATTTCTTCAATGTGAAGCTCGTCCATGTCGTGAGAGATGCCGTCAACGCGCTGCTCGTACTGGGCGACGCTCTCGGCGGGTAGGCTCCCGAGATATACCGACTCATCGGCGTCCTCGTCGAGTTTCGTCCGCTTGGCCTCTGGCATCTCAAAGCCGGCCGAGCCGCTGGTGGAAGGCCAGGGCCAATCGGAAAGCTCCTCGAGCCATTCGTAAATCTTGCGGCTGGCCACGGCGGCGCGCATGGCGAATTCCTGTTCGTTGACGGTAGAGTTGTCTAGGCATTGTTTTAGTTCAGTGTTTGGTGTTTGGAGCATCTCGACGGCGGTCAGTGGTGTAAGGCGGCTCAAGAGGTCGGCGTTGGTTCGGGCACGGGTGGGCGAGTGCTCGTCGGAGTGGCGGTACTGGCGCCTGGCCGGGCGTAGCTGGTGGCCCGGCCCCGGGGTGATGGGCGGCGGAGGATCGGTCATGATGTTGATTGCTGAATAGTTGTTGTCGGTTGTCGAACGAGCGGTTGATCTGTCGAGTAGGCAGGCATGACCTTTGCTTCTATGAACCTGGGAAAAAGACGTCTTGGATGCGTATGGCCATGTCGTGGATCATCGGTGGTGTTTGTTGACAATCATGGACGTCCCTATCCGGCTGACTGATGTCTCGGTGGTGTCTCGCGTTCCTAGCTCTGGTCTCTGGAGGTTGCTGGAAAGACGTCGATTGCTCGGGTTGTCGTTCGGGTGGTTGCAGGATGTTCCAGACGGCAGACGTCAATGGTTGTGGGCGCGGCGCGGCTTCCTAGATGCAGGGGAGCGCAGGGATTCAAAGGTAGCTGCGCTGCTGAAGAATAAGAAAGAACGGATAGGTTGGGTGGTGAGGTAGACAAGGTCGCTGGTGAGGATTCAAGGAGAGAAGCAGATCAAAGGAAGGTCGTTGGTGAAAGAACGAGGCAGCGCAGGATTAGAGAATTGAAGCTGGCGCGATGAGACGACACTGGGGGAAGAAGGGAAGGGCAAGGCGCAAAGGCAAAAGAGCAGTCGGCAAAAGGAGATTAGGTGTCTGGCGTTGTCGAAAGAAAGAGGAGATTTATTAATGAGATTTGATGGATATTGGCTACCACATACGGGGATGGCCAGGGACCTTGTAGTCCTTGTGCAGGGCCATCCACTATGTCCAGTGGGAATGCGGACGAAAGTCAGGTACCCGAAGGCAGGGACAACAGTGGGCGAGGTACCTTTCGCCTGTCCTGCCACCTGAAAAGAACCTGGGCGTCGTGGTGGTCCACCAATGCGGCGATGCTTGTGGGTGATGGGGTGGAGTGGCCGCTGTTCTGGGTTAATAGGCCTCCAGAACACCCCCGTCATGCAAACGCGCTTTCGCGGCTTTCGCCAGCCAGTCCAGCCCAGTTGGTCTTGACAATCCAACACATGCTCCTAATAATATCACAACTATCGATTCGGCCACCGACGTCTCTCCACGTTCATCCGCATCGTCCGCATCGTCCGCGTCGTCGTCGTCTGTCGTCCGTGTCTTTCTGGCTTCCCTACAGCACCCGCCACAGCTTCAACTGCCACGGCAACTCGTCCCTAGCACCGCACATCCTGACGTGTCGCGAGACGGCCTTTGCGCCGTTCGCATTGGGGGGGCGCGTTAGAAAGAAACCGGACTGCGCGTCGCTGAAGACCCTGGTGCCAGCCGCATCCTGCATGGCTGCAGAGAACATCCATGCCCTAGAGTGGTGCTATGTGATGCGTCCGCCGCATCTTGACGTCCTTCCGTGCCCGTCATGCTGGGAATCCGATGGGTGTCCCTGCCTCGACTTGATGCAGCCACCGCCTGGGCCAGCATGCTGCCCGGGAGTCCTCGACAAACTTTGATGGGCTCTGATTCTGCATTCGTGATGTTCTCGCGTTCTCAGCTAGGTTGACGTGAACACACATTGACCATCTTCCAGACACCACTCCGTCTCCTCGCACGTTCTCTCCACGACATGAGATGGCAGGCTGCACGACACTGTCGCTCGACGCTCGGATGCAGAGAGTTTCCCTGCCAGACGTGCATGTTTTGACACGGTAACATGGCCCACGGCCGCGGTCACGGACGGTTACTGTCAGCCAGAGAGCTCTGAAAGCTGTCAGCAAGCTTTATCACTAGTGGCGAGCTGGCAAACTCAAGGCGCAGACTTTGCAACTTGATCAGCCACGCCAGGCTGACAAAGTCAGAGCGTGGCGCCAGCCCATCGGCTGCTTCCATCGCTTCCGGCGATCATCATCCCCCCACTGCGGTGACCTTATTTGCCCTGCTATCACGCATCCAGCTGGGGGACCCGGAATGATTGGACAGAGACGCATCGCCAGCCGTCGAACCGTGGGATACTTGCATGCCCGGGAGCCTCTTCGACCTCGATTCGTATGTACGCACTAGTAGATCGCGACGCATGACCAAACTTCATTCCATCGCACGAGAGCTAGCCACCAGACGGCCAAGACGCGACTGACTCCAGCGTACGGAGTCCGGTTCTGCTCATTTCCTCAGATTGTCCACCGAAAAAAAAGTGTCCCACCCGTCGTCATTAAACAGTCGCTCGCTGGCCCGGAAACGCGCTCGGTACCATTTCGCCTGACAGCTCCCCCTGTCCCGCTACCCTGCATTCGGTTACCTCATCCTGGAGCTCTCAGATTGAACACGAGGGGTTGTTTGAGCTTGACTCTCAAGGGAGCTCCAGACGGCGGGTACTATCAAGGGAGCTTTGGACCTCCCATGTCACTGGAGTGACAGCGTTTGGACGTTGCGCCATTGTCTCGCGATCGCAGCCAGTCATCATCCTGGATATCGTGAAGTTTTGCATTCGCTAAATCTAGATTCTATGCTTGTGGCCCATCAAAGCTTCGGCGCAACGTGCCTCCATTGCCCTATGCCGGGGTACACGAAGCCAAGCTCCCGAAGACTTGTCGCGCTCCCTCCTCGCTTCTCAAACTCTTGCTTGCTTGGCCAGTAGATGCCGCGCTCCCAAAACTGCTCATCGTGCCAGTATGGCGGTTCCTTGCCTCTCTGTGTCGACTCCGCCACCCAGTCGTGCAACATGTTGAGGTGGCGGCCATCGTCTCCGTCGTCGAGCAGCACATGAATGTTCTTGTCGCCGCGCCTCTTGAACAAGTCCAGCTCCCATTCCTCCTGCTCCTCCACAGGCGGCAGCTTCAACCCATTGGACCACACCGCACCCAGAGCCGCCGCCTGGTTCTCTGCCACGGGCCAGGGCACTGTCTTGACCAGCAGCCCGGCAAAGGCCAGCGTGGGGTGCTTGATGAGGAACAGGTGCTGGTACAGACCCCTGACGCCTTTGCCGGTCGTCAACAGATTTGACTTGAGGAACTCGGGCAGGAACGGGAAGCTGAAGAAGAAGCCGGTGCAGTATATGACGGCGTCGACGTCCTCCGCCACCGCCCCGTCCTTGTAGACGACGGCCCTTTTCTCTGGCAAGTACTCCACAATCTCTGGAACCTCCGTCACACCAACGTGCTCAACCTTGTCCGGCGGAGTCGCATGTCGTACAGATAGATACACTCTGTCCGAGACCGGGCTGAGCTGGCGGGCTATATCCAAGCCCGAGGGCCCGTTGCCAACGACAATCACCTTTTTGCCCGAGTAGGGCTCCGGGACGCGGTAGTTCTTGGAGTGCAGGATCGCTGACGGGTGCGCCTCGTGAAAGGCCATGATGCCCTTGACGTCCGGGATAAAGGGGATGTCATAGTGTCCGTTGGCAATTACCACGGCATCGTACATATCGCTGAACTTCCGGCCGGTGACGGTGCACGCCGCCACGAGGTCCCACCTGTCTCGGCCGTTTTCCTGTCGGAGCTCGAGCGCCGTGACCTGGTGCGAGAACTTGATGAGGTGGCGGACGTTCTTGGCGTACTCGACCAGGTAGTTGTAGATGGACTGCCGCGAGGGGAATACCCAAGCGTCGTCCGGGAACGGCGTGTCCTTGTAGTTCATTGTCGTCTTGACGGTGTTGGCGTGCAGCGTGCCGTACATTGGTGTGGGGAACACGGGCGGTGCGCCGCTGCCACCCGGCCGGAGCGGAGGGTCCTGCGGGCAAAAGGGGTCTGTCTGGGGTACATGGCGAGACGTGGTCGGGTGCGGGCTGTAGTTCCAGACGCCGCCTACCTCGGCCTGCTGCTCGAACACGACGACGGAGTCGAAGGCCCCCTGCGCCGTGAGGTATCGAGCGGCCGCGAGACCCGTCGGCCCCGCGCCGATGACGGCGATCTTTTTAACGGTGAACGAGATTGTGCTCATGGTCTGTAAGACATGGACGGCCTTAGTGGTAATATGCAAAGGAACAGTGGCCGCTCTTTAAACGACGAACTACAAACTTGGGATCCACGAGGTGCCAACGCGTTATATCGGCGGGAAATCACCTAATCGGTTCCTTTTCGGACAGAGTGGTGGACACCGGGCGGGTAAAACGGGGATGCCCTCCGCTCCCCTACATCAACGTCGCAAAGCCAACGCAATCGGATGCTTGGACGAGAGAGAATAGAATAATGACATGTCTGCCATGGCCTACCTCTTCTGGTCCGGAGTGAATGTCCAAAAGCTTAACCGGCGCAAGGTCTACCCATGGCAGGTCGTCAGGTGACTCGGGGACGACCCGAATTCCCGCTTATCGATAAGGAACCATCCGGCAGTCGCTGCATACCGCCTACTTTTTTCTGCCAGTGAGGTGTGGGGCGTTCCCGCGCAATTCGTGCAGCTCAAGCAGGAGCTTCCCTTGTTCCACATTCCATCCACACCACGACCATGCGGTGCTACCGAATCGACCTTTGCGACCGTTTCCATCCCACATTCATTTAGCACAACCACACCTTCGACTCTGCGACAACATCCCGCTGATGCTCGACATCTCCGACTACACACTCATCAGCTCCGCCGCGTCTCCCTCAAACTCATGACGCGATGTCTGGGGTCCCGCAACCCGCAGCGCAGCAGCAGCTCGAAGCCGCCGAGGCCATCGCGATCGCGCAACTGAGCCCCGCGCTCCAGGACCCCAAGGCACGCGTCGTCCGGGGCGTCGTGACAATCACGTGGCCCTACAGCATCGTCAGAAAAAACATTGCCTTCCTCCTCGCCGAGGCCGACTTCCGCCTGCGTCGCGCCAAGGGCCAGGTGCGCGTCGAGTTTGCCGGCTCGACCGCCAAAGCGATTGCGGATGCGGCTCTGGGGAGCGGCGACGAGATTTCGCTGTCGCTGGACGGGGTCGAGCTCGTTGCGGACGACTCCAAGACGCGCGTTCCGGGAACGAGCTTGGAGTGGCAGCTGAGGTTTACAGAGAGGGTGCTTCTCCAGGTAGGTTGAGCGTGTGCGTTGGAGGTGATGTTTGCTGAAGATATGAAAAGGCCAAGATTAGCGATTCCGAAGAGGTCAAGGTCATCGATGTCGACCACCCCGCACAACCCGAATCAGAGCCCGAAGAGCTACCGGTGTCCATCCTCGAATCATTTCAGGATGTCGAAGAGACCCCGGGGCCGATTGCGACACCCGCGAAAACACCTTTAAGCAAGAGACCCGCCGACCATGGCCTTGGCGCCGATGAGTTTGCGTCCCCCGCGTTCCTCAAGCGTGCTAGGGTTTCCTACGGATCACTGTTCGATGGGGGCCTCGACATCTTTGATGAGGCAGATGACGGAGCAAAGGCCCGGGCGAAGAAGAAGCCAAAGACAGGCAGGTACAGCAGCGTTTGGACATACGCCAGTCGAACCCCGAGTCCCGAGCCGGAAGCACCTGAGGAAGAAGACACATCAATGGTTGTTGAGGAGCAGCCGACGGTTGCCACGCCATCACGGCCTACGATGGTGGACGGTGCCTGCCAGACAGTGGAGCAAGAGACGAGCCCCCCGAGAGATGTCCAGGTGGCGGCAGAGGCGCGGCAGGACCCTTCGTACTGGCAGACGCCGTCGAAGTCGACAATGATCGATTCAGGGGTTCAGTCTGATCTGCCTCTTAGCCCCAACATCGGGCTGACTCCACTCGGATTTGGACCGCCGCCGCCCATGCCGATATTCACGTCCGCCCACGAGCAGTATCCGCCGGCCTTCCAGCAGCCGCCTATCGATCCCGTCTTTGGTCACGACATGGAGCCGCATTACGGCGCTGAAGGGCCATTTCACGAACACCCCAGCGCGTACCCAGAGGCAGGGCTTGACCATTCGCCTATGCATGGCCACTACCCCACGACGTTCCTCGACGAGCCGCACTTTGGCCCAGACGGCGTCGTCACGTCACAGCCACTGTCGGAGCCGATACCCGCGTACCAAGACCACCCGCAGCAGCACGATCTAGAGGCACAGCCCCACCACACAGTCATGGTTGATGGGGTCGCTGAGCCTCAGCAAATACCCTGGGGCCTCACGTCGGCACACTATTCGAGATCGCCCGCGAAGCCTGCAGAGTCTGGTGAAGTGCACGAGGGGCGAGCCTCTAGCCCTCAGGACGCCGATGGCGAGACATGGGAAGAAGACCGCGAGCGTGAGGCGAGAGACGATCCTGAGGACGAAGAGGCACTCAGGGTAGAGGAGGACCAAATGTCGGAAGACCAAGACGGCCCCGAAGAGAATTTTGCATCGAGAACGTACGCCGAGAGACGCCACGAGCGAGGTGAAGAAGCCGCAAGCATAGAAAAGGAGAGCAGTCCCGTGGGCAGTGGCAGCGGCAGCGGCAGTGAGAGCAGTGGAGAGAGCGATGAGGAAGCCGAGCACGAGGCTGACGACACCGGCGGGGACTACGACATTACCCACTTCCGCAATCTCAGCAATAACCAGGATGACGACGCGGGGACGGACCTGGAGTCGGACTACGGACAAGAAGAAGAGGAGGAGATACTGGATCCCGAAGATGACGAGGAAGCGGAGGAATCCGAGGACTACGACGAGGAGGGCTACGATGAGGGGGACTATGACGAGGACGAGGACCAAGAGAACCAACCGCCGCCTGCTGCTCCGCGAGGGGGACCACCAGTAGTCATTGACTTGCTCTCGGATTCCGAGGACGAGGATGAAGCTCCGCCGCCGCCACCACCGCCCGCCGCGGCTCCTCGGCGACAGATACCGCAGTACGATGGGTCCGCCGATGAGATGGAAGACGAGGACATGGACGACCAAGAGAGCCAGGGAGAAAGTGTGAGGAATGAAGACAGTCAACAAGGCTCGTCGCCGCAACCGTCTGATGCGGAGAGCGAAGAGGACCAGGCATCGCAAGTCGGCACACCCACGCCGAAGCCCCGTCAGGCGGCAGTTTCTTCCGCTCCGGACTTGACGACGGGGTCGATTGGCGATGATTTCGAGACGATGAGCCCAGTGAAGCTGCCGCACATGGCAGGCGTTCCGCATAGCTCTTCCCGGCCTACCTCGCGAGGCGAGTCGGATGATCTCGAGGCGGAGCTCGAAAGGGAGCTGGAGGAGGAGATTGCGGCGGATGATGCCGGGAGCGACCGTCAGACACCGGCCCCATCTGAGGGCATGGCGGGTGTTGAAGAGACGGGGATTGTGCCGTCGAGTCCGTTCAATGAGGACGTTCGTCATGCACCACCGAAGCAGGCAGCATCCAGTCCTTTCAACGAGGGTCCTGCTGGCGATACAGCGCTGAAGCAGGCCGTGTCCAGCCCAGTCAGGACCGATATCGAGGATTCTGAGGTGCTGGGAGAGGAGACGCTCGCTGTTGAGTCTCCTGTGGCTGAGGAGTCCAGCCCGGTTCGAGTAGTCTCGGCTGCTGAGGAGGAAGCAGGCGTTAGGTCTATGGCCGAGGAATCTAGTCCGGTCCGATCCGTTGCGAAGGAGCCGGCCGTCAAGTCGATGGCCGAGGAATCTAGCCCTGTTCGACCTGTCCCGGCTGTCGAGGAGGAACTCGCCGTTGAGTCTCCCGTGGCTGAATCCAGCCCCGTTCGGCCTGTCGCCGCTACTAAGAAGAAACCTGCCGTTAAGTCGATGGCTGAAGAATCCAGCCCCGTCCGGCCTGTTCCGGCTATTGGGGAAGAATCTAGCCCCGTTCGGCCGGTCACCGCTACCAAGAAGGAAGCTGCCGTCAAGTTCCCCATGGCTGAAGAGTCCAGCCCCGTCCGGCCTGTCCCGGTCGTCGAGGAGGAATCTAGCCCCGTTCGGCCTGTCTCAGCTGCTAAAGAGGGACCAGCCGTTGAGTCTCTCGTAGCTGAGGTGTCCAGCCCTGTTCGGGCTGTTGGGGCTGTTGAGGAGTCACCGGAGCCAGAGACAGAGGCTGCCGATGTCCAAGTTGCGCCAGAGGAGGAAGACGACGTTGAGCCTGAAGAGTTGGTCACAGACGAAGCTGAGGGTCAGTCACTGGCAGATCAATCAGAAGCTCTCGTCACAGAAAGTCTCCAGGCAAGGATAGATGATGCTGCCGAGACCGAAGTCGCCCAAGCAGAGGATGAAACTGTCCAGCCTGAAGTCCCTGCCGAGGATGTCACTCGACAGACACCAGAATTAGAAGCCAGCAATGTCGAAGCGCCTGGGCAGACGGAAGAAGTGCAGCAAGTCGACCCCGACGACAAAGTCGCGGCCAAGGAGCAATCACCGGAACACACCGAGGTCACCGTGGCTGAAGCAGTGGAAGAGACAGTCTCTGTCGACGCAACAGCACACACCTCACCCAAAGAGGCCACGCCGGACCATGTCGAGATCAAAGAGACAGAGGTCACCAAGATGGAAGTGGAAGAGACGCAGCCTCAATCTGACGATGAAGACATGGAAGTCTCACTGATTCCCGATGAGACTATAGTCCAGGACGTCGAAGAAGCTACAGTCGAGGTGCACATGGACTCTGACGACGAGGGCTCTGTCGAGCCAGCGGACGTTGACATGGGCGACCCAGACGACATGTCGGTCGACGACGAAATCAGCAGCAATGCGACAGACTCGGATATGGAGCTCGACGATGTCACCCAGGACCAGCTCATCCAGAGCCAGCTGTACGAGGAGTCGATGATGTACGAGGAAGACCAGACGGTCACGACTTCCATCACCACGACGCAGGTTGTCGAGGAGCGGCCAGTCTCTCAGGGAGGTGATGCCGCCGACGACGCTCGCCTCGAGACTGAGGTTATCGAGACGTCACGGGTGACTGTTGAGACGACCATCACGGAGCCCCTGAAGACGACGGACGCGCAACAGGCGCAAGTCGAGGACGCGATGGACGTGGACGAGCTGGAGGACGCCAAGTCTACACAGATGGCATCGCCTACGCCAACGCCTCAATCATTTGAGGAGAAGACGGCTGAAACAGAAACCTCACAAGCCGACGAACAATTGACACCACGCGCCACACAAACCGTCAAGTCCTTCTCGCAGTCGTTCGTCGAGACGCAGGCCACCGAGGTGACTGTACCAGACGATGGTGAACCACAGGCGGAGCAATTAGCGGAGCCTCTCGACGAGAGACGCCCCGCCGAATCCCCCGCAGCGGCCCCAGTCCAACCCCACGAACCGCTGCTGGATGATGAGGAGGAGGTGGAGAGGGAGAAGGAAGCGTCCACTCACCACGAAGCTGATGCAGATGCGCCCTCACCTATCAACGAAGAGTCATCACAAATCCGAGACTCGTCGGCGCAACCGTCGGAAGCGCAATCGTCTCTTATCGCCGAGGACACATCGGAGGAAGTCGTTTCCGCCGCGAAGCCAACTCCGAAGCGAGGTCGCGGCCAGCACCACAGAACCAACAGCAAGGATCAGGATCCCAGCGTTAAACTGGCCCGTGCGTCGATTGCTTCTCGACGGTCGACGCGCCTATCAGATCGCACGACGCCTGACATTCACAGCAGCGCCGCTGCCGCTCCCGCTCGAGGGACGGCAGCGGCAGCGACGACGACGAGCCGAGGTAGGTCGGCGAGCCTGGCGCTCAAGAGTGATTCACCTGATGCGGACGCGGAGGATACGGAGGTGCAGCCCGCTAGGGCCGCGGTCAAGTCACCATCGCGAGCTCCCAAGACCGCCAAGGAGAGTGTCACCAAGGGGGGCAAGGAGACTGTCCCCAAGGAGGCCCAGACTAAAGAATCAAAGGCCAAGGAAAAGGCAACCTCAAAAGAGGCTGCTGCATCATCAACATCACAACCGACAGAACAATCCTCCGCCGCACTCAAAGCCCAGCTCGCCAAATCCCTCCGCGCCGACGTGCCGGACTGCATCTCCCTTAAAGTCCTCCGAAGCCACCCGGGCCGCACGGTCGACGTGCTCGCCGTCGCCACCACGAACCCGCCCGAAGCGAAGCGCGCCAAGGGCGGGCCCCGCGGCATCATGCTGGCGTTTAACGTCACCGACCACTCCATCGCGCCCGCGCAGACGGTCGCCGTGCAGATTTTTCGGCCGCACAAGGCCGCGCTGCCCGTAATTCACCAGGGCGACGCGGTGCTGTTAAGGAACTTTAGTGTCATGGTGCTTACGCGGAGCGGGTTCGGGTTGAGGGCGAATGATGGGTCTAGCTGGGCTGTTTTTGAGACGAGACGGCACGGGCATGGGGGCGAAGGCCAGGGAGGAGGGGACGGTAGCAGTGCTGATGCGGACGCTGGTGATGATTTGCCGCAGATTCGGGGTCCGCCTGTGGAGCTCTCTGAGGGGGAGACGGGGTATGCGGCTCTGCTTAGGCGGTGGTATGCCGGGCTGGACGCCAAGTCGCTCGCGAGGTTGGACAAGGCTAACGAGGCGGCGCCGGCTGTTGGGAATGTTGGTAAGGAGGGCAAGTGATGTGCAAGCAGCAGTCACTATAGTGTAGTGTGGATGATACGCAGAGGTGGATGGGAACTACGTGTTGGGTGAAGCATTTGACTAGATTGCGTATGGGGATTCTGGCATGGGATAGACGTAGCTCGTGTAGGTATCACGGCAGAGATATCACGATAGTCGGCAATGCATTGTACAAATAACCATCTTGTTGACTGGCCCACCGAGTGTAGGAAGTGCGCGAGGGGGCAACGTGGTGAAGGCGGAATATGTTTCATGCCGCCGCCAGTTCAACCAACCACCCAAGAGGCGGAACTACAAACACTGAATACGCAGCAAAAAAATGGATCACTAATACACAAGTCCGAGTGGGAGTCGAGACTAGTGTATCGGACGACGGAAAGCCAAGCTTCAGCAGATCGTGGAGTTGGAGCCTTGAAGGTCCCGCGTTTTCCCCATGGGAAAAGGCAACGCAGAGAGCGGCAACGGCAGCGGAAGCGGAAGCGCAGTCAGAAGAGCAAAAAGAGGCCACCAACCCAGGCGGCAGGCAGGTTTCCGAACGGATACCGTCCGCGCGGACTAACCCCGTTTCGTTCCCTTGCCTTGCCTTGCGCGCGTTCGCGTCGAGTGCCCACTCTGACTGTCCGCTGTATTCTTGATCCGCCCGCATTCAAAAGTGCGGCCCCAACCATTCGTGATGCAGGCATTGTGGCATTGTAAGCAGCAAGCGGAGACCTCTCTCCTGGCCTGCCCATCAGTGTTACGAACGGAACCACACCCGTTATCTACGCAGTATTCGACTTGTCATCCAGCCCCGTCTTGCCCCTCTTTGCTCTGCCATGCTTCTTTCCCCTGATTTGCCTTGATTTGCAAAAAGAGGAGCCGTGGCCCATGCCGGTGAGTTGTGGAGCACACGTCAGGACGGAAAGAGAAAGTCGCTGGAGATTTGACAAGCGATGGTGTGGGTGAGCTTGCGGCTTGGTGGGCTGCAAGCAAGGGTGAATTCGGACATCAGGATCGGAGCAGGTCGGCGACCCCACCCTTCGCCGGCCGGGTGGAGATTTCGCAACAGGGTGGGACAATCTACCGGCGTCGTCGCTGATTGGACGGCTATGCTTTCCCACGGTTTCCCTCCACACGTGTGGGGGAGCTGTCTTGCTTCTCGTGTCCAGTGCGGCTTGCCCCGGGACTTGTCAACGGATGCCAGATTTTGTGCCGAATGTTTTGTGATGATGGCAGTGCCTGCGAATGCTCCGTGGGAAGGCTGCCGATCCGGCTGCGTGCCGTGTCGATATCTGGTGGAACTCTCGCGACCGTTGTTTGCCGTAGCATTATCGTAAAGTCATGGATGACCACTTGGTAATGCGGTTCCGATACAAGTGCGGTGAGTGAGGCTCAGAAACGCCCCTAATTTTGGGTCGCCATCCAGGATGGTCTGGCCGGCTGGTACGGAGGCAGTCTGAACCATTGGATACGGCATTCGTCATACTCCGTACAAAGAGGCACGCACGCCCGGCAAGTGGCATCGGAGCAAAGGGAGGGAGTGTTTCGTCAGGTGGATTTACTGGGGCTCCTGGGTCTAGCTGGCAATGGATATTGGGACCTGCGACGGTGGACAGGATGGCTGTACCAGACACAGCAACTGACCGAGACGAGACGGCGCTGCAGATCTTCTGCAAAACGCCCATTGGACTCGTTGCCTTTTTGGCTTAATCTTGATGCGTCACATCTCCTAGACACTTTTACCTGCCGTCAAGGTTTGGACGGAGTCAGGACAGGCTTTTTTTGAGATGGATGGCCGGGATGTAGGGACGGGAATTGCACGGTGGTACAGTACGTACAGACGTCGGCATGCATGGACGCGGTGCCGTCGAGTCGGCGCCAGGGACCTTCGGCCGGGAGAAGGTTTTGGACGGACAGGACGCAGGGGTGGAACGTTGACCGAAACATTGCGCCCACCGGGGTTCAGGGCTGCACTTGGGTGAATATTCCACCAGTGTTTCCCATTCATCCAAACCGTTCATTGCACGCAGTCGGGACGTGGAAACGGATCGTGATCGCGTCTGTTGTGTCGAGAGTGATGGGCCAGTACTGTAGAAAGTACTGGACAGGGGTGACCACGCCCCAGTCCCGACTGTTGCCGAATCCAGCTGGGCGAATGGAGATATTTCCAGGTGTGGAATGGGACGTGATTGGGCGCCCGCCGGTGCAAGGGCATCGATTTTGATTACGGGAGCGATTGAATCGGGAATTGTGCATCCTGTTCTTTCGGGCTAAAGGGCGTGTGTCGTGTGTCGATCCAACGAGACGACGGCAGGACGAAACCCTGATGGATTGGGGCAAGCGACAGCGAGGGTGTGGCCTTTGAGAAGCCGACTTGGAAGAAGCCGACTTGCACGGTTTCTTGGTTCTGGCGGCGTGGCCCCCTTCTGCGGGCCACCTTCTGCTCGCAATTTACTGCGTATTACTGACAGTGCTGGGTGTCATGATGCTGCGTTGTGCAGAATTATGACAGAACCAAGAGGCTGGAGTGGTGTCCTCAGACAGTCACAAAAACGCCAGACACGCCGCCCATCGCTTGAGGCTGGATGCGCTTGACTGCCTTGGGACGCTTGCCCAGAATGCCGCATCGGCCACGGTCCGTTGGTGGTGAGCGACGAGCGACGAATGGTGACTAAGGGCAGGCGCAATCGACCCAATGGCACGGGTGCAGTTTGAGATGAGGTGTGAAAAATTGCAGAGCGGCTCGTGATGCTTTAAAGTTGGAGGGGGCCACTGGGGGAATGAGGGTTACGATAGGCTAAGGATTATGTAGGCGTCTGTGGTTGGATGCTGCGGTGAGCGGAGGTGGACTGCCTCCGTGGTGCCTGTGTCTGGGCGTGATCCTGGGAGCCCACACCGGAGCTGACTCGATTGGACCTGACTCGCGAGGCTGGCGCTGGTTAGTGATGTTGGACTCTGGTAAATAGTGACCCGGGAGGACGAGGTACCTGCGGGCAGGTATTCGTACTGAGGAAGACGCCTCAAGGAGTACTTGTTCCAGCCCTGGGGCAGCCAACGGCACGGCTGCAGGTTGGTGATTGGCGGCTGGCCGTTCTCCACAAGGTGTGAGTGACGAGAGATGGGGTCAAGGGCCTGGGTTGCTGCGTTCAGGTGGAGGCCGTGGAGGAAGAGGTCATGATCCCTGGATGACGATTCGTCCCTTGGATTCCAGGAACTCTGGCGACTGGGACTGGGACTGGGACTGGAGCACCAAGGTTCCCAAGAACCCAAGCCTCCTCAAGCCAAGGCTTTGCCTATTTCCTGCTGTCGTCCGGGCCTCGACTTGACACATACGGGATTGGGGAGAAATGGATCTGGCGGAGAAGGTCAGTCGGATACGGGGCCGCGGGAGGTGGACTGGACTGTGGACTCTGGACTCCCTACCTAGTACGGAGTATAGAAGGCTAGCGAGTCTCCAGCGACAACAAGGTCATGCTTTGCGGTGAAGAAGATCGGTCTGCTGGTCTGTTTGTTGTTTTTGGGGCCGGGTGAGCTTTCTGGAGAAGGTCAAGTTTTAGGCTGTGGCATGGCGGTACGTAGCATGGCGGCATGGGAGCTAGCGTCGATGCGGCAAGGTCGACGTGTTGCAGCTGCTGAGACACATCACACTACGCAGCAGATATGGCAGGCATGGGTCCATTGTTGATAACACGAAATGGTAGGAGCACTGGAGACGCTGGACTCTGGAGGCAAGTGGTAACGAACAAAGAGGCCGCCTTCCCATAGTGTCTGCCCATCGTGCCTGGGCCCAGGAAGGAAGGAAGTAACAACTGTCATTTGTTTAGAGCAAGTGCGGGTGGATTCCGAACGGCAAAGAGAGGGTTTCCTACAAAGTACGTAGCTTAGGGCAGAGAGGATCGGGACAGGATCGGCCGGGGTGCGGCGCCAGTTGCATACGGGCGGGAGAATCAGGTATTGCCTCATGTACGAGACCGCAAACTGCAAGTCGACAGCAATCTCGAATGCAGGCCGGCGGGTGTTGTCACGATGGGACTTGATAGTTGACGGGCGCAGTAGAGTTTTGGGTCCTTGGGTGTTTGGACTCTGTGCTCGAGATGACTTGCCTCGACGATCTGTGATAACCTGCCCGGTGAGGGAGGCACCCCACTATGGAAGCCGCGGCGCCCCTCATGTTCAACCCCCTCCCGAGCCCCCAGAGATTCGCAGCTACTCCGTACTGCGTCCCAAACGGCCAAAGATGCAAGCTTGGCTGGAAGGAGGCAGGGATGGTGGGAGTTGCGATTACGACATCTGCAGTTGGCTTCACATGCGATGATGCCGAAGCAAGCCAGCGGGCGCGGCGGCTGTTTGGTTGCAGGCTGTCTGCTGATATCGAAGATGAGGTCAGGAAGTGATAGAGTTGGAGGTTGTGAGATTTCGTTTGCCATGTTCGGCGCAGTGGTTGGCTCGACCGGATGGATGGAAGGTGGCACAAAGGATATATGGGATGGAACACCACCACCACCACCACCACCTCCTCCTCCTCCTCCACCAGGAGAAGCACACGCGAGCTTCGCCGTGGCGGACGGGGAGGCGCTGGATGAAGAATCCCATGGCGTCTGTCAGTCTGTAGTCACGACTCTGCAGGCCGTGGCACCGTGAGGTAAGCAGTCAGTAGCCGTCACCAATGGAACATACAGATGCAGAACGATGTAAGAGCGCCCTGACATTGCGCAGCGATTGCGCAGTGCGGCTTGGTTCCACGCTTCCCATTCCTGGCCAATCCCGGTCAAGGTCCAACGACAGGCCTGGAAAACGCAACAACGTCCCGTGGTCTCTGTGTCACTGCGCTCGATGCAGGTCACGGGTCATCGGACAGACAGATTTGACAGCTCGAGGGCGTCGAGGTCATGGCGTGGAAAGGGAGGGAATGCAAGCAGACAATCTCGGTGGGAAAGTGCATCGTGGCGTGGCATCGTGAAGAGGTGAGGGCTGGAGAACTCGAGGTGAGGGAAGGTGAGGTATTTCGTGTGGAGTACGTACAATCTCCCCGATACGTACTCTGTCTCTACTGTGGTACCTACTGTACATACTTCGTAAGGAAGGTACCGCAGCACGGCAGGAAACTTCAAAGTCTGGCGCTCCGTCTCATCCAGCATCCTTGTCTCAAGCCTGACTAACTCTTGTCCACTTCTCCATATTTTGCTGCTTTGCACTTGTTCTTGCTATTGCTAGCTTCGTTTCCCCATAATTCGGGGTACGCAGAGATCCACGTCGTGCTGTGGTCGAAGTGGTCCTGCTTTAATTATTACCCTCTGCCTTTTTCCTGACCTTGCCAGGTGTAGAATGGTACAGCTGGGCAGCTGGGGAGGAGCAGGGGGTGTTCCGCCTCCCTCGTTTATTCGCCCGGCCTAGTCTCGTCAATGGATCGGAGAGTGAATGGAGCCAAAAAGAGGAGGGGGCCGACTGGGGTGCACCTTAGTCCTGATGCCCAGGGGGGGTACACGCAGTAAAGGATACCTCGTGGGAATTCCAGACGAAAGAAAGAGAGTCCGTTCCCAGTTTCTCTCTTTCCAGCACGTCTGTTGCAAAAAGATTGATCCCATTGGAATAATATAATACCTCCGCCCATCCCCTTCGCACCCTTGGACCCCACATTCCCGCTTCTCCTTTGCTGCCCTTTTCCCACCTTGAGCATTTGCCCGTAGCTCCGGCTTTTCTAAACAATTCGAGCTTGAGGTTGCCTCGTCCTTTGCATCTCCAATTCCAGACTTTGCCCAAGACAGCATCGACCACCAAATCACGAGACACACGCCCCAGACACACCACACACAAGGTCTCTAACCAAAGGGTCGTCCGCACTCATAGCAGCAGCAACATTTAGTATCAGGCTTGGAAACATTCAATGCTCATCTCAACGCAACCTCGTTCCGCCTTGTTCTGTTGTTTACGTTTGTGTCCCGCCTCAAGACGAGGATCTACCGCCCCAGCTTTGACGACGTCTACGCAAAGCTCATCCGCCGCCCGTATATGCGAGCCCCTTACACCTGCAAGCCGCTTCTATACGTATTGAGTCCTCCGGACATCGCAGACGATTCTTGATCTGTAATCTCGGCCATTTCTCGAGACGGACGACTCCTTTCTACTTTCCTTTTAAGCAAACGGCCTAATCAACGAGCAGTCTCTAAATAGGGGAGACTGCTTCAGTGCCGCGACAATGGCGACCGAAACTACCACCACTACGACTACCGCCCCCGAGGCAACGCCCGCTCCCGAGCCGGCCACCGATCTCTCGGCGCTGACGATGGCGGCCACGGAAGAGCCCGCCGAGGCTGCCGAGGACCCGAAAAACGACGACGCCAACGACACCTCCTCGGACCAGGAGCAGAGCAAGAAGCGCTCTTCATCGGACGCGGACCTGAAGGACGGAGCGCCACCGACCAAGATTACGAAGCGCAGAGCCGCCCGCGCCTGTGTGAGCTGTCGCGCGCGCAAGGTCCGCTGCGACGTGGTTGAAGGCGCGCCCTGCGGCAACTGCAGATGGGATAACGTCGAGTGCGTTGTCCAGGAGAGCCGCCGACGAAAGTGAGTTCCACCCGTCTCCGTATCTTCGTCCGCGACCGAAGTCCGGTATCTTGCAACTCGCCGGTGCCTCGGCACGATGCAGGCGGACAGTTGGGGATGCACGACATGACGCCCATGGGGAAATCCCCAATCCCGCAAAGTTGACCCCCGCTGACTTCTTGGCGCGTTTGTAGGAAGAACTTGTTGACTGCCAGCACGGCGGGGCACCATGGTGTGGGAGCCGAGGCACAGCTGCGCTCCAAGGGCGCAAACCCAATCAACATTCACAGCAGCGCGGAACTGCGCCGGCCCAGCAATGCCTCGCTGGCCTCGGTCAACGGCTCCATCGCCGCGAACCCCGTTCCCGCATCCTCCGGCGTGCCCCTGAATGCGACGTCTGGCGTTGGGGCCGGCGCTGCTGCTGCTGCTGCTGGATCAGGATCTGTAGGAGGAAACGGAATCGGCGTTGGAATTGGCCCTGGTGTTCTCGGGGGCCTGTCGGTACCCGGCGGCTCTTCAGACGGAATCGAGGGTCACGTTCCGCACATGATCTGTAAGTTTGCCTCCGTCTCTGTCACACAATTCTTTTTTTGGCCCTGCAACACTCATTTCTTGGGACACTTGTTTTTCTGGAACACAAATTTTCTTAGCGTGGGATCTTTGTCAATTCCGCACCGCACATCAAAATTGCGCCCCCTGTTTGTTGTGTCTTCTTTTTTGTTCCTGGTTTTGCCCATCGCTGCCCAGTCCGGGGGGCTCAGACTGGGGGAGGGGACGGAACGGGGTAAAGTGTGGAGGGGCGTCTTGGACTTTTCCTACCCCGTGACCTGGGGCCTTTCTCCGCCTTTCCTCGTCCAGTCAAGTCTCTCCTGATTCTTCAGCGTACCCCCCTCTCTGTTCCGCACTCCGTCCGCGGCCCCAGCTCCGTCCCTCCCACGTCCCTTAGCCTCACACACGTAATCCACATTCACATGCCAGCCCTCGTCTCCAGTCATTATCATCATCCAACCCACCCCAGACCAAAGCGGTCAATGTTTTGGGACGACTCGCTGACCACGGGACCTTGTGAATCTTAGATCAACGATCGGGTTACCGTCATGACAGCGCAGCGCTGCTCACCAAGCTGCAGTCTGCTGCGGCCGCAGCGTCAGCAGATGGCAACTCTCGTCGCCTGTTGTCCAACCTGCTCGCCCAGGCCTCTCTCTTTGGCGGCATCGGCGGTGCAGGCGCCGGCGCTGGCGACGGGCGAACGAGTCAATTCCTCGCCTCCCTCGAGGAGCCCGACCTCCACGGCCAGCTCCCGGCCTTTGTGAAACCGCTTCCCGCCAAGATCGCCCAGGAGGATGTCACCTACCTGCACGCAAAGGGTGCCCTGACTCTGCCTGCGCTACCGTTGCAAAACGCTCTGCTCCAGTCCTACGTCGAATACGTTCATCCGTACATGCCGCTGCTCGAGCTGTACGACTTTCTGGCCATCATCAACGCCCAGGATGGGCTGTGCGGTCAGATCAGCCTGTTTTTGTATCAGGCAGTCATGTTTTCCGCCACCGCCTTTGTCGACATGAAGGTCCTTCGCGAGGCAGGATACCCGACGCGGAAAGCCGCCAGGAAGGCCTTCTTCCAGAAGACGAGGGTAAGTGGCCCGTCCCTGAACTTTCTTTGACGCCGCGCTAGCGACAGGGGTCACCCCCACGCTCAACCCTTTCACATGCTAAATGTTTGTCTGCAGCTGCTCTACGACTTTGACTACGAGTCGGACCGCCTCGTTCTCGTCCAGGCCTTGCTTCTGATGACGTACTGGTACGAGACCCCAGACGACCAAAAGGACACATGGCACTGGATGGGCGTTGCCATCTCGCTGGCCCACACCATTGGCCTGCACCGCGACCCGGCCGCGACGAGCATGCCGGTTCGCAAACAGAAGCTGTGGAAGCGCATCTGGTGGTCCTGTTTCATGCGCGACCGCCTCATCGCCCTAGGCATGCGCAGGCCCACCCGCATCAAGGATGAGGACTTTGACGTGCCGATGCTGCAGGAGAACGACTTTGAGCTGGAGATCCTGCCCGAGGAGAACAAGGTCATTCCCGCCGAGTGCATGCTGCTCCGCGACGTCTCAATGCAGCGGGAGTTGGCCGCGCTGTGCATCTCCAAGGCTCAGCTGTGCATCTGCATCAGCCACATGCTCAAGGCCCAGTACTCTGTCCTCATCCGCGATAAGATGCGTCCGGAGAACACCGTCAACAGCACCATGATGCTGTTCCCGAACAAGAAGCTCGACAACGTCGAGAGCGTGACTTCGGTGGACCTGGAGCTCATGGCCTGGGCCGACACCTTGCCCGCCATCTGCCAGTACAGGCCCCTGACGCCCCTCGATGTCAAGAACGGGCGGTCGACCGTCGCCGTTCAGCGCACCCTGTTGCACATGGTGTACTACACCACCATCTCGGCCCTGCATCGCCCGCAGTTCCTGCCGTCGTCCCCGGTCCATGCACCGACGACCTCCCGGCAGGTGCAGGAGATGTCCCGGCTCCGGGTCCGCGACGCCGCGATGCACGTCACCCGGATGGCGGCCGAGCTCCACCAGCTCCGCCTCGAGAGGTGCCTCCCCACCACCGGCGTGACCGTCATCCTGCCGGCCATGATCATTCATCTTCTGGAAATGAAGAACCCCGTCTCGCAGTCCCGAGACCGCGCCACCCGCGGGTTCCGCCAGTGCATGCGCGTCATGGAGAAGCTTCGCGAGATCTACGCCGCCGCCGACTACGCCACCGGGTTTCTCGACGCAGCACTCCGCAAGGCCGCCATTGACATTAACCTCCAGCAGACCACCGCGCCCATGACGCAGCAGAACCTCAAGCTCGCCGAGCCGACGTTTGGCGCGCAGACGCCCCCGCCCGATAACCTGCCGTACATGACGAGCGGCGAGGCCCTCTTCGCCAACAAGCCGAACCCCCAGCGCGAGTTCCTGCCGCAGACCATCAACGCCGCAGCGCTCGACTTGTCGGCGCAGAGCCCGCCGCCGACCGAGAAGGACCACGAGTCTTCGCTAGAGGCCATGACGCCCAGTGCTAACGGCAGCTTCGGCAGCACCGAGGAGCCCGGCCCGCTCGACCTCGAGTTTTTGCAGACGCAAGAGGAGATTGACTGGAACGCCATGACGGGCACAGAGTTTGACGTTGACCAGTGGCTTCAGTTCCCGCCAGAGGGCGTCAATAACACGGATGAGGGGTTCATGGCGAATGTCTTTGGGGAAGATGGCATGAACGACGCCATGAACTGGGCGGCGGCCGGTGTGGACACAACTACGAAGGACAGCGACGGTGCAGCTGAAATTGCCACCCTCGCCTAACGCGCATGACCTCACGTTTTGCGCTCTTGCATTTTACACATTCGCATATAGACTCCTTTGGGAGCATCTTTGCAGATTTCACGATGGGATTTTTCTGGTTGGAAGCATACTTTGCACTACATGGAGTCGGGATAGAGCAAAACAAAAAGGGAGGCTCAGGGTTTCGTGTGTGTTAATGAAACGGCGTTCTCGGCCGGATGGGTTTTCTCAGGCTTCGGAGGGGCTCATTGGAGTAGGGGGGTTTGCTTGGATACCCTCACGCGGCGCCTGATATTTGTTCAACTATGTAGTCGTGTAATGATGGCTTTGAATGAGAACATGAGTTGAAAGAAGTGGTGTTTGCATGTGACAGATTGATGTTGAAACTTTGCCAACGTTGGTGGTGTGGACGTTGACTCGTGTGACAACGTCCGAAGCAACGGATGCACCGGTTCGCCGGGGTCACTCGGACGCCTCGGGCTTTCGGGCCCAAATCGCGCGACTACAACATGTCAGTCTTGCTGCCACCAACTTCAACTCCATCAGTAGTCAGTCCACTCACAGTGGCCAGTAGGCGTGATTCCCACGATCAGCAAGGTCCTTCCGCACCTCGGCGGCAAAGACGTGCACTTCCTCCTCGCTCCACCCGTGCACCCGCGTCATGGGCGCCATGATCATGCCGGCCGTGTTGGAGGCGAGGTTCTCGCGCGTCCATGACCCAAGCTCCTTGAGGTGGGGATCGCGCGGCCAGCTGTTGAGGGGCCAGATGAAGCGGCGATCTTGGACGTCACTGAAGCCTGTGGTGGAGACGAGCGTCGCGAGGTCGTCGAGGGGGATGAAGGGGCATCCAAAGACTTTCAGGGCCGAGGAGACGTAGGCGAGGGATCGTGAAAAGGCGTCGCTCGTGGATGTCGAGCTATCTGCGCGGGTAATTGTCTCTTCTACTTCTTGGAGCTCGATGTAGCCGCCGGGGTTGAGGTTGCTGCGCTGATGTTAGCACAGCATCGATGCGTTCAGCCAGTGGGTTGAAATTGAAGGCGACGTACTCGTAGCACTTTTTAAGGAGTTCGGGCCAGTTGCGCACGCTTCCTGACATGCCGCGGATGTGAATGTAGTCAAAGTGCCTCGAGTAGATCCACTCGTTGTCGAGGTCGTCGACTTCGAACTGAACGTTGGGCGGAACGCTGGGGGTCATTGTCAGCTATTTCATCAGAATGGGCTTCAAAACGCACAACTCTGGCTGCGTGGCCGACAGATCGAAGCCGAGGACGTCCGTGTTGGGGTGCTCGTCCCCAAAGTCGATGCACCAGATGCCGGTGCCTGTCCCGACGTCGAGCACGCGGCCTCCCTTCCACTCGGGATCATTCGGAGGCGCGAATCCCAGCCTGTTGTCGAATGTGAGGAGGAATAGGTGGTGTTGCAGGTCTAGCCGATCGGTTTCCAGCTCGTCGTTTGGCCCGAAGTATTCTGAGGGCTGTTTAGGGCGGGATCCCGGAGGACATGGGTTTGCGACTCACTGCCTTCTTTGTAGCGATGGTATGTTCTGCCGTTTTCGACGCGGTAGTCTACGATGGAGCTTCGAAGGCTTGTCGTAGCAGAGAACTCGTCCTGTCAACCCGTTAGTAGAGGGCTAATCGGGCACGGAATCTTGCGTACACTCCCGATCGTCGAATCCGTGTCGCCCTGCCTGGGTGTAAGTCGTATTCCAGCCTCGGATGTGATCTCCGGCATCGCCTCGGGGCACGCACCGGCACGTCAGGCTCAGGAGCGAGGTCATCTTCGGAATTCTCTTGAGACATGCTTTCTCGTGAGATGTAAAGGCATGGTGTTGCTCTTCCAGAGACTCTAGCCCCTCATCCGACAGTCCCTCGCCTCGGATTCGGAAAGCACGTTAGTTGGAGGATACGACGGATACGACGCAGCGAGTCAAGGCACCCCCCGCCGAGCGGGCCCGGAGTCTTAAACTCGCCGCAAGACAGTTGGGATGACAGCTGCTCTGATGTGTTCCCCAGACTCTGCCTTGACTGGCAGACCTGACGTCTGCCGTTGTCGTCGAGAGTCAAAGGCCCCGGAGAAATCGAGCTCACATCCCTGCACCATCGTCGGTCTGCTTACTTAATCTCGGTGACCATCCCCGCATCTCCCACGGAACCCCCTTATCTCTCCCGATAATGCGGACCGGGGTCTTCGGCGTCAAGTCGGAGAACACCTTTGTTGGGACCTGCATCTTTCATCAAATCAGTCATCCGAGCATGATCCCATGGCTCTCCCACCAGGTCATGACCGCGACGTAGACCCACCTATCAAGAAACATGGCCGGCAACGGGACCCGGAGCCGAACCGGATGTTTGGACTGTCGGCGGCGAAAGCGGAGGTGCGATGAAGGGAAGCCAAAGTGCGCCAGCTGTCGCAGGCACGGCGTCGCGTGTGTGTACGTCAAGTCGAGCCAGTCTTCGCCGTCCAAGTTTCTCCTCTCCGTGGCATCTGGCCACTTCATCGCGCCGTTGGAGTCGCCGGCGAGCGATTCCTTTGTGAACCTTCGAAGCGATGAGCTAGCTCTCGTTTGTCAGCAGTACGCAGACGACTCCAGAGGGGTGTTGCCGTCGTCTCAAGAGCATCTCATGCCGGCTCTGAGCTGGCTGCCAAAGTCAAGCACGCTCGCCGGCGGACGAGAAAGCATGATGGTTCAGTACTGTAAGTAGTCGAGGTCTACGCCTGACAACCGCTCTGACGAGACAGACTTTGAGGTCATTAGCAACAGCAGGGTGTATGTTCCCAGCGAGAGGAACCTCTTCCGGACGTGTGTCATGCCTATCCTCCTCAGCAGCGGCGGCCCTCTCTTTTCTACCGTCCTGGCACTGAGCGCGGCGGAAATGGTTCGGAGGACCCCGCAAGACGGGGTGGACTATGCCGGGGCAGCTATCCGGTACAAGATCAACGCCTTGACGCAGCTGCAGTCGAAACTCGACACCGCTCTCGAAGCGGAAGAGAACCTCCTGACGTGTGTGCTCCAGGCCTCCCTAGAGATAGCCGAGGGGTCTCGCCCGTCGTGGTTGAGGCACCTGCGGGGTGCTCTAGCCATCATGGATGCCCACGGCGACTGGATCACGCCCGAGTGTGCCGCTCTCGTTCTTCAGTATTTTCGGTTTCGATACATCTTGATGAAGACGACCGGATGCAAAGCGCCGCATCCTGATGGACAGACTGACGACTGTGACGACGCCATCCAGCGCCTCGAACGGCTCCTGCCAGGCCAAGGGACGTTCCAAACCATTGACCCCCAGATCGGCTGTTCTATGGAGCTAGTTCAGTTGATTAGCATGGTCTCAGCAGGAGCTCAAAAGGATGGCGAATACTCGGAAGAGGGATCACGTCTCGAGAGACGCATTCGGGAGTTGGACTTTTCTGCCGAGGGCACGCACGACGACTATCTCGTCAAAAGCGCCGAATGTTTTCGGTCCGCTGCTCTGATCTACCTCCAGCTGACTGTGTATGGCGCTACCGTACGAACTCGGGCGATTCCGCAGTTGTTGCAGACGCTGTTGGATCGTCTTGGCGAGGTGATTGTCGAGGACCAGCCGAGGCGATCGTTCCCAATGTGGCCGCTGTTCATCGCGGGGTGTGTCAGTTCCAGCGATGCACACCGCAAGGCTGTTCTTAATCTTTTTAACCTGCTGGACAGAAAATGGCCCATCAGCAACATCTCGACGGTGAAGAGAGTCGTCTGGACAATCTGGCAGACGCGGGATTTTGACGGCGGTGGTGCAACGTCTACGGATAAAGATTGGCAGGAGATTATTGATAAGTTTGGATGGAAGCTTTCCTTGTCGTAGTGAGGCTAAGGGATAAGGTCTGGACTGGATGTTGATGAAGTGAGGTTCAAAATGGGATGTTGAATACCTACATGGACAACAGAGGTGGCTGTTTTGTGCAGCTGGTGAAGCAGTCGCTTTGGCCGAGAGAAGGTGGCCTACGACACCCCGCCTTCCCAGGACCGTGGTAAATCCTCAAGACGGGAAGGCCCACCAAGCATCCCAAGATAGATGGAGAGCGCCAGGGAGAGAACTCCAGGCCCGGAAACACAGGTCGGTCCGTGAACTGGGGTTGGTTGGACACAACTAACGCTTGTGGCAGGATCGAGTCAGATCATCGAGGGCATTCTAGCCGCACCACAGGCGTTCATGAGCGATATACCCAGCACGGGTAGCGTGCTCGGGGGTGATGCTTGGGAGGTCATCAATCGCAACTTAGATGATTCTGAGGCCACCCGTGAAGATGGTGGCCCCCTCATCTACAATCATCAGCTAAGCACGCTCCGGTCCTTTGCGCCACGACGCTGGATGTTACCGCCGAGGAGAGAGATTGGCGGCCTGTCAGTCGGGACGCTGTGGGCATGAGCAAAAGAGGCCAAGCTCGCAGGGCACAGCATGAAGAGAAGAAGCGGAAGAAGAAGGAGGAAGCAGAAGCAGCAGCAGCAACAGCAGCGGAAACAGCATCAACGCACACCCAAGTTGACAACGTCGATGATCCCATTCTTGTCCTCGATAAACCCTCCGACGTCTCTGCTGCACAGAGTGACGACAGCCAGCAAGCCATCGGTCATCACAACAAGAAGCGAAAGCATGATGAGCTTTCCGAGAAGTCGCCGAAGAGAAGAGAGGCGCCAGCTGCTGCCTACGAGGAATCAAGCGGGGGAGAGCTGGACGAGTCGCTGAGGGTTAGATTGATGAGATTCATAAATGCGAATTTGAAGGCGGAAGAGGAGAAGAACCAAGCGATTGTAGAGAAGCTCGAGGCTTCGGAGCGAGAGCGCAACGAGCTTCGGAAGGATAACGCAGGACTGGAACAGGATGAGGCAAAGCAGGCCCGGACAATCGCGGAGCAGGCCGAGGACATCGTAGAGCTGATGCAGGAAGTCGCAAGGCTCAAAGCCTCCCAACGCTTCTGACCGCAGCGAGGACATGTCGGTATGTGGAAATTTTGTCGAGCAAGCAGCCCACAGGTACCTAAGGTAGTGATGTGTTGGTAGCAGCCCAGCTGCCAACGAGTGACATGGGTGTGGTCTTTCTCACAGCGATCCTTCCTGTATCGCTCCTTCCTGTATCGCTCCTTCCTACCTTAAGGTGCTTTAGCCCTTACCTCACAATTAATTTCACCCACACTTTCTTCTCCTACCACTACCTTACCCTCTCAATGACCCGATGCCCAGGAGATCCCCTTGACATCATTCTACTCCATTTTGCGCCCTTCGGGCCCCACACAGATCCCATACCTCACGGCATCATCACCGAGCAGTTAATAGAGTCGCGCACATTCGCCCATCATGTCCACATCCGAAGACGAAACGGATCTACGAGAGATCATATATCAAGACGACACCCCATTCTCTGGACAACGCAACATCCGCCATCGTTGGCCCAAGGAGATTGGTCGAGACGACTCTGGCATCAACTGTCTCATGATGCTCACACGACAGTTCAACAATCAGCTTGGCAGTCCAGCAGAGTGGAAAGCTTCCAACCCAGACCGCCAAGCGGAAGAAAAGGCCAACCCCGTGCTCAAGGACGCTTGGAAGGTGGCGCCATTGCAAACCGCAGAGTCACACCGACAGCTTCAGCTGCGCCTCAAGAGGCTCGGCGCTGGACATATGACGGCATTTGCAGATCTAGAAGACAGCAGCCTGATGAGTTCGACGCTTTGGTCGCGCCGCCGTTTCGCACTGTTGAGAACCGTGACGAGCGATGGCAAGACTGCTTGGATGGAGGAAGAGTGGGCCAAAGACAACAGGGCCAGGTTCGACGTCATTGTAATCAACAATGCCGAGAACCAAAGGACGGGCATAGACATTCCCAGTGCCATCAGAGCCCGATGCGGTGTACAAGACTTTGTGACACCCACGACAACTCTTCGCCGAATCATGGCGCGCTACCCCATGTACATCAGGGTCCGCTTCACACCTTCCGACAACGATACTGAGACGCTAGAATCGCTCTCCACGTTTGTCATGGAGCTTCCTTACGGCCTGGAGATTGAAGGAAAATCGAATCGCCGATACAACCTGGCAGCTGCAGTGCGACTCAGAACGGCTGTCTCTGGTGAAGCCGATTGCATTCGGCTGTTTGACGAACAGGGCTTCAATGTCGTTCCCGACACTGAAGGATTTATTTACAATGACTTGTCATGGGAGATTGGCGCTGCGGGTCATACCTACTACTTGTACTGTCTTGCATGCGACAAGGAGTGGCTTGCTACCAACAATACCCGAGCTGCCCACACAAGGGACTTCGAACGACCGGGAACACTCTCTGAGACCTGGCAAAAAGGCTTTGCGTTGATGCAGGCAGCCATGAAAAAAGTAGAGTTGGAAGCGGAACAGAGAAAGGCAGCCAGTCTCGGTCATACGCAAGCAGCGTCTGAGGAGCCGATCCGTCCGTCTCTAGGGAGTGGCAACGACGTCGCCGGTGGTCAATCAATTCAGCCTTCCCAACGAAAGATCAAGCGAACGGCGGGACATGACGCGACGGTTACCCCCTTGAACACCAAGAGACCTCGCCGACGTGCGCCGGAAGAGATCAGATCGACCCCCGAGTCACCTGACAGGCAGGGACAATCACATCCACAACCAAGCGACGGCGATCAAACAGAGCGTCAGTCGGCACAGCTCCTCGGAGTGAATCAAAGGAACTTACGCCTTCGTCATGCGACATCCAGTCCGGACTTATCCACGCCTCGAGATGCTAGAGCTCCAGGTTCCGTTAAGCAGGAGACTGAGGAGGCTGATACGTCCCATTAAGCCGGAGCTACCATTTCTACTACGCCAGCGCAACCCAAGGGGGCTACATAGGCTGGTGCTAAGAAATCACAGAGACTGGCTGCGATAGAAAGTGAGCTGCATCGCGGCTCATTGAGGACTGTGCACGCGGAGCGCCCCGGAGACACTGACGGCCCAAGCCCAGAGACTTGAAAGGTCTGACGGTGCTGTAGAAGGGATTAGAGTTAGGAATGATAGGAATTGCAACATGTTCTCGAACAGTGATCTTGATATGGACAGCGATCTTGATGTGGCTTTCTGATTGGTATACACGGTCTCACAGAAGGCTTCGAATGCAGTATATGTCACTGGTAAAAGAAACAGTGCCACAAGCTAACATGGGAACCATTTTAAGAAGTTACGGGTGTTGCAATCACAGTTCCAGAACAGGTTGCAGAGACATGAAGATTAGTCAATTGAATAACATCTGAGCTTCTATTTAGACAGGCCTCTTCAACGAAGGTGTGGTTTTCAACTCTGAAGTCCTCTAGGAGCGACACGAAAGGAAAATCAACAGCTGGCGGAAGGCCTGGGTCATCTGAAAACCTTCCAATATGACTTGTAGGATTGCCAGGAGTCTCGTCTTCAGAGCTGTGGCCGGTATCGCCACCTCCGAATCCAGTGTCGGAAAAGTCGAAACCGTCCCCAAATCCGTCATCGCCAAAAGACCGACTGTGGACAGTTGAGCCCCTTGTGGAACTGTCGTCTTTCAGCCTCTGAATCTCTGCTTCTAGTTCTGCGATTCTTGCAAGTGCGCCGCCACTAGCGCCTTGTGCCTCGGCTGCCTCGAGTTCTGCGATTCGCATGCCATCACGACTGCTCCTCGCCTCGGCTGCGTCGATCTTTGAGACCATGGAATCCTTCTCCTGTGCGAGTCGAGTACACATCGCCTCAGCTGCTTTGAGTCTTTCTCGCAAGATACCGACCGCGAGATCCGAATTCGACCCTTCATGTTCCTGGTCACGGTCTGTGCCCAGTCGCTGCGCCCTCCTCTTAGCTTTTTCTTCATGTCGCCAAACGGCAATGAGCGATCGTTTCAAGTATGGTATCTGTTCCAACCTCTTTGGATGATTCTTGTGCTCGCGTGTGTCGCGGGTGATTGTGTACGACTTGTGCATGGGACTATTACAGAACACTGGCATCCCTGTTGTAGAAACAATATTCGTAGCCTGTACGAGGAGGTTGGCCTCGTCGTTTCCCACCTTGTACACCATGGGTTAACATTGTTGGAGATGATGCTACCCGAAGTAGGGGCTCGGAGTTCTTCAAGCCTCAACATGAATTCGGAAAACAGCGGGATTGCATAGCCACCGTCCTTGAGTCGTTTCCGCACCTCCTTGTGTATCTTTGTTGGATCTCTGTCCATGCCCTTGTACTCCTTGATAACCTGTCCGAGTATCATGAAGAAGGGATCCCTGTTGGGTAACGAGATCGGCCAAGTCCTGCGATCTTTTCTGAGCATCATGCTTGCATATTGCAGCGCAAGGACCAAAAGCTTGTAGTTCTTTTCAAAGAGCGGATGAGTCGCCAACTCGGACAACCTCGTACAGAAGACGGCAGTCCACCGGTATTTCTTTCCATTGCTCTTGCCCCGGCTTTGGTCCCATTCGAGGTGGTAGATTGACGAAATGAATTCCATCGGTGACCTGCGAAAGTATCTGAAGGCGACCTTCACAAACGCCGGGAAAGCTGAAGCGTCCTGGTTGAGTAGCAGCTGCTGGCCGCGGTCCTGCTCCCATTCCTGTATAAGCTTCGTCTCATCTTCGGCGGTCTAGTCCTCGTCATAATCGGGCTCCTCTGGGAGAATCTGGTCCATTTCCTCCAAGGTGATGGGCGGAACATCTCTGTCGAGAGCTTCGAATATTTCTTGATGCGTTCGACTGTGAACCTCCTGATGGAATTTCCTTTCATCGTCTACCCACTATAGGTCGGTAGTTTTGAACATGGACTCCCTGTCCTCGACGGCCCTCGCCTTGCCCGAGCCCTTGCCCTTTCCGGGTGTTTTGGTCGCGGTAGTCTTGGACTTCTTACGCGACGGAGCGTCATCGCTACTGCCGATGTCTTCATCGTCGTCGTTGCCACCACCGTGTTGAAACTCAGCATCTGTAGATGCCTGACCTCTACGACTCGTGGTGAATTTGATTTTGCCGGTATTGGTGTATTTGGTCGTCTGGGGCCGTTTCCGACTTCGAGAAGCCTCGTGTTTCTCCTCTTCCTCCTCTTCGCGTTCCCCAGAGGATATGTCAACTGGTGCGCTCCTCTTGGAGCCTGGGCGATCTTTGCGGCCTGTTTCGGGGGGCATTGCGGGGGTTGATGTAGCTGCCGGTGAACTAAGCCAATTTTTCGCGGGATGAATGATTTGGAATCGATTAGAATCGAAGGTGTTGGGCGGTCAAGGGTGGAAGGTGACCTGGCATACATTTGCCACGTTGTCGAGGCCCGGTATTTGGTAGAGTCACTTTCTTTCTGGAATATCACTTTGGCGTCAATCTTGCCTTCCATCGATACCTTCGTAATCTTAAATTGCTAGTCTGAGTCTGGATGACCATCCCGCTACGATGTCTTTGCGAGATGGTGTCCAACAATGTTACCTACTTACCCAAGAAGCGATGATCTCCCGAGGTTTAGTCAAACTTCCATTGACTCGGGGCTTGGACAGGAACGCCATGGAGTCCGTGCAACGCGGGGGCAGTTTGTCCAGTCGGATGCACTCCGGCCTTGCAGAATTGCCTCTTTGGGGAAATGTGGCCCGCCCTAACGCAGGCACCTAAGTACCTATGGTACCACCCAGAACTTCAGAGAGTGATAGAGGACGACGATAGTGGCATTTAGTTTGGGACTAGAACATTCGCCGCTTCTTGGAAAAGTAAAATGGGCCTTCCTTCTTCGTTGCCGCGAAGTCACCGAATCCTTTCCACAAGTTCCAACGCGCCTCAAGCTGCGAAATACAACTACCCAAGGTGAGCGCAAGCAAACCGGCTGCGCCTCCGACAGAGATATCGCTCTTGGACGGCTACAGGGTCAGCCTCGTCAACAGATTGGATGCTGGGGACAGTCGCTACCCGTTGTCTCTACAATTTCCTACCATAATGAAGGAGCTCCAGAATCTTCCACTGGGCGCTACGAGGTCCGCCAAGATCTTTGAACAGGACCCTGACGAGGGTTGGACGATGATGCAGCACTTCCACGCGATACCGGATGAGCTCCTGCGGTCCACCGTCCTTGGCACTGTGGCGTACAACGACGTCCAGCACCAAAACCACTTGCCCGACTACTTTGAAGATGGGCCCGGCGTCTACGTGATTGCCATTTCGATCGAGGGCCGCAGCGGGGCCTTTCTCGATACCAACGAAATCGAGATGCTCACCAAAGAATGGCAACCTACCTTGAAGCCTACGACGCCGCCAAATTGAACAAGGCGTCGCGGTCTCGCGCACAACGCATGGCCATCAATGTCTCGCGCGCTATCGACGGACAGTATCGCAGGGATGTGACAGACGAACCTCACTTTGTCAAGAGTGACGCGCATGCAGATCAAGTCAAGACGGTCAATACTTGGTTCGAGCATCGAGTTGCCAACGACCCGCCAGACGACTTGACGTTTCTGCACCAATGCTCCTTGGACGTGGGGTGTTCACGGGTCCTCTCGTCAAATTCAAAGTAAATGCGAGTCTGTATACGGCTTGCCTTAGGCACCCATAAACCCCTCTGTTCGTTTACCTAGATCAATCCCGCTGTTCGTGATACGGAATCTGCAAAGCATTGGAGCCGCTGAGCTTTGTTGTATTCCTGAGATGCTGGAGGGGATTGTTGCTTTTCCCGATTCAGATTGCCAGAGGATTTAGGTATCAAAGACTGGGCATCAGAAGCCTTTGGGCTGTTTCAGCAATGGCTACGGTAACCGGTGTCGTCGGATTGGTCTGTAAGTTCCGGTTCAGACTCCCATTGAACCGCTACCAGAAGGGTTTACGGGATGACAAACTCTTCATTAACAGATATCTTGCCCAGATCGTAGCGCTGGAGAAGAAGAAGGTGGAGTCCGAGTCGAGGGAGGCAACAACCGTCCAGAAAAACCATCGACTTCGCATGCTCCGGGACGCGACCGTGATTCACAAAAACGATATAGCGTGGCAGTTGGAGGATAAGAGGGTGATTTATCAACTCTACGACGCCATTGAGGACAGTCACCGGGAGTGGTAGAAATTACGACTGTATTGACTGCTTCTTCGCACTACCAAGTGTGGGAGAACGGTACAAGCCTAAGACTGCGTTGCAACCTCCTTCAATCGCATTGCCAAGCTCTTGGCTCTACACCCTCTTCCTGCACTCTTCAGAACGACGGGAGCCAGTGAGATATCTCACGGCCGATGGCGTGAGGGTGATCTTCCTGCACAAAGTGGACTCCAGGTCCTAGATAGACGCTCCGCGTGTTTCGCAACTTCTTCATAAACTCCACCGCCTTCTCCTCCCCAATCGTGCCGCCAGGAGTGACCCAGAAGAACAGCTTGGGCAGCTCCGTTTGAAAGAGCCAGGCCATGTACTTCTCCGCCATCTCTGCCACGTCGGCAGGCTGTCCTCCGATGGGAATCTCGTTGGGAAACCGCCAGAGAGGCTCGCGGGATGCCGGATCAAGGAACGGACGACGGTACTCGGTCATCTCTTCCTCGGAAAGCTGTCGGACGATGCTCCCCGGAAGGATCCTCTCGATGAATACGTTTTGGTCGATAATCAGTTGGCGTCCAAGCCCTGGCTCCCGGAACGGCTTGAAGTTGTCGGCCATGGCTTTCGGCGCCGTTTCCCAGCTGGAGGAAGGGTGCATGAACTCCATCAGAGCCAGTCCAGCAATGCGATCCTCATGGCGGCGGGCCCAGTCGAAGCCAAGAGCGGAACCCCAATCATGCAGGACGAGAGTGATCTTCTCCGTTGGCAATACCAGGTCCAGGAAGGCGTCGAGGTATCTCTGGTGGTCGGCGACGCGGTAGTCGAGCCCGGGGACCTTGTCGGAGTCTCCGAAGCCAATCAGATCGGGTGTAATGCAGCGGCTTTTCCCAGAGATGTACGGGATGATGTTGCGCCAAAGATAGGATGACGTTGGATTACCGTGAAGGAAGAGGGTTGCCGATCCGGGCGAGGAACCGGCGTCCACGTAGGCCATGTCACTGCCGAGAACATGAACTCTGGATTTATCAAAGGGGAACCTGGTTGGAATCTTGTTTTCGTGAGTGTAAGCCATCTTTGCGTTGGAGCGACGAGGCAGTCGAGCACTAAAAGAACCCAAGATGCGTTTGATGAATCTTTTGGTTGGTATCCGACATCACCATGCAGTGAGCTCCCTTCCTATAAGTACTCGTTAATACAGTCCATGCAATGAAGCTCCCTTCTGATAGTAATGCGATAAGAACCGTTCGATCCGGGCGGGCTTGTGTTCGGGCAAACCCAACATCCCGAGTGCGGCAGCTCTCGTGCCTCTGGGCTCCATGTTAGGCAAGGCAAACACTAGCTCTGAAGAACAAGTACCAGCTTGTGGTCGTTCTCAAAGGTATTGAGACATTATTAAACAAGAAAGAGGGGTGTGGAAGATCTTGGAGTGACTCATGCAAGTTGGGTCCCGTAGATTACTGATCAACAGTCTAATGTGGCCGGGTGGCTATTTCTCCTCATCGAGTAGCTCTTGATTCCCATCATTCCAAGCAACATCTTGAGAATCCATACACCGGGTCAAGTTTACGACTTATAGCGGCTTCATCTCACAGTAAGGGTATAGATGACGAGTACCTTACTATGACGACGGTCGACACTCAAGAACAGCGGGGTAGCGGCTCATGTTCTGGGCAGATCACTTGTTCACGACCACCGATCTTTGCTGCTTCAAGGTAGACGACGAGAGGATGTTCTGCAGAGAGGTCCACAGCGCATCACTTGACAGAGATTTGGGAATCGCTTTCTCTTACCTACCTTAGTTACCCAAGCTAATGACTCGGATACGCGCTTTCGCCAGACAATTGCTCCCGTCGCTGGGGTGGAGATCCTGCCGCTGGAGCATTGATTAGCACCGCCCCACATTCCGAAAGAGGCATTCTCAGGAACGAATCCGACTGGACAGACATCCGGCGCCTCACGGACTTCAACGGGGGTCTGAACCGGAACTTACAGACAAGTCCGACGATACCAGATCGTTACCGTATTCATTGCTGGAACAGCCCAGAGGTTTCTATGGCACTAGAGATTCAATATTTGGTACCAAGGATCCTCCTATTGTATGGCAATCCGAAATGGGAAGAGCAACAATCCCCCATTCCCCTCCAACATCACAGGCATACCAGAGAGCCCAGCGGCTCTGAAGTCGTGCAAATCCCATCCGTATCACGAACAGTAGAATTAACCCAGACAAACGAACGAGGGTGCCTATGGGTGCCTAAGGCAGGTTGTATATGGGCTCGCAATTACCTTGAATCTGACGAATAGAACCAAGGTCATTGCACCGCTCTTAGTCCACCTTACTTCAGTATCTGGTGCGGTCATGTGACGGCGAAGCCAACTTGAGGTAAGGTGAGAGTCGATTGAGGCCGACTGATAGTTATCGGCTTAATTTTGGGGTTCGCCGGGTCTACCTCTACCAGACCCTACCTGACCTTACTTCCCACCTTGTCCAACTTCCCTCCCTCCAATCATCCATTCACAAACCACAAGCCATCCATCATCAATCCACAAAAAGCCCTTTTCCGACATTCCACACAATGAGCTCCGATAAGAGCCCCCTTGAGAGCACGGCTCAGTCTCGTACGTCAGGCCCAATTTCAAGCATCCAAGATAACAGCAGTTCTAAATTTCTAATTTGGACTTTGTAGAGATTGAGGATTTGCAATAGATAGCCAGTCGCTTTGATCCAGACGAATAACTCGTGGTCTTCACCAACAAGAAACTCTACGTCCAGATGAACAACGGCAAGAAGGCCTTGGACAATTTCAACAAGTACTGGCAGGCTCAGGGTTTTAGAAACAGCAATAAGCGTTTCAAAGTCCCCGTCATCGAGGAGCCGGACGCCGAGGAAGTCGGTATTAGCGCCCCCGAGAGCACCAAGAAGCCTGGCATCATCGCTCAGGTATCCGTTGTCTCCGGGAAGCCCGGCGCCATTACCAAGCGCGAGGAGGACTGAGCTACATCGTTCGGAGGCATCAAGGGAGAGGCAACACAGAGTAGCTCCATTCGGTCAATGAAACAATAGTTTGACACATCTTACCATGATCGCGTGAATGACCTGTTTTTGAAGCTATCGCATGTGACATTCGCCTTGCTCGTTGAGAACGTAATTGGCGCGACTTAGTCTGCTCCTGCTTCCCTCGGCAACCTCGACTGCCATCAACCACCCCGTCGATGCAACGAGAATCCCGTTTATTCACTCATTCAAAGCGCGTCTAACAGGTCACCAACCCAGTAGTAGAGCATCAACAAAGCCATCACATAGGGTTTGAGAATCCAAAAGACACCGCCAAATTTGTGGGGCCATATCGAAACGGGCACCGCGTCTATCCCACACTCACCCATTTCCTTTCCTCCCTCCCACGTTCCCACTCTTCTCTCAGCATATCACACCCGAAAAGGCTGCTTTTTTTTTATCGATTTTCACGATAAAAATGGCGTCCATTCCGGGAAACAATGACGACAAACCCGCGCCGCTGTTTGGGGCAGTCGGCGCTCCAAACCCCAAACGCGCTGTGGACTGGGTTCCGTCCCTTGGTGACCGGAACTTGGCTGACGAGAGTGAGACGGACGCTTGCAACCAACTGCTAATCCTGATCACCGGCGGTCAGAACTTCATGCTCGAGGGCATGAACCTCAAAGTAGCCTGGCCGAATATGGTACGCCAGCTGTACCCATGGTTCCAGAGCAATGGTTGGATCTGGATGGGCACAAGCGCGATCAAGTACTGGGCCATGCGAGAGCTCTACAAGAAGAACAGTGAGTTACACGAACCGTCTGTCACTCCAGATAACTAATCTGTGCAGATATTCAATTGGAGAAGCCTGTTCACACGCTGGGATTCACGCCGCCCCCGAATGTCATCGAGGAAATTGACGAGGGTTACTCGAACTACCTCAAGGCCAATCACCCCATCTACTATGAGCACAACAAGCACAGGATTCCCAAGAAGAAGGTGTCGGTGGCCTCTCCCGCAGTCGGAGCAGCAGAGTCTTCCAGGAAAGACGTCCAGGTGGAGGACATCGAGCCCCAGAATGACGGACACAATAAGCCAGAGGTTCCTACCAATGCGTCCAACATGCTCTCTCCGCTCCAAGCCGTAACAATAAATTCTGGAACGACCACGCCCACGCCCACGCCCACGCCTAGTGCCCCCGTCGTGACCATGCCACCCAGCAAGTTCGAGTCAATGGTCTTGGCGGCAAGAAAGGACCTCAAGAAGTACTGGGAAGACTGCGGAGGCGACAAGATACTCCTCGACAAGGATGGATACCCTTTCGAAGTGCGAGTTCCCGATCGATCCAGTCCCGACGTGGCCAAATACATCTACCGCAACGCAGGACAGATGGCCAAGGTCAACAAAATTCTCGATCCGAGACTTCGTCTTTGCTGGATTGACCACGATGAGGCAACCTTCCTGGTCATTGTGAAGAACGACATGAGAGGCGATTACGACGACATCATTTCATACCCAGAGTCTTGGAACGCTCTCAGGGCCTGGTCCCAGAGTGTCGCGGATGGTCAGGTGGCAACTCTGGGTGAGTTTGTCCGAAGCTACAACGATAAGGCCAGAGTTGAGGCTATGCAAGCATACAAGGAAATTGCGGAAAAGGAAAAGCTGGCCGAGGCACTGGAGGAACATGATGCGACGATGGCCTCGTCTCGTCGTCAGGCCGAGCATGAGCAGCTTTAAAGCTCCGTCGCATCATATTCGACAACCTTGTAAATACCAGATTCTGGAAAACAACACGATGGCAAGCGATGGTCGACACGTACGTCAACTTTCAACGATGGACGACTAAGCTTGGCAAGACTTTCTCACATGAAGATGTTGAGATGTCTGTACTAAAGGGGTGGCTTGTGTACAACGGTGACGGACAAACCAGGTATAATGCCCAAGAAGCAAAGAAATGGGCATGGAGGATCATGAAGAACTTGTAAGAGTATAATATCGACGAGTTGCTGAATAAAATAAATCTGGAAAAAAAAATTGAAGGAGCCATATGAAAGTAACTGTCCTAGCGATGTTCGCATTGTTCGCTACCCCTTCGCCAGGTGGAATGGAATCGCGTCAAGCATGCTCTGCACATGCAAAGCGGCTATCATGAAACGTCAACTGAACTTGATACCCAATTCATCGAGCTACTGTCTTATTGACTGAAAGAAGCTACTCTCTGTTCCTTTTCATCGTGCTAAAGCCCTTGTCGCTCAATCGCCTAAGGTAATTGGTCTCTCGGACAAGTGTCTGCTACGAAACATCCGAGAAAGTATTGGAGCCTGTTATTGGCGATGAACATGCCTTGGATTACCACTGCTCGTGTCGTGGTCTTCCTCTCCGCGATACCACTGTAGCTGACTCAACCTTTTGTAGAATGCAAGGACGTTGATCGGCACCCCGTTGCGGTCACGCCAAGCGGGCCGGATCGGCCCCTCTCGGCATGTTAGCTCGGGCCGCCAACCCCGCATTCCCCGTAAGTCCACAACCCGAGGCAAGTCCACCCTGGGCGTTGGGAAGCGCGCCAAACTCCCCGATATACCCCAACCTCCCCACGGACCCATCTTCCCTGGTCGTCCCTTCCCTCATCTCATCCACCCAACTCCGAACGACAGTTCTTGTCCCAACATCACACCTTCAATTCAACACAAGAAAGGGACCAGACATCATGGACACCCACGAGATCCCCCGCAAGCTCTGGGAGCACCCGGACCCCAAGAGCACGCAAATGTACCAGTACCTACAATCGGTCAATTCCAAGTTCAACCTCCAGCTCAAGGTCAGTTTTCCCCGAATGCCCCCAATGTTGGTCCGTCCGCTTACACGATTCCAGACCTTTCATGACCTCCACAACTGGACAGTCGCCAACCGCGCCACGTTCTACGGCCATCTCTTTGACTACGCCAATTTGATCCACGAGGGGCGTCCAACGTCTGTTGTGGACGAATCGCTTACGATAGACGCCATCCCCAAATGGTTCCCCGGTGTGCGTCTCAATTGGGCCGAGAACCTCCTCTTCACGCGAGGTTCGTCCGATGCGGCTGACTACCACGGCACCGAGGGTAAGGAAGACGACAAAGTTGCCGTCACCGAGATTCGAGAAGGCAACCACGGTGATGTGCGTAATCTCACCTGGGGCGAGCTACGTCGTGATGCAGGTCGTCTGGCAGCAGCCCTGAAAGCAAGGGGGGTCAAGGAGGGAGACCGCGTCGTCCTTGTCGGTGCCAACTCTATTGAGACACTGCTGGTGTTTGCGGCGACGACATGGCTGGGCGGCATCTTTAGCAGTTCGTCGACGGATATGGGCGTGAAGGGCATCCTGCAGAGGACCACGCAGGTCGATCCCAAGGTACGTCAATCCTCATCTCCAAGGACTGCACTCACACACACCAGTTCATCTTCTTTGATGACGCCACGGTGTACAACGGCAAGACGGCCGATCTGCGGGACAAGATGGCCGAGGTCGTCTCGGGCATGGGCTCGTGTCCTTCCTTCTCCGGTCTCGTATCGATCCCTCGCTTCTCCAAGCCCTACGACGTCTCCTCGATCCCCAAGACCGAGACGTGGTCCAAGTTTCTTAGATCCTCCACCTCAGCAGCACCGTCATTCACACGGATCCCATTCCACGCACCATTCCTCATCTACTACTCGTCTGGCACCACGGGCATCCCCAAGGCAATCGTGCACACCGTCGGCGGCGTCATGCTCAACAGCTTCAAAGAAGGCCGTCTGCACGAGTCAATGTGCCCCGAATCCGTCACTCTACAGTACACCACGACTGGCTGGATCATGTACCTCGCCAACGTGGCCGCCCTGCTATCGGGAGCCCGTGTCGTCATGTATGATGGCTCGCCTTTCGTCCCCGACCTCAAGTCGTTCATCCGCATCCTCGGCGAGCAGCGCGTGACAAAACTGGGCATCAGCCCGAGGTGGATGTTTGAGGTTGCCAAGAACAAGATAAGCCCGCGGGAGGTGACGGATCTTAGCTCGCTAAAGATTGTGACAAGCACAGGCATGGTTCTCTCTGACCAGCTGTTCGAATGGTTCTACGACGCAGGGTTCCCGAAATACGTCCATCTTGCCAACATTTCTGGTGGCACCGACATTGTAAGTCACCTACACATGCCAAACTTCTTTGCTGACACTTGCAGGCCGGCTGCTTCGGCATGGAGAACCCCTTGGACCCCGTATATGTGGGCGGCACCCAGGGCCCATCCCTTGGCGTTCCCATCGCCATCTACGAAGCCCAGTTGCCGGACGGACCTGGCGAGGCCGTGCCAAACGGAACACCTGGTGAACTCGTCGCCACTGCCGCCTTCCCCAACATCCCGTGCTTCCTCTGGGGCGACTCGGCACCCCCAAAGTTGTCACCAAGCTCGCCCAACTTCGCGTCTGCCGCCCCGGGCTCCAAGTACCACTCGGCCTACTTTGCTCGCTTTGATAACGTCTGGGCACACGGCGACTTCTGCTCCATCCACCCAAAGACGGGCAACATTTCCTTCCTCGGACGTGCCGACGGTGTGCTGAACCCCAGCGGTGTTCGCTTTGGCAGTGCCGAGATCTACGCAGTCATTGAGCGCAACTTTTCAAACAAGGTGGTTGACAGCCTATGTGTTGGGCAGAGGCGGCCCACTGACAACGACGAGAGCGTCATGCTCTTCCTGATGATGCGCGAGGGCGAGAAGTTTGACCGCCAGATGGTGGCCGAGGTCAAGGACAAGATTCAGAGAGAGTTGACAAAGAGACATGTGCCCAAGTACATCTTTCAAACGCCCGAGATACCAGTAAGCCCAGCGGTTCCCTGTCTACGAACTGCGCTAACAAAATAGACGACGGTCAACCTCAAAAAGGTCGAGCTCCCGGTGAAGCAGATCGTCTCGGGCCGGACCATCAAGCCAAGTGGCACGCTCCTCAACCCGCAGAGTCTGGACTTTTACTACCAGTTCGCCAAGATTGAGGAGCTGCTCGCCGGTAAGGAGAAGCTGTAAGATGACATGTATAGCAGACATTGGATCTAGAGCACTATAGGATACCAGATAGAGTACAGCTCACCCCAGAATCAAAGACACATCCTCTAGAGGCAGTCCCTCCCACGCAGTCTTGTCGACATGGCCACTCGCGAGGCGGTACGCGACCCCGTCGATCCACTCCACCCACAGCACGCTATACACCTCTGAGGCCGTGACTGGGTGCGTGTAGCGTTTGATCGTCTCATCAAAGGTCTTTCTGTAGTTTCGCACACGGGAGATGGCAACCAACTCGACCTCCTTCGCAGCAGCCCAGCCGGCATCCAGCTGGGGGAAGCTTTCGAGTTGACTCTTGTTGTGCAATCGCAACCCCCCAATCTTTTTCTCGTCACCATAGAGCGAGACGTCATTATGTTGGTCTGTCTGAAAAGCAGACACGCGGGCGCCGCGGGTGTCGCAGCTAATGTACAGGGTCTGTTCCGGCATGAACGGCTGCGTCGATTCCTGAATGTCCGGCACGGGAAAAGGCCAGTACCACGGGTGCTCGTCGTCATGGTCAGACATGCTACTGTGTCTAAAGGTATACTTGTCGCATCCATCGGGGTAAAGCAGTACGTCCCCCTCCTCGCCATGTCCAGAAATCTCTTGTCGAGTCCACCCTGGAGGCAAGGGCCGAGTAAAGTCCTTGTACGCCTGGCGATTCTCGAACCAGGAGCGTCTGATTTCTCTTTTCTGCGCTGATGTCGGTGTGTCGCGGGCGTACCACGTGGTGATGGGGAATGTCTCTCTGATTGAGTAAGCCAGAGGATTCGCTGGACCGGCTTCATTGCGCCCGAGGGAGACGAGACCTTCCCAACCCACCCACGACCAAGACGGAAGACCGCATGGACCGAGCTGGCTGGCAGTGGGGCGATCAGAGACAGTCCGTCGTCGGAGATCGGTGTGGCTCCAGTACGGCGTCCAAGCGAGTGCCGCTTCGAAGTACATCTCCGGGATGCCATAGAGGAAGCCGCCCGAGAAGCACCGACTGATGACGTTTAGTAGACCGCTGATGCTGGGCAGGGCATCTTCGTCGTACGTCAGAGCTCTCGGGTTGTAGTCTGCAATCATGTTGGCCAAGGAGTCGAGATTTGGCATCCCGCGCATGATCTCGCCTAAGCGGGGATCAATGTACTTGCCAGCCTCAACGCCAAGGTGAAGTTGCTCCTCCCATACGCTGCACTGACACATCCAGTGCAGAGAGTGATTACTGACGATGAGGCGCCGTGGGGACATCTTGAACTCTTGGTAGGTCCACGCGCGCTCGTGATAGGCTCCCCAGTGACTAAGGCTGAAAACGTTGTTCTTGTCGCGGATGAACTGCTCGTCGCCAAAGGGTATCGGGCTCCAATCTTCGTCTTCACCATTCTGGGTTTTGGGGCATGATACGCCCCGCAGACCGGGAAAGCCGTCCTCGGCATCACCATCGAGTGCGACGATGGTGAGTGAAGCGTTTGCGAAGATGGCGGCCATAAGCTGGAGCTGCCGAGTGCTCTCTTCTGCCCGGTCATGGTTGATGCAGAGGGTGTCGACCCAGAGGTACCGCTCGCCAATGACAGATGTAAGGTGCACCGCGTGAAGTACCATGGGTGCGAGTTGTGAAGCGATAGCAGGGTCGTCAATGGCGCCAGGCGACTGGAGCTTCGAGATTGTATCGCCGAGGATGTGCAATCCGGGCGTCTTGCCCCAGCGGTAGCTCAGCGTGGCGTACGATTCGCAGCCCTCCCCTGGGACGATGCATCGCTTCTCGGTGTCTACCACCCAGGCTGGACGAATCGGCCAGATCTTGACGGGATTGGCGCATTTGGGGCCGTGGGAGGACGCGCATTGCTGCTTCCAGGATGTCACGACGCTGGTATCGATCCATTCTGGGTCTAGGACGCGAGCGATACCCGGGTGGCTCGAAATGGAGTCCCTTTTCACAAGCAAGAGGTCGGCGTATCGGCCGCCGGTCTTGATGTTTTCTGTGAGCTGGAGCGCACCTGTTCGAGGGAATCTGATGCCCACATCGGCGGAGTCGAGGCTTGCGAGTTGCCTTGATTTACTGCAAAGCTTGTGGAACATCCTGACAATGGGTACGTGTCTGCTGCATTTTGAGGAGAGGGCTTCTTCGAAGGAGCCTAGATTGACAGTATCGTGGTATTTGCCGCTAGGAGGCGTCGTGAGACGGGTCCAGATTTGGTGGCAGATTTCGCAGGCTGAAATGTCATCCGACTGCGCGATGCTTGACACAGTCTGCGAGGGACTTGAGCTGGATTCGTCAGTCTTGCTATTCAGCGGCGTTTGAGCCATCCTGACCTTTCAGCCATCATGTCACAGGCTCGAGATTTCTAGCCGGTGAGGCTCGGTCACTTGGTTGAAGATACTCGCTGACACTTCTTGGACTTGTAAAGGAGCTTACGAGCTGCTACTTAAGGGGGGTCGTCTCTCACACAATGGGGATCGCCACCGAACCCCTCATCACTAACTAGGCACCAGCTTCCTCCAGACTGTACCATGGCGGAGTCCACCAGCACAAAAAACACGCTTGTCAGCAGCGAACCAACCGCAGTTGTCCGCCATGTCACAAAGTCAGGCTGCCGCTTTGCAACACTGGCACACGTTACCAAGACGTTGCGGCATAATTCAGGTAAGCAAATCCACTGGGGTATTGATCTATACAAAGTACAGGCCTCGCAGCAAACAATCTCCAAACCACGGCAACCTTACACCCTCGACAACGCAACCTCGGGACCGACATACTCGGGATACTTGCCTCCATGCACGCCATATCTCCACACCATATACCCAACCGTGCCCGCAAGACTACCCAACCCAGCTGCACCAGCAACGACCCTCACACCAAGCGTACTACCCTTCACCCGCGCCGCCCTCGCGATCCCAAGCGCCGCAACGCCCGCCGCCGCACCACCATACATCCAATCGTCCACTTCCAGCTGGCTCCGGCTCTCCATCAGCCTCCACGCGCGGTCGCGCCACTCAATATCCTCGCGGCCGTACATCCTCGCCAGCGTGGCGACGCCGGTGAGGCCTAGGCCGATGGCGCTGGCGGTGCCTGATTTGCGGAGGAAGGTGTGTAGTCCGCCTGCGCTTCGGAGTGCTGTCGTTGCTGATGTGGGGAACAGGGTACCGGCGACGGCGGCGGCTGGCACGGGCTTTGTGCCGCGAACTCGGCGGGCGACTCCACCCGCGGCCGCGACGCCGAGACCCACTACCGTGCCGGTTGTGTAGCCACGCGTGAGAACGTGGACTGTGAGGATCGTGCCGGCGAGGGGCTGTTCTTCTGCGTAGGCCGTGTGGGGGAAGTAGCGAGACATGATGTATACTTTATTTGCTTTTCTACTCTTTTGAGATGATGAGTTGGGAGCTGACAGGCTGATGATCGCTTCCAGGTACGACTTTGCCGGTACACTAAATTGTTCGCAAGAGGTCAAGAGATGCAAGGTGATGGTCACTTGCTGTGTCTTCTCCCTAGACCCCAAGGCACCTTATATCACAACCCGCGCAAGCCACCAGCCTACATGCGGCCGCATGTTCCGATCTAGTGGGATACGGTCGGCATGGGACAATAGCAATCCCCCCGACTCTGTCAGCGCGCCGGGGTATCGTCCCGCCGCGGAATCCCACGCTAGCGAGCGAATGCGAGGCACCCCCGACGAATAGGGTCAATCGCATTCGTCACGGCGCCAGACTAACCCACAGTGGCATGACTCCCAAAGCCACGTTGCTTAGCTGAACTCACCACCAACAGCTTCACCAGAGCTGATCGAGATTCAAGGGTTGGTATTCATAGGTTTGTTGTCATTAACCGATATCTATGCTGGTGGACCCCACGCCAGATAACAGTACTGCCGCGCCGGGCTAATCATCATCAGTCATCTCCATCATGCTTTCGCCTTTTTCGTCCTCGTCCATGAGCACCCTCGGCCGGCCGACTTTGGCCTTGCCTTTGGCATCCCGCCGTAGCTTCGGGAGCTTGTTGGATATGCGCTCCCTGGCGGCCGCCTTGCCCATCTCGAGTTCCTGCTCAAACGCCTCCAGCTCGTCGCCCTCGGCAACGTCAATCGTGGAGGTCTCTTCAAGGGCCTTGTTCAGTAGCTCTGTAGCTATGCTGTCTTGTGGGTTAATCGCGAGCGCCTCGTGCAACGGCACGACGGCCTTTTCTGGGCGTCCCTCTTCGAGATAGATAAGCGCTTTCGCGCAGAATATCGTCGCGTCCTTGCCACCCTGTCGCAGGACCTCGTCGAACTCCATATGTGCGTCCTTCCAGAGTCGCAGGCGACGGTATGCATGTGCCAGGTTTGTCCTCGGCGCCAGCCACGCTTGCGGGTCAGAGTCAATGTCGGCGGCAATCTTGAGTGCCGCCCGGAAAAATTGGACAGCCTCTTGCGGCTTGTCCTGGTGATACTTGACGACGCCCATCTCGTTCAGAAGTAGGGGGTCCGTCTTGCACAGACCGTAGGCCGTCTTGAGGAACTCCTCGGCCAGTGTCATATTGTTGAGTGCGTGGTTCTGCATGCCCAAAAAGACCTGCGGCAAATGTGTCCCCATGAAGAGCCTCGCTGCTGTGGAGTAGGCGGAGATGGCCTGGTCGTGCTCGCCCTCGGCGGCGAACGTGTGTGCGAAGCCGATCCACGCCGGGCCAAAGTGCGCATCCATCATGCTGGCCTTGCTGAAATACCGACGGGCTTCCGCAATCTTGTCAATCGAAAAGTAGTAAATGCCCACGGCCAACCACGAGCAGGGCTCCTCGGGGTGGTTGTCCGCCAGGTCGTGTGATACCAAGAAGAGCGCATTCTTCATCTTGAGCTGATACAGACACGCCAGATGCAGAGGGTGGACGCTAAAGTTGTACTTATCGTCCTGCAGAATGGACTCGGTGATGGCGAGGGCGTCTCTATACCGACACTGCGTGTAGAGGAGATCGGCCTTGGCGAGGAGGAGATCCGGGTTGTCTGCCAACCGGTAGTGCGTCGACAGAGAGTCGCACGCCGCGGTGAATGCCGAAGGTTCCCTATACTTCGACAGCCGCGTGGTGTACAGCATCTTTGTGAACTCTGCGGCCTCTTGTGACGACGACACGTCCCCGGAAACGCTAATGGCATCAAAGTCGAGCGACTCGAGGAACGCCCACTCCTCGTCGGGCGATAGCAGAGCGTTGGTCATGAGCTGCTGAAAAGCTTCGAAGCACTGCACGTCGATCCGCACGGCATCCTTGTAGCACTCCTTGGCCCGGTCAAAGGCGTTCTGCTTGGCGTAGCAGATGCCTCGCAGGTAGCACATGGCGGCTTCATATTTGCGGTTCGTCGCTTCTTCTTCGGCTGCCTCGTCGCGGGCATGTCTGTCTCTTGAGCTGCCCTTGGGGTGGCCGACAGCGCGACCTAATGGCGCCGTGTTCTGCTGCTTCCGCTTGTTGCTCGCATTGTTGATGAGATGCGTCGGGTTCCGCTCGCCGAGGATGGCCAAGGCTTCGTCGAATCTCGATTGCTTGACGAGGCAGTGTGCCGCTAGGTATCGACAGGAGACGTTGCGAGCGACGAGGTCCTGTTTTGCGAGGAAGGTCTGCGCTCGTGTGTAGTTGCCGGTAGCAAAGTGGACTTGAGCCAGCCAGAAGGCATCCTTATCGTCGTCTGTCCACGTTAGACAGGGCAGCCATCGGAAGCAGTCTCACGTACTGGTCAGAGCTAGCAGCTTGTCGCCGATGAAGATGGCGGAATCGTACTGGGCCTTGTTCAGGGCATCCTGCCTCCATTCCCGCAGGAACTTTTCCATGGCGCAACGGTGGAAGTGCTAGATCGTGGGCATGGCCAGTTGTAACGGAGAGAGACGGTGGTGGAGGTTGACGTTGGATGCCGATCAACGGGGTGAGGTAAGCGCGTCGTGGGCTCAGGCGCGACGGGAATCTGCACTTTCTTTTCTTTGGATGACGGGCAGGAATTGGAGGGGACGTGGATGCACTGTGCACCGGGCGCCGTCAGGGGTGTGGGCCGAGTAAATGGCGGGGTAGGCCAACCAGAGGGCGTCGTTGCGTCTCTCCCAGGCACACCACGTGGTTGCCGTTGATGCTCAGTTGCGTCCAGCAGCGATGTGATGATCCATTGATATCTGTGTCATGGCATCTTGTCTTTGGTGGTTGTCTGTAGATGGATTGTCTGTGTTGTCTTGTCTGTAGGCTGTCTTGCATCTTGTCTGGTCGTTGTTGTGAGGCTCTGGCGCTTCGACGGCACGGCGCTGAAAATAGCACGTCAACCGCCACAGCCAGAGCTCCTTGCTGACCGTCACTGCTACTTCATCTATGACTCCATTGCGGCCAATGCTAGGCACCTGGGTTGGGTCAGCCGGCAATTGTTTCAGGCCATGCACGCTCTGCGCTTCCCCATCCGACCGTTGTGCTTTTGACGTCCATCCCAAGTGCCGGGGCAGATAATGCTCGTCAGTGATGCTAGGTATCTTGGACGGGACTATGCGAGTAAAGGCATGTCCGCCCAATCCGAGAAATGCAAATGGTGAAATCAGAGGTTGGGTGCTGGCGCTGCCCTACCAAAGCTATGCGCGCCCAATGCTTGGTACGGACGGCGGGCGTCTCCAGCCCCGAGGCCTCAAGGACACCTCGCTGTGACCTCACTGCTCCTCACTGTGGTGCGCCGTTCCAGCGTGCCTTTTTGTCCCTTTACGCCCCCTCATTGGCCACAACCTCCCAGTGGACCCATCAGGGGTAAGGCTAACCTGGGCTAAGCGAGGCGCTATCGCTCTATCCGCCATCGATAACAAGGTGACGACTAAGGTCGAGGAGGATGGGGCATCAGTATCCGTACTCCGTATTATTTTTTTTCTCTTCAAGCTGTTCATTGTTCCCCATCAGTCGATAATCCATTCGCCTTTCCCACTCCCGCCTCACAACATCGCTCAAACACTGCAGAAAAAAAATCCCAACCAACGTCTGTAATACCCACACACAAACAACTTCCCTTCGAGATACCACACCGACGCTACCTTGCCTCTCTCTCCAAACGAAAGAACCTCCCCCTACCCCCCCGGTCAACTTCACCCCCGCCGAAGCTCTCGCACGCCGCCATCTCTCCATCCCGTCTCTCCAACGGCCATCGACTCCTCTCCTCTCTGTGCCTCTCCGTCTCCAAACCCGCCCCTGCAGCAGGCCCTCGTCGATCGCCTCTGCCCGCAACGCCCGCCGCCGCCGCCGCCGCCATCCCGACCTCATCGCATCCCAACGCCATCTTGCCCTGTCCCAGCCGCCACAACTGCGACCATTAACCACAACACCAAGGTGCCGCCGCCCTTGACGTTTTGAGGGATTGACGAGACCAAGCCAAATTCACCCCTCCCCCGGAAGCCGTCGAAAGCAGTCCTAATGGATAACAACCTATGGACCCGCCGCACAAAGTGAGTTCCTCTGTCCCTGCACGCTATACCTTTCCCCACTGACGAACGCCCGCAGCTCTGGCAAGCTTTCACTCTCGACAAATGGTAGTCCCGCGCCGGGCGGTGACGCCAACCGAAACGGCTCCTTTGCCAAACGATTCGGCGGCGATACGTCCTCACACGGCGGCAAATCAAATCCCTTCAACAACGTAACGACCCCCGGCGCGGGCGGCATGGCGTCGCCCACCACCGCCGGCGCGGCCAACGCCTTTGGCCTGGGCTCCGGCGCCTTCGCCTCCTTCGGCTCCGCCAAGACGCCCAAGTCCCCCGGCAACCCGTTCGACCTCGCCATGGGCAAGATTGGCGGCGGCGCCAAGGCGGTGTCGCAGCACGACCCCGCGGCTAAGGTCCCCTCCATCGCCCCGATCCCCGAGAAGAGGGCCCTGGGCTCGCAGCCCGCCTCGACCCGGACGTCCTCGGAGCACCTCCGCGTCCACCCCCTCAAGTACGAGTGGGTGACGTGGTGCCGGCCGCCCCAGCCAAAGGGCCAGCCGTACCAGGAGTACGCCAAATCGCTGACGCCAATGATCCACTGCAACTCGGTGGAGGAGTTCTGGGTCGGCTACCCACACCTCAAGCGGCCCTCTGAGCTGTCCGTGGGCTGGGAATACCACTTCTTCAAGCGGGGCATCCGCCCAATCTGGGAGGACGAGGAGAACAGAAGCGGCGGCAAGTGGGTGCTTCGTCTCAAGAAGGGCATCGTCGACCGGTACTGGGAGGATACCGTGTTTGCGCTCCTCGGCGAGGCCTTTATCGACGCCAGCGAGGAGGTCTGTGGCGGTGTGGTGAGCGTCCGCAACGGCGAGGATATCATCAGTATCTGGACCCGCTCGACCGGCGGACGCGTGCTGAGGATTCGGTAAGTTGTCTTGTCATGTGTCGAGACTTTTGGCTAACACCCGCAGTGAAACGTGGAAGTCGTACCTCAAGTGCCCGCCCAACACGCAGTTCGAGTTCAAGTCCCACGACGAGAGCATCCAGCACCGAGCCGCCATCGAGGAGTCCCGCCGCGAGAAGCAGCACGACAAGCGCGGCAACAAACAGGCCACCGAAGAGCAGAAGTCCGCCGCTTCGTGAGTTGGAAACTCATGCCCCGAAAAGCAACGACCCCCCTCGCCGGGAAATGCCACGCCAACAACCTTGTTGCATTTTTGTTTTGCTTCTCTTTCCAAAGCCATCTTTGATGTTTATTTGTACACTATTGGATCCATTATCCCCCTTACGACGGATCTTCATAGCATTCGGGGTTTTGTGAAAACTCCGACAAAAAATACACATATATGGGGAAAAATGAGGAAGCAGGTTTGGAAACATTGGAGACGAATGTGAAGTTTTTACCAGCCCCTTGATGAGGGACTCCTGGATGGAAGGGCTCCTTGATGGAAGGGGGGAATCGAAAGGCTCTCCCCTTTTTGAAATTTTCGACCTCGGAAACGGGAATCGATTGTTTGGGAGGGAAATGGAATGGGGGGTCAGCGGTCAAACGTTTAGCGGTCACGTTTGTTTTATGGGTTGCGAACCAGGGCGGGTTTATCTACGGATTTGGCTCGGCCGGTCCATCATTCCCAAATCTCATCATCTTTTTCGGGAGGTGTAACACTACCTGCGATGCGAGTGTCGCATGCTTCGGTGTGTGCTTTTGTTGGGCTGCTGGATGCGCGGTCTGAAAGGCATGGGCCGTATGGATAGTCCCAAATGACTACGAAATGAGCTCACTCGGATATCACTGACATGAACGTGAACTGGATGCATGCGTGACATGGGACTAACGCATCCCGCGATATCATTACAATCTACGCTTTCCTCGGCGTCCTCCGCCTCTCCCACACCTGCAGATACGTCTCGCCCAGGTACAACAGCTCGCTCTGCACCTTTTCCACAAACAGATCCTGACACGACACCCACTCGTCGCGCCCCTTATCCTTGAGCTGCACCTTCCACGTCTTGCGCTCCTCTCCGCTATCCGCGACGTCCTCCTTGGCGCGCACGGCCTCGTGGACGACGTTAGCGACGAGGTCGTACCAGATGGGCTCGCCGGGGGGCCACTCGCCCGGGTTCGGCTCCACGTAAGGGCTCACGTCGAGGCCGCGCGGGTCGAATGTGACAATCGTCGGGTTGCGCTCCGACACAAACTTGTTCTGGCTGAAGCGCTTGACGTGCAGGACGAGGTAGGGTGGTAGGGGGTGTAATAAACGGTACCGCTTGCGCTGGGCCAGGTGCTCTTGCGCGTGGATGCCGTCGTATTTGGAGAGGATGGTCGTGAGGGGCACTTGCGGGATGATATTCTTTTCGAGCTCGTCTTGGAAGAGGGGCGCCGCGGGGAGGTCGAGGGTGAGGAACATGAAGCGGGATGAGGTGACTGACACGGCGGCGTCTTCGAAGCGTAGACGGTCGCCCGCGTCGGCGCGCGCCGTGATGGCTTGCGATTCGACTTTCAGCTTCCCCTGGAAGATGCGCTGCACGACGGAGCTGCCGGGTTTTGTTTTCGACCCGCCGAGGCCCAGGTGCAGGTTATTCAAGAACCACGACAAAAACTCGACGGGGTCGGACTGCGCCGTCAGGGTGAAGCGCTTATTCGACAGTAGGGAAATCTCCTGCAGCAGCTCGTGGGGGGAGACGTGGGCCTTGAAAGCGCGCGGGTTCCAGATCTTGCGGACGAGGATGCCGAAGCGCTTGGCGAGCTCGGAGCGGGACGAGAGGTCCTCGAGGAGGCAGAAGTTGCGCAAAGGGGCGACATGCGCCAGAGCCTGGACCACGACGTTGAGGTAGTCGTTTTCCTTAAGGTTGTTCATTCCCACGAACCCGGGTGCGTACTCCCTCCCCGCCAGCGTAAAGGACGCGCGCAGCGGCGTGCGGTCGAGGGCGGCGACTTCGGGTTTCGTGTAGCGCGGGTCCGAGACGAACTTGATGTCGTCGAGCGACTTGGACTTGACCTCGTACCCTTCCGGAAGGACGTAGACCTTTTGCGTCTGCATGTTGATGAAGACGTGGTGGTTCTCGTCGAGGGCGTGGAAGTAGGCGTGCGATTTCGGGCCGCGGCCCTGATAGTAGCGGCCGCAGACCAGACACGCGTAGACGTTGATGTTGGACAGGCTGACGGAGCAGAGCTTCTCGAAATCAAAGTCGAGCACGTTGCGGTCTATCGTGTCGAGGTAGAGGTCATCGTAGCCGTCCGTCGGCGCCGATTGGCGGATCGGGACATGTACCGGCGCGTCCTCCTCTATTTCGCTGTCGCTTTCAGCATCGTCTTGTGGTACTTCGGCCGTGCCGTTTGTGGGTGTTGCGTCGTCCGTCGTCGTCGTTGTGTCGTGCCCGTTTTCGAGCGAGCCGTTGGAGATGAGGGAGTCGACGGTTCGTGAGCGTTTCGACGCCGGCGAGTCGATGCCTGCGATTTCGTCGAGGGGGTCCTCGGCGTGACGTTTCCTGTGCGCCATGCTGTGTGTGTGTGTGGTTTCTGGAGGGGTATCGAGTGGTGTTGGTGGTTTCCTTGCGAGTGCGAGGCTGAAGTCGCAGGTATGGATTGGTGGTACCTGGTTGCAGGCGTGGAAAAAGTCGCCAGTCTATCGCTCTAGGTGCACGCCCCCACCGTCGGTAGCCACGCCCAGAGCTTCTACAACCTCATCCAGACATCAGTCACTACACGGCCACAGACGATGCAAACCTATCTGCGATGAATATGCCAGTCCCGGTCACATTGGGCTGCCGAGTCGCCAGAAGGACTTCTCGGATGCTGGCGCATGCAGCACATGGATAATGGACCTATCAATGTCGCTGCGTTATCATCCAATGGCATCATCCTCGGAAGCGCCTGGCCAGATGTCAGCCGCAGCCTGATCTAGAAATGAGGGGCTCCGTCCCCGTTTGCCGCAGCCTGTCAGGACTCGCTGGTGTCTATCTGGGGACTGCTTCACATGAGCGATACTCCGTTGAGTCAACGTTCGTTCGTTGTTGCGTCGTCGACGACAGAAATGCGCCATGACCAGTCTCCCGCCACGCCGCCGCGAAGACTTCACTGTCGCGGTGATTTGCGCCCTTCCACTAGAGTTCAATGCCGCAGAGTTGGCCCTCGATTTGTTGTGGGACGGCCTCGAGCAAGACCTCGGCAAGGCTGCAGGTGACGCAAACACCTACACGCTGGGTCGAATCGGCAAGCACAATGCCGTCCTCGTCCTCCTTTCCGGCATGGGAAAAGTGAATGCAGCAAGCGCGACTGCCAGCCTGCGGTCGAGTTTTGGGGGTCTCAGATTAGCTCTCCTATGTGGCATATGCGGTGGCGTGCCCAATGCGAATGACGACGGGGAGATGCTGCTTGGAGACGTCATTATCAGCAAAAGTGTCGTTCAGTACGATCTGGGGCGGCTATTTCCAGGCCAGTTCGAGCCGAAAGACACCATACACGACACTCTGGGTAGACCGGTCAAAGAGATTCGGTCTCTGCTCATTGCATTCGAAACCCATAGGCAGAAGCAGCGGCTGCAAAAGGAAATCTCAAAAGGTCTGACGGAAATCCAAACCAAGGCAGCCGAAGAGAGCTACGACGTCGACTATCGTAGACCACCATACGAAGACGTGCTCTTCGAGCCCGACTACACCCACAGGCATCGGAAACACGTACAGTGCAGCTGCAGTGAAACACAGACCTGCGAGCAGGCGACGAAAGCGACATGCGAGGAGCTCGACTGTGACTTTGGATACCGAGTGTCTCGAAGACGTCTCGAGAATCAGCAAGTCGGGCAAGAAACCCCCTTTGCGGAGCACCAGCCTCGTGTGTTTCTTGGCTCGATTGGATCAGGAGACACCGTCATGAAGTCTGGCAAAGACCGAGACCAGATTGCGAGAGAACATAGCCTCGTCGCCTTTGAAATGGAAGGGGCCGGAGTTTGGGACGAGATCCCCTGCATCATCGTCAAGGGCGTATGCGACTATGCCGACAGTCACAAGAACAAGACTTGGCAGCACTATGCTGCGGCAATAGCTGCGGCGGCAGCGAAGGCACTTCTCGATCGTTATGCGCCGGCAGCCGGCCTAGTTGAACGGGTTAAGCAAGTTGAGACGTCTGGTTTCTCGCCCAAATGTAAGTGCGCCTCCTCCGTATTCCACTACACATCATACTGAGAGAGGTCAGTTCTTGTGCCTTATGTCAAAAATCCCGAATTCATCGGCCGAGGAGAGATCTTGAATCGTATCGCGCATCTATTTGGGGACACGCAGACTGGTCTGGTCAGTGCGAGACTACGCTCAAGAGTGGCACTCCATGGGCTCGGCGGTGTTGGGTAAGACGAACTTTGCATCACTCCAAAGCAAGGCTAACGTCAAGAAGTAAGACGCAAATTGCATTGGCATATGCCCATTGGTTACACGAGACTTCCCCTGAAATTTCCATCTTCTGGGTTCACGCCAGCAACCGTCAGCGCTTTCGTCAGGCTTTCACATTAATCGCTCAAGTATGTAGCATCCCGGGCTACGACGATCAGCAGGCCGATACCCTTCTTCTTGTGAAGAAGTGGCTCGAGGGCAGGAAAAGCGGCCCCTGGTTGCTGATCGTTGATAACGCCGACGACAAGGAAGTTTTCTTCACGGACACTGGAGAAGACGGCATTGGCGCAGATGCGCCTGAAATTGCATCTGAAGGTGGAATGGGTCACTTCATCCCTGACTGTCTCCACGGATCCATTCTCATAACGACGAGGGATATGCAGACAGGCCTTAGGATAACAGCTGGGGCCCCCCCAATTAAGGTTATTGAGATGATCGATGCTGAGGCTGTTGAACTACTACGATCGTTGCTCCCGAACTACAACTTCTCTCCCTCAGAGGCAATCGGGTTGGCATCTCGACTTGAGTACTTGCCGTTAGCTCTGGCACAAGCAGCCTCCTTCATCCTCAAAAACTTCATGTCCATCAACGACTATGTCCAAATACTGGACAAAAGCGATTCTACTTTGGTGCGTCAGCTGAGTGAGCCTTTCGTGTCCATAGGGCGGGACTCGGAGATTCCTCATGCGCTGACTGCCACCTGGTTAATTTCTTTCCGTCAGATCGAACAGCGGTATCCATTAGCGGGCAATTTGCTGTCTTTCATGAGCATGTTTGATCGTCAAGCTATTCCAAAAGACCTTGTCGAAGACTACTGCTGTGAGCAGTTGCGCAACAAGTCGGACTCTGTCGTCGACGTGGATAGCCCTTTCGAGGGAGATTCCGGCATTGGCTCTGACTATGGTCCTGATTCAGGGAGCGCCAGAGCCGGTTCCGATGGCAGTTCCGATGCCCTCTCTGAGACGGGTCCCGACACGACTCTGGAAGCAGCAAGGGCTTTGGGAATTCTTCAAGCCTTTTCATTCATCTCCAAATCAAGCAATGACACTTACGACATGCATCGACTAGTGCATTTAGTCACGCAAAAGCGTCTTTTGCAGGATAAGAACATGCCACGATTTGCAAACGAGGCTCTCAGATTGATGTCTCGAGCTTTCCCGTTTGGCAGGTTCGAGACCCGAGTGGTGTGTCTTGCATATCTACCTCATGCCTTGGCAGTCCTGATACATTCGAACCCCGAGTCCGATGAGGCAAAATTCCAAACTGGACGACTATTGCACCATGTAGCCGGATACTTCAACTACCAAGGGCAACGCTCAGAAGCAGAGAAATATGTGACACGATCATTGGAACTACACAAAGCAGCACTAGGGCATGAACACCCTCTTACCCTCGAGACGATGGGCAATTTGGCCGTGTCTCACATGTATCAAAATCGTCTAGAGGCGGCCATTGAGATGCTCCTGTCTACATTGAAAGCCCAAAGGAGATTGTTGGGAGAAAGCGCTCGGGGAGTAGTTTATACGCGCCGTCGACTTGCACGTGCTTATTTACGACAAGACCGTCTTGAAGAGGCAGAGAAGCTGTATTTGGAAACACTCAGGATCTGTAAAGAAGCCGGACAGGATCTCGAGGTGACGTCAGGCGTCTTAGCCGAGCTTTCAACTGTGTACTTCGAGCAGGGGCGGTATGAAGAAGCAGAGAAGCTGCTACTGCAAGTCCTAGAGACAGACAGAAAGTTCCTTGTGGAGGGCCCTGAAACTACACTTTGGACTATGGGGAGGCTAGGGCTTACATATCAAAAGCAGGGCCGTCTACCAGAGGCAGTGGATATGCTTTCACAGGCGCTGGTCCGAAGCAGAACGTTGGTGGGCGAGGCACATATTAAAACGGCAAACATTATGTTTTGGTTAGGACTTCTCTACAGAGACCAAGGTCGTTTAGACGCAGCGGAAGAACTCATGTCCAAAGTGCTGGACATCAGGACATCATTGATGGGCGAGGAGTCTGAAGGCACACTACGGGTCATGGAAGCTTTAGGACACGTCTACAGGACACAGGGTCGTCTAGTAGAGGCAGAGAAGTTGATCCTGAAGGTGCTAGACATATGGAGATATACTAGAGGCGAGGAGCATAAGTACACGACACCAGCCAGAGGAGAATTAGGACACATCTATAAGAAGCAGGGTCGTCTAGGAGAGGCAGAATATTTATTTCTGGAGGCGTTGGACGGGTGGAGAACCATGAAAGGCGAGGAACATGTACACACATTATGGGCCATGGGAGATTTAGCGGTCTTATATTCTGATCAAAACAGACTAGTAGAAGCGGAGGGGCTACAACAGCGACTATTGAAGGTGAGAAGAAAGGTGTCAGGGGATAAACACGCCGACACTCTAACGCTAGAGAATAACTTAGCCTGGACGTGGTGGAGGCAAGGTCGGGAAGAGGAAGCGATTCACCTGATGCGTAAGTGCGCCGAGGCTCGAGAATGCATTCTTGGTCGAGACCACGAAGACACAAACAACTCCCTCAAAGCATTGTTGGACTGGGAGGAAAAGATGGAGACGGAGGTCAACAGCGAGAAGGAGTCGGGGAGCGCGAGCGAAGGTTCCAGCAAGGGTGGAGAGGAAGACACGTATACAAGTTCATACGTACATGTAGGCTCCGACGACGAGTCGGACGATGGCGAAGGCGTACGCCTCTAGAGACTCGTTACTCAAAGCCATATCGAACATCGGCTGCAACAACCGCTCTGCCAAAGCAGGTGGTCAAAACGCTGATATCAAAAGCACCTTCACATCGCACCAGGCCTCGCAGAACGTACAACCAAGAAAACCATTCTATTTTAAACTCCTACATCTACTCCTCACATCACACCATTATGACATCCGCCGCGGCATCATCCATATCCACGTCCTCTATCGCGGGAGGCGCGAGACTGTCCATCTCCCGCAGGGTATATTCCACCAGGTAACTCTCGTCCACAAGCTCGTCCGTCCGCCTGTAGTGCCGCTCTGTGTACACACGGAGCGCGTTGAGCACCTCCTTGAGGCTGCGCTGGCCCCGCGCGCCCTTGACCGAGAGGTTGGAGAACTTGGACGCCGGGTAGCTGCGGACGAGCGTCCAGAGGATGCGCTGCGCGACGGCGGCCGTCCGCGCGTTGGTGTTCCAGTCGCGCAGGCGGAGAAGCAGGGTGAAGAGCTGCTCGTCGGAGAGCGTGGCGAGGACCTGGTCGACGGCTTTGAGGCCGCAGAGGCTACCGGGTTCCGGGGTAGAGGTGACGACTGACGTGAAGAGGCTGAGGAGGCGGCCGGGGTGGTTGAGCTGGAGGGCGAGGACGATGGCTTCGCGGTAGGAGCCGTGGTGGATGTGGTTTTGGAGCTCCTGCTCCTGCTCGATGAGCTTCTGGGCGGCTTCGGTGGCGGCGGCCTGGGATTCCGCGGTGGTGTCCTTCCAGAAGGTGACGAGGGCGTCGCCGTCGCCTGAGACGACGGTGTTGTCGACCGGGTGGACGGCGAGGGCCCAGATGCGGTCCTCGTGGTTGTCGAGGGTTGTCTCGGCCTCGCCCGAGTTGGCGTCCCAGACTTTTACGAGACCGTCGCTGCCGGCGCTGGCGAACTGGACCTGCTTCTTGCCTTTGCCCTCGGGCTTGGGCATGTTCAGCCAGGCGACCTTGAGGACGCTGTTGGAGTGGCCTTCAAAAGTGCGGATGCACGAGTAGTCGTTGAGGCTCCATAGCTTGACCGTCTTGTCGGCGCTACCGGTAAGGACAACGCCCTTGCCGGCGACCTGGCCCTCGTCGCCCTGGATCGCAGGACATCCCGCGGGGGCGAACTTGACGGACCACACGCCGCGCCTGTGGCCGCGGAGGATGCCCTGGACCTCGCCCTCGGCCACGGACCAGATCTTGACCATTTTGTCCTGGGAGGAGGAGGCGAAGAGCTGGCTTTGCGGGTGGACGTCCATGGCGTTGATGTCCTTGTCGTGGGCTTTGCGGGTGAAGACGGCGCGGGAGCCGCCTTTGCGGGTTTGCTGGGGTTCCCGGGGAATCTCCCACTTCTTGACGGTCTGGTCTTGGGAGCCAGTGAAGAGGAATGCCGGGGGGTGGCTCAGGGGGTCCTTGAACTGTGCTGATGATTCTTGGGGGGGTTGCTTTGGGAGTGCCACGGCGCCGACCGATTCCGTGTGGCCGGTGAAGGTGGCGTAGCATGTGTATGAGTTGTTGGCGGGGTCGACGCGCCAGAGACGGGCAGTGTTGTCCTTTGCGCCGGTAGCGATCCAGTATCCGGACCAGTCGACATCAAGGGAGACAATGATGTCGTCGTGGCCCTTGAGTAGCGCAATGTCCTGCCCAAAGTACGTCGCGTCTTCTGAGGAGTCCTTGACCGAAACGATGCGAATGTCCTCGGCGTTGGTGGCCAGCGCGAGCAGGGAGCGGTCGGGCAAAAGGTAGTTGAGATCGATAATGGAGTCGTGGGTTCCGGAGATGCGTCTGAACGGCTCCATGACCGATCCCTCGACGGCATCCTTTTCCGGCACCTTGTATAGCGCCAGGGTGTGGTCAACCTGGACGCAGAGGATAAAGGGGAGCTCGGGATGCGACACGGCGCTGACGACACCCTCCGCCTCGGCCTTCTCCGGCTGGTCCTTTGTGAGCTCGCGGCCCGTGTCGGTGTCCCAGATCCGGAGGCAGCCCTTTGCGCCGGCAGAATACGTCAGGCGACCACCATCAACGAAGCCGACGGCCTCGACAAGCTCCAGGCACGGCACGACCTTTCTAATCTTCCACGAACGCGCGTCCCACCAGATGATTGTCTTGTCTCTGCTGGCCGAGACGATGGCCTGCTGTTCGGGGGAGTAGTCGAGGCCCTGGACATTGGAGACGTGCGAGTCGAGGCTGGCGATGGCAGCGCGCTTGTGAAGATCCCACACCCGTACCTTTCCGTCCTGGCTACCAGACACGAGGCGCCAATTCGTTGTTGTCGACGTTGTCTCCTCGGTCTGTGTCACCTTCTTCCCCTTCTTGCTTGCGTCCTCGTTCGACCGTGCTGCCACTTCGAAAAAGTGCAGAGCCGAGACGAGCACGCTCGGTCCGCGGAAGGTGTGCGTGACGTATCCGCCGGCAATGTCCCAGACCTTGATCGCTCCGTCGGTGCCTCCGGTCGCGAGGAGGGTGCTCGTTCGGTCGACGGCGAGGACGACGACGGGGGTTCCGTGGGGTTTCAGCGAGCGGGTCAGCTTCGCCTCTATCGTTCCGTCTTCGGTCGTCTTGAGGGCGTAGATCTTCATCGCGAGCGATCGGGAGCAGATGATGAGGTGCGAGCCGGATGGGGTCACTGTAGCTGTTAGATCGTGGGTTCGGTCGGGTACAGAGTAGACATACGTGTCAGCGTCGAGATCGATTCGCCATCCTGACATTACGATTAGCCGTGCATCTCTACACAAATTCCGGGGCGCATACTCCTTCAATCTTTGCGAGATGCTTCCCGTTGGAGGGGTTGGTGAGGATGGCGTCCTCGCCGAGGGGCGTTGCGAGAATCTTGGCGCCATTGTCCAATGCGACAGAGCCGCCGGTGAAGATGGGCCGTATGACCCGTTCGGGCTCGAATGTTGTCTTGAGGGGCTGTTTGCTCGCCATCTTGTCGGTCTATCGAAGCGGTGCAATCGGTCGCGATGCGGCAAGCAGCGGTTCGTCCCAGATTATTTTTTTTCGTCTGGCGGGATGATGCTTATCGATAGCATTATCTTATCGGGCCCGCTTTTGTGCAGGAGCTCCCGTCTGCAAGACCACTTCAAGCGCCTGGAGCTTGGGATCATTTGTGATTGCAGACTTGCATCTTCAACCTGTGAGTTAATTCCAATCTACCTAGACGATCTTGAGTATTCCTTCAACCCGTCCGACACGCCCATGTGGTCACCCACCCACCTCTCAACATGACGAGACTCGGTCCATTGACCGCGCAGGCCTTGGTACGATTGCCACCAACCCACCCCAAACCTCACTAACGCCCCTAGGGCCGCTCGCCATTTGACGATGTGGTCGACGGCGAGGGTGAAGACGACCCGCATGCGCCAACCCAGCAGTACGACAACCGCGGACGACCGGTCAACCCCGAGACGAAACGGATGAACCGCGACATGGTGCGATCGCACAACGAGGTGATGCAGGTCATTGGCGTCGCCGAGCCGGACAATACACCATCCACGGCCGAGGTCGATTCCGTGCGACGATACTTCAACTACGAGGATGCGGTGGGCACGCGGCTGCTGCGGTTCGGCCGCGCCCTGGAGATTGCCGGCGTCTGGGGTATTAACGGCTTGCGACTGCGCATTCTCCTGTACAGGCGCTACGCCGACATTTCCTTCTTCGAGCTCTTCCAGCACGAGCGGAGGCAGCGGTCGATATCGTCGGCTCTCCTGACAGGTCTGCCGACGTTCCTCGGCGGCCACGTCTTCAAGATGGCCACCTATTGGTTCTACCCGTACCCGAGGAAGAACAAGTTTGTCAACACGGCGCTGTCGTACATCCGGGTGCACCTGCAGCTGTATGTGTTCCTGCAGAGGCTGGACATCATCCCGTCTGCGAGATGGTTCCCCTCGTTGAGCTTCTTCATCCCGGGATCGCCCTCGTCGCCCATCGCAGCGCCGGCGCCGCCAAAGGATTTAAGTCCGTCTTCACTTGTGCATTACGCCGGCGCGTGGTGTGTGAACTCGATCCCCTTTATTTCGTACGTCATCTGGGGCCAGATCTGGACCGAAGTCACTGGCCACCTGTGGCAAGAGTTCTACGGACGACTGCCAAATACCGTGCACCACCGCAAGCCTCCGCCGCCGCCGCCTCCACTGCCGCCAGTAACAATCCCGGAGACCCCGGAGCCGGTTCCCGACGTGGATCGTCAGCAGCCTGAGCCTCTCTCTGAGCTGAGGAGCGAAGATATCCTCGAAGACACACCCCCAGAAGCGGAACCTAGCGATACGCCACCAGTCCAGGCAGTCCGCCGGCCAAGCGCCTTCTCAGCCAGGGGAGAAGACTATGGCAGCGACGACGAAGAGGATGGAGGCATCAGTGCGACGCTCATCAGTTTCGACGTAGAAGCGACGGACTCGACCGATGCACCTCCCGGGCTCTGGTCAGCCGAGTTGCGGCCAAGCACGGGTCCGGAAGGTTCCGGATACGGCGCCGCGATCCAGTACATGGACACCATGCTTACCAGACTGCCGGCGTGTCTGGCGTCAGACATCTTCACCGTGATTTCAGGCTACGTTTTGGTCTCGCCGTACGAAGCCGTCGCCCTCCGGCTGGTGGCACGGTCCTACCGCGAGAGGATGGGTCTGCCCACGTTTGACATCCACGATACCAACATCTTTAGCGGCATGACGCTGCGGGGCGTGACCAACTTCCTCGGGCTGGAGTTCTTGCACCTGGTGATTGCGGGCGAGCTGTGGGCTCTTATCACGGGCCTCGCGCAGTGGTTCCACATCACGGAGGAAGAGTGGAAGCTGTGGAACGAGATTGAGGAGGCCGAGGCTGCGGAGGAGCGGAGGCGCCAGGGGCAGATTTGAATGTGTGGGTTGGCGTTTGTGCGAAGTCATTGGGATGGTTTGGCGTCTGGCGTAGGCAAAACAAGATACCTCAAGCACAGTAGTCTTTCAAGTGGAGTGTTCGTAACGTTCGTTAAATTTGGGTATCAACAGTGCACCGACA